AAAAATGCATGAATGCAATAAAGAGGATTTAATGATATAAATGCATGTATATATAATAAAAAAAGGGTTAGTAAACATGACATATACAAAGAATAATATAATATAAAAAAATAGTGTAAAGAGTTAGTATGCAAATAGTATATATAAAAAACAAATTTACAAACAAAATAAACATCTCATCATATGCCCTATTTAGGGGTTTCTAACATAAGAAAAGTCATGGCTCTAACTTAGGTTTGGACCCTTAAGGTTGTTTATATGCTAGGCTTAAAAGTTTAACAATCTAAGGGTTCACAAATTGTTCCTTACACCGTAGTCTATTATGGACTAGTAAAGCACCAAATTCTCACTCATTATAGGCTACAAGCGAAAAAGGTTCAATTTGAGTTAGAATTTTTCACTAGCCTATGTGGAGACATGAAATCTCACAAAGACATAGGTACTTTACTCCTTTATAAGGGACATAACTCAAGTGTAGAACTCATGTTTTCTATATACAAATGAATGATAGATATATAAAATGAATAAATAAATAAAAATACAAGTAAGAAAAAAAATTTTAAACTTATTAGGTTAGGCTTGGATAATGAGAAATCATTTACTGGCCTGACTCTTGATGTCCCTAGTGGAGTCGTCAAACTATTATAATGTATAGATCCATGGACCTACCACTAAATATAGACTTTAAAAGTCATCATTAATCTTTTTTATTTAGGTGTAATTGACCACCTAATTGAATCTATCTCATTTAAAAATAAATCCTAAGATTAACTTAGGTATCTTTAAATAGTAAATTATAGTATATTAAACCAGATATAGATCTGAAAGTACGGTTACGCACGAGAAAGGTTATTGCATCGTTCATAGCGTCCATCCAAAGGATGGTACATGTTTGATTTCAAATTATCCAAACATTAACCATATTTATGATTTACCAAAATATTTAATATTAAAAATTGATCTTAAAATTACTCTAATAGTATGGTAGCAATTTAAGGTAATTTTCTTATCTCAAAAGTATTAATGGAGACTAGTGTCATACTCTAGAAGAAGTTTCATTGTTAGATTCATTTAGATTTTATTTAAAGAAATAATTAGTAAAATCTTTCAATAGTTTATTAAAATTTACTTTGATGCAGATTTTTCAATAGTTTGATGAGATTTTATTATAGAATTATTTTAGAAAGATGCATTAAATCTTTCAATAGTTTGGTATGATTTAATTTAAGATGCAAATCTTCCATTAGTTTGATATGATCAAAAAATCAATTAAAATAAACAAAAATCATCATGCAATAATATAATATATCATGCAATTAAATAATCATGCAATCAGTTAAACAAATACATAAACAAATATATTAATCCTATACCAATCATGCACATAAATATTAATAATTATGTATTTAAATTCATGCAAAAATAAATACCAAATAAAATTTCTAGACTTTTTTATTTTTTTCATTCTTGAATTTAACCACTCAATTAGAATAACAAGCAAAATAAAGCATAAAAATAAAATAAAACAGAAAGATAAAAAAACAAAACAAAACAAAAGTAAAATAAAATAAAATAAAATAAAAAAATGGAAACTTGTGCTGTGGGTCGGATAAAAAACGAGTAGGCACACGGGTCAGCCAGATTCATACGTGGGTCAATAGGTTGGCTAAAATGATGTCATTTAGATTTGCTATAAAAATAAAAAAAAAATTTAACTTCCACAAATGGCTCTGGTGTTCTCTCTCACTCTAATTGGAGTTTTCTCTTACTTCTTTCTAAACATTTAATAGAAAATTCAACCAGCTAAGAACATTGGCAAGATTTTCCAAATTTTGGCACCGAAAAATTCAACCGATTGTTGGAATCTTCAAAGTTTTCCATATACAATGATGGACCCAGAATTCGATCACCTTAATCACCTTTTGGCTATCATGACCTTGGCCGAAAAATTCAAACTTCAATCATAAAATCTCAAAAAAACCCAATAAACCCCAAAAATCCTTGAAAACTGCAAACCCAAGAAATAAAAACCTTAAGAACACCCAGACAACCCAGAAATTAACTTACTTAAGCTTCAACCTCTGTCAAAAAATTCTTGGAGAACCAAACCCTAGAAAAAAAAACAGATTCAAAAACGAAAACCCAAAAATCAAATCAAATTCCTGAAAAACAAAATGCAAAGAATCATTTATCCTTTCTGTATATTCTTTCCCTATATTCTCCCTAATTTTAGAAACCCTAAAAAATTCAATTTTGAATCCAAAAACCCTAAAAAATGAATCTAACCTAAAAATCACCCAACCAGAACGTCGATTACCTAAGCAGCTTTTATTTTTCTGTAAAAACTTTCCTTATGAGTTTCTGTCTCCCTCTATTCTATGTGATTTAGGGTTTCATTTATAAGCTTTTTCCATAAAAAATTTTAAGAATTTCATTGAATAAATCAAATCTGTCAAATTCAATTAGGGTTTTATTGAATAAAAAGGGATCAAATCTATCGTATTTGAGCGCTATTCGATTCATAGGTTTTAATCCATGCATTCAATTATGTGTGATTCTGGATTTTAATCCACGAATTTTTTTTATCCAAACTTTAATTAATTGTAAATATGATTTTCTTTCATTTTTTTTTAAAACAAACAGACACAATAAAATAATAATAAAAAAATACATATGTTGGGCCAAAGCTCGTATCCAATTAACAATAGTGAGCTCAAAGCCTAAACGCAATTGTAAAATGTCCAAATATGAACACCTTCAAAGTCCAATAATTTCAAAGAAATTCACATTGAGAATTTGATTAAATTCCAAACGAAATGTGGTGTTTACAGTTGAAAGCAATGTTTTGAGTCCTTTCCATAGGAAAGATTATCAGCCTGTCCTCAAGGCTGTTGGTGATGTATGCTATGATCAATGCTTGAATATAATATATACAAACAATTATTTATATATATTATTATGTGAAAATTGAAACAATTCAAGACTTGTTTAATTTTTGGTGATCAAAGTTCTCTTAGCTTTCATTCTCATCAATTTGGGTTATATCCACTGGTTTGGAAAAACATATGCATGTACATGTATAGTTCATCCGATTTAGTTAAGAAAATGAGAGTCTTGAAACTTTAAACATTTAGCAAGAACTGACCTTTGAACCAAACTGATAATTATTGATAATATAGAATTTCAACAAATATGTTTATTACATACATTAACATGATCTAAAATCACACTTACATATACATACATACATACAATATACATTGTTAGCTAATATTATATTATTTTGGGATCATTCAAAGTTACTTTAAGAACAATAATACATAAAAATTTATATAGAAAGTGTACATTTTTAGATTAATATCATTTTTCTTTAAATGTTTTTATCATTGTATAATAATATTTCTACTTTAAATTGGTATTGGCTTGATAAAAATTTTGTTTCTATGAAAATATTAGTATATATAGTTACGTGTAAGGTCCGATTCATGAATAAATCCAGTGGATGTGTCAAAATCTAATATCAATAATACTATTATTAAAACGTGAGTTCAACTCCCCGTGGTAACGGGGGATATGATTAATTAATTTTAATGAATTTTATTAGTCTAATCTATTTGATCATTTTTCTATTGTCATGTTTGGAAGTCGGAACAATAAAGAACAACCTTCTCATAGCATACGTAGTTCAGTTTCCATCCGGGGAATGTTTCATGTGCCCACGAGGGTGCAATTGAATTTAATTAAAGCATTAAACCCTTGGCTTTATTATGTCAAATTGATCAAATTAAATAGGCAAAGAAACTTTCTGGAAAAAAAAAACAATATAAAAAGTTCTTTTCTTTGTTGTCGTCTAGATGGCCTTATCCTCGTTATATGAGAAATCACCAAGAAAATATAAAACAAATCCAAAAAAAAGAAAAAAAGCAAGCACGAAAGCATGCATTAAATAAATAAAAAATTAATGCATATAATACTAGTTAGACTGACGTATGATTAAGACATAAATATAAAAAAATTTTAAAATTTAATTTAATTAATTCATATAATTATTTTTAATTAATAATAGTTAATAATTTTTTTTTTTTTCGTTCGACCCTCCAAAATATTAGTATAAACAATGTTCAATAAATAAAATTTGTTCTACACTTTCCAACTTGTCCTTACGGTATGCTAGCTTTTCTTTTGAATAACGATTCAAAATTCAAAAGGCTTGGGATTTTGGAACATTAAACTATATAAAGTTATAAACATCATTGAACGCTTGATTGCGTGTTTCACTTGTTCATTATAACAAAGACCATAAAAAATTGGACCATTATGCATAAATTAAAAATGATTGACAATGATCTCCATATCTGTCATAGAACAAATAATTTTATAATAAGTTTATACATGATATGTTGAATCTAGATATTTACTTAGTCACAACAAAGAATTATAATAAGTTAAATTTTAAAATAATTATTAATAATGTTTTCAAACATAATTACAAAATCGACCAACAATGGTGAAAAATGTTTGACAACTATCTCAATTGGCATCAAACTCCATTAAACAAACAAATTATTTTAATATATACATTTCAATTTGAATATATATATATATATATATCCAATTATCACAAAAATGGTTTTTTAATACCAATAACATGTGAAACAGCGGCAAGCATGTGCTTGAAAAAAAAATTATTTCTCTGTCCATAATTTAAAATAAATAAAAGGGATTTAAAAATAATGAGGACGGGCCGGACCATAAAACAAAACGGGCCATGGGCCTCGAGGCTGAAAGTAACCGGCTGAAACCACCGATATACAGGAACTTAAGAACAACGGTTTAACCCAAATCGGTAAAAGCCCTAATTCTTATTAGTTAATGTCAGTGAATGGGCCGGTCCATAAAAGGTATACAGGCTATGGGCCTCTTAGCCTAATGTAACTGACCTAAACCACCTATATATAGGAACTTAAGGCCCTCATTTTGAACCCAAATCCAGAGCACCCCTAATTCAGATCTAGTTCATGTCGGTGAATGTGATCCACACCTGGATCCGAAAGACCGACCCGCTATTTCGATTTTCGAGTAACTAGATTTCACTCGAAGCCAAAATTTCACATTGCAGCGAGGCCTAGCTAGCGGTACACAGGTACGAAAGGAAATTCTCGGATTTCGCTTTCAAAACCCTAACAATTGACTTCTCCGCTAAGTAATTGCGACGAACGAGAAAGTAAATCTTGAACTTACATTTGGGTAAGCTTTTGGTGGATTTTAGGGTTTATTAATATTATCTTTTCTTAACTTTCTTTTGTCTCAACGGGAAAACAAAGTTGTAGTTTTAGATTTAGAGCAAATTTAGGTTAATTTAGTGGAACTAATGGAGTTTATCAGTTTCTTTGATGTTTCGCTTTCGTATTGTGGTGAGTTTAAATGATTGGTTTTTGTCTGTTAATCTCAGATTAGAAGTAAGTAAATATGGATTTTGATGAATATGAGTATTTAGAAAACACGGTTGAAAATCCTAAGACGCAAAAGACGAAGAAGGAAAACCGTAACGGCAGCGTTGATAATGTCAAATTCGAGGAGAGGAATCGGAGTCGTAGTTCAAAGCATAAGCGGGAGGAGAGACTTGATGATCGTCGCCGATCCAAGCGCTCAAAATCACAAGATGAGTCATCACGTGATCATGACCGACACAAGGAACGAGGCGCATCTCGTCAGCGGTCAGAGTCCAGAGATGGCGAGAAGGATAGGCACAGGAGTAACCGAGAACACAGAGACAAGGACAGGGATAGGGAGGATAGGAATAGGAGGGGCAGAGAGAAGGAACATGAACGAGAAAGGAAAGAGCGTTATCTTGAGAGTGAGAGGAACAGGGAAAGGGAGAGAGAGCGGTCACGGAGAAGCAGCAGTCGATCAGAAAGAGAACAAGAGAAGAGTCGGGACAGGGAGTTTAGAGAAAAAGAAAAGGAGAGAGAGTCAAGGGAACGAGACAGAGGCAGCAGGTATCCCTGCACTTTATTGTCACTTCCATTTGTTTATTTTCTTGCTTCTTCGTGCATGTCTTTCTTGATACATTTGGCTTGAGAATTGCCTTGATGCATAACTGCAAATATTAATTTGATGCGATGATATTATGCTAATAATTTGTTTACATTTTATAAGTAAATTTAGCATACAGGTTGCTTGTTGCTGTGTTAGTGTGTATGGTATATTATGATTATTATTGGTACTCATATACTGGTTCAAATGCAATATGGTTTCAATTGAAATTGTAATTTTTACAGGCCGATCTTGAGTCAGAAAGGTCTATATTGACATTTTCATTTTGCTTGAACAATTTTCCTTTCTTGGAATAAATTCTCAATAACCATTTGCTTGAAACTTAAAATTTGTGAGGATCTTTTGTTATTTCCTTATGACTGAATTTGCTAAAAAACATATTTTATTGCACCTATTCATTTTTCTTATTATAAAAAGCTAACTCCTCTGAAATGTAACAACGAAAAAGGTTGAAAAATACCTTTACTATTATTGCTAGCTATGATTTTTTTTTTTGGTGAGAATGTAGTGTAGGATTCTGTCAAAAAATGCCAACCACTGGATTGTGATGCTAGCTATCTTATGCTGATTGCAATTTATTTTTTTTTTTCAAGGAAATTGTTATTGAGGAGATGCCTATGTGTTTGTTCTAATTAGTACCTAGACATGGGGAATGGTCAATCTTGGAGGTCAGAGACCTTATATTAATTTTTTCCTATTTGGAAGATGTAGCATGGAATAGGGGTGGCTGAAAGTAAATATAGGTAATTTTGTGCATTATTAGGGTTACTGGATGATGATTGTATATGAATTGTAAGGGAATTGGTTACTAGTTCCATTGTCTAGTTGTTCTCCTCTTATTTAACTATCTGGATTACAATTTATCTTTCGATTGACTAAACTATAGAGCTACTTGAATTTTCTTTCTGATATTGGTAAGGTGGTCATTTTTTAAGGTTTTTAACTTACTTTGATGATGGCAAATTTCTTCGTAGATGGGTTGTTGTTAGTGATGAAATAATTTCTTAGTTCTTCTTATGCAAGCTCTGTTGTTATAGTGAGCTAATCTGGTAGTAGATATTTTCTCCCTGGCCTTGGTGTCCTGTTTCCCAAAATCTCTCCAAAAGTTGGCATTGCTATATATCGGGTTCTTTCAACAGAGCACCTGCCTTGCACGTGTAACCATGTAGAAGATCTAGATAATCCATCTTTTCTCTGTCGTAGATATGCTCTATCTGTTGTTTCCTCCAAGTATAATTCTCGCTTGCTTAACGGGTTTTATACCATTATCTAAATGAGTTTTTCTTTCTCCAGTTTCATATAGTTGTGCTATTTATTCGGTCTTCTTAATTCTGAATATTAAACATTAGATTCTGGGAACTCGCAGATGTGCTAGAGCAATCTTCAGATGGTCTTTCTGGCAATTGGGCCAGGCACTGGAACACAGGTCATGGGTTTTAAATGTTTCTTCCTAGACCATATTTGAAAGCTTGCATTGCAAGAATGGAGTTTCAATCTTGGAGGTTTTGACTGGAGTAGTGATATCATGTTATGATTTCTGTTACCCTCCACCTTTAAAAATGAGTTGCTTAATTGTATCTATTATGTTGCAGAAATGCTGGTGAGGGTATGATGGGCTTTTCTTAAGCTTTAAGATGCAGTTCATCTTCGTGTTCAGTTGGATACCAGATTGGCCATTCCTTTTTTTTTTTTTTGTTTTGCAGGATATAATCATTAAAATGTTGTCTTGAAGTTTTAGGTTTTAGGTAACCTTAGTGCTTTCTTCTATTGTCTAATGTTTGATTTCACTTTAATGAGATGAGGTCTTATGTTGACTTTGTGTAGTTCCCTGCAGGACCACGTAACACAGGTTCAGCATTTTTATGCATGTTGGAAGAGAAAAAATTAATGCCATTATGGATTTTGCTTTTTTCTATGTTTGTTCCTTTTTTTTGCAGTGATTGCATGAAGTATGCATTTGAGAGATTTCTTCACTTCCCAGAAGCAAAATCATAGTTTCTACTTATCTTCACTCTTCACTTCCCAGAAGCAAAATCATATTTCTTACTTATCTTCACCTTTAAAAATATTTTTATCACTTTTGAGTGGTCCCATTGACATTTTTATCTGTTTTTAAACAATATAAAAGGTTGTTTTACGTTTTTCCTCCTTTTCACAGGAGGTATAAAGACAAAAAGGCAGATGTGGCAGAGCCTGAGATTGATCCAGAAAGGGATCAGAGAACTGTATTTGCTTATCAAGTATGGATGCATTTAGATTGTTCGTTTTGTCATATTTTTGTGGCCCTGATGTTTTTCCTCATGGCTGCCGATTTAAAATTTTGTAATCAATTTCTGACAGATACCCTTGAAGGCTAATGAAAAAGATATTTATGAGTTCTTCTCTAGGGCTGGCAAGGTGATTTTTATTTTTATTTCATGGTTCCATCTCAAAATTTCTTCTATACAGGTTACGTTAGGCTCATTTCTTAAATGTAGTAAGTATGTTGCTTAAGACCTTGTATTTTATGTTATGAAACTCATTTTAATTTAATTACCATTTTGTTCATGTCTTAAAGGATTTTTTAGCAATTGTAATCTGTATGAAGAATATAATTGAGGTAATTTGGCAGAAGGTTGTGCTGGAGTTCCCTATTGTTCGCTATTGTTATTAGTTGCTTTGAACTGAAATCATTTGCTTTATTATTAAAATTAATGTTTAATTGCTGTTGATCCTATATATAAACTGGTTTTATTAATCTTTCAACGTGTGAATCTGATTGAACCTATTGAAATTACATTAAGTTATAGAATGATTAGTAGAATTAGTTGATTTTTGTTTTAAGCAAAAATTTAAAAGTCTAGTACAATTTATAATGTTATCCACTCAGACACTTTCAACAGTAAATTTGAATGATCATGGATGCTGACAAATACAGATTAGTACACAGAGACAAGTTTTTTCTTCTTTTTTCTTTCTGTGATGGGTAGTGATGTGTTTTCTTTTTTTTATCTGCATACTTATTAATTCACAATTTACAGGTACGAGATGTTCGCCTCATACTGGATCGAAATTCAAGACGTTCGAAGGGGGTTGGGTATGTACTAAACCTTAATGACTAGAATTTGCAATTCTTAGGTGCTATTTGTTTGTTGCTTTTGCTACTTGTTTCCTATTATTTGTTACAGAAGTGATAAAAAAAAAAATACCAGTTGTAGGTAAAAAAATTTTGATACATGCGTTACATATATAAGTAAATCCTTCTACGTTTCTATTTAAAAAATATCTATTTGTTTGTGTATATAACAAAACTTTTGCTTTTCTCTTCTATGAGCAAAAAGTGTGTATCAAAAGCAAGAACCAAGCAAACCCTTTTGATTATGCTTTTGCTTTTACTATTTCTCATCTACTTGGTGATTGTTATGTTGTTGTCTTGAAAGAAATCCTATGCAATTCATATCATGTGGGAAAGCCTAAATGTGCTGTTGTTTGAAAGATTTTACAATTTTGAACAATTAGATTGGTTTGGTATGTGTCATATGATATCTGAGATGTGATTTGGTAAGAAATTGGGAGGTGTTAATGTTCCATGGATGCTGCTAGTTGGCATATTCTAATAGAAATAATTGATATAGTATGGATAATTCATGGCAAATTATATTTAAGTAGTTTGTTAGAAGAGTGTAAAATAGCTGTAGCTACGTTAATGCATCCAACGTAAACTAGTTGGTAATTGGTTGAGAGACTCCAAATACTATGAATCTCAAGTTAAACCAGTCTATAGGAAGGAAACTTCTTAATATTTTGCTTTTGTGTAGCGTCAATACTAACAGTTATGTCTATAATGCAAAGGTATGAAAATTAGGCAAGTAATAAACAGCAAATAGGTAACAAATTTGTAAGTTCTTTTTGGAGAAAGTGGTGAGAAGATGGTGCTTTGTGGGGTGGTTTGGTATGTTGTGTTTCTTGTTGTGTGTGCCAACTGCATTCCTGTGGAACTTTACTTAGTTTCTTTATGCAGGTATATTGAATTCTATGATGTAATGTCAGTTCCTATGGCAATAGCACTCTCTGGACAGCCTCTTCTTGGTCAATCAGTGATGGTGAAACCATCAGAAGCCGAGAAGAATCTTGTTCAGTCAACTACATCTGTGGCAGCTGGACAGACAGGTCCACATGCTGGTGGGGCTAGAAGGTTGTATGTTGGCAACCTGCATTTCAACATAACAGAAGATCAACTTCGGCAGGTAAGAATGTAGGGACTGTTAATGATGTACACTTTAATGTTTGGGACAGGATAACAATTATTGGTTTTGAATTCAGCTAATATTAATTACTCAGGGTTTGGGTTCTAATCTGAAAGTGTTATTTGAGGAATCAGATAGCATACTAATTGACCTGAAGAAGAGTTAAATTAATTATTTAGCGAGGGAAATATTCAAAGATATGAGAAGGCTAAACCTAGGCTTGGTATCCATGTGTCATAGAACTTCCAAACAAGTAGATGCATTAGATGTCTTGCAATAATATGTGGGCTTCAAAAGATTTTCTTCATTAGCTTTAGAAAACCGAAACTCTTAAATATGGTAAAGACTTAGTTGCAAAATTTACTTGGGGGGAAACTGCCCATTTCAAGGAGACTTGGCATAAACTGAACTAATGTCCCTTTTCTTGTTTCTTTGCAAAGTTGTTCTTGACCATTTCTACGTATGACAATAATATAGCTCTTGAACTCAAGTTCCCCCCTTTTCTGAAGTGATTTTGCACTTACCATTCATATGTATGAGTTGACCATAATTACTATAAATCATTTGTTGAGATTGGAGTGATCGGTTAGATTGGTAAGCAAAATGAAAAAAGTCTTAATGTGCTTTTGTTACTTGATGCTTTACACTATAATATTTGCTAGGCTGTTTACTGTTGAGGTATTTTTTATTAATATAGTTGCTTTTGCTCATCTTTTATAGGGGTTTTATGTTCCTCTCTCTCTCTCTCTCTCTCTCTAATCCTCATAATTGGAGTACTATCTCTTTATCATACTTCCTTGGGATCCTTTGTGCTTTTGCTGGATTAATATTGCTCATTTCCTTTTTTAAAATGCTCAGGTTTTTGAACCCTTTGGTTCGGTGGAGCTGGTTCAGTTGCCTCTTGATGAAAATGGTCAATGTAAAGGTTTTGGTTTTGTCCAGGTAATACTAAGCAACCTGAGAAATATATTGTGATTTTCCTTTAGCAAATCCTTAGATCCATTGATATGTTGAAGAGTGGAAGTGCATGTATAACCCCCCAAAAAGGATAAACTTTGAATTGAAGAGCTCTGCCTTTGCTGTATATTGAAAAGCTTTATCTAGCTGTTTGTAATCAAACAGGCCTTAGTATAATATTTGAATTTGAGATGGCTTATTTCTTAGATGCTTAGTAGTGCATGTTTTGAAAAGATAATTGAATGATTGTTCTTCTTGCAGTTTACCCAGCTGGAAGATGCTAAGAATGCATTGAATTTGAATGGACAGCTGGAGATTGGAGGTCGAGTAATCAAGGTAATCATGGGTAATCAATGTTTTAGTTTGGTGTGGGTATGCATATATTAACTGATATCTGATTTAAGGTTCCACATCATTTGAACCTTTAACTACTCAATTAAATTTGCAATAATTCTAGGAACACATAAACCCTTCTATATTCTTTTGCCTTCAACTTTTCTTTTAGCTGCTGTTCTATGGAACATGCAGCTATCAATTTTTTACCACCAGACAGCCTTAAGAATGAGAGTTTTTAGTTATTTATATATGTGTATGTTTCTTTTTCCATCTGTTTAGGTATCAACTGTTACCGATCAAGGTCCATTGCAAGATGTTGGGACAAATGCCACTGATCTTGATGATGACGATGGTGGTGGCTTGGTAAGTATCATTCATAATCCTTTTTTTTATTATTATTGTTAATGATCCAGAACTCTTTTATGCATTTAAAGAGGTATCAGTTGGCTAAGAATGGTTTCTGTTGAACCCACCTTTAGAGCATAGCTCAATATTGATATTGCATTTGAAGAAAGGTGTAAACTCATGCTATCTTGCTCAGGTTGTAGCAATTTTTCCAGGAGGATGGTGAACAAATGTGAAGTCATAGAATATGCTCTTGTGACTGGACTGTCTTACATTTGTCTTTGATTTGCTATCTTTATCTGTATTTGATGAATTTGGTTAGTCTTGGCATGCGTGTTTTCTGACTTTCTAGTAAGCTGACAAAACATTCTTCTGAATCAGTCTCTTAATTCATCATCTCGAGCACTTCTCATGGCGAAGTTGGATCACAGTGGCACTGCATCAAGGTTAGCCTTTCTCAATCTGGTAATTGTTTTATTTATAAGTTATCTGGCTGGAACTGCATTTGTCTCCTTTATCTGCAGTATTACTGGATCAGTAGGCATGCCTGTTAATAGCACTGGCCTTACTGCATCAACAGCACCAATCCTTGGTGCTGCTGCACCTGTGGTACCAGCCCTTGTCCCTCCTACTGTGCAGGCCTCTGTTCCTACAATATCTGGACTTCCAGGTGGTCCACAACTCCCTACTAATGGGATTCCTATCAACACAATTGGAATCCCAAGTGAATGCCTATTGTTAAAGAATATGTTTGATCCAAAACTGGAGGTTGGTGTCTATGCCTGGATTGTAGAGTTTCTTCTTCTTGTTTTTGTCTAACCATATCATATTCTTATAACAGACTGAACCAGATTTTGATTTGGATATCAAAGAAGATGTCAAAGAAGAATGTTCAAAATTTGGTAATTTAAAGCATATATATGTGGACAGGTATATTACTAGGCAACATTTGGTTCCCTCCAAATGCTTGTCCGATTTTGAGGATGTCAATATGCCATTTAATTCATAGTTAACGGTTTATAACATTTTGTTGCCTTAATTTTGTTCTTTGTATCTCTATTTTCCTGCTGACTGTCGTGGCTTGTATAATTCCTTGAACAGGGATAGTGCTGGTTTTGTCTACTTACGTTTCAAAGATACGCAAGCTGCAATTAATGCACAACGGAACCTACATGGAAGATGGTTTGCTGCAAAAATGATTACTGCAACATTCATGGTAAATAAGTTCTTTAGGTTATCTGATTTCATTTCTATTCAATATTTTGGAAATAAAATATATATTGTTGTTTGCAGGTGCCGCAAACCTACGAGGCAAAGTTTCCGGACAGCGACAGATACTTGGATGATGTCTAACCTAAGGCTGTTTTTGAACTCGAGGAGGGTCAAATTTCCGTGGAATTATAAATCCCTTGCAACTTTATATCTCCCAGGAACCTGTATGGGAATTTCAAAAATGGAATTGGATGCAGTATTCGTACTAACATGATTTTTTCATGTTTGATATACCACTGCAAGAAGGTAGGAATAGTTGTGTTTTTTGTGTATAAATAGTAATTGTCGCTGATGACAATGAAATTCCTATAAAGCGGTTATGGTAGCTAAAATTTTTCTATCATCTAATGCAAAAAAAAAAAGAAAAAGATATATATATGTATATATACATAAAATATGGAGTTATGAACAAAATCTGCTTGATTAAAAAAAAATCTAGTACCTGGAAACTCAAAATCTGCATGCGTAAAGCAAATAAAACGTAGTAAGAACTTATATTTTTGAGTTAATATATTGTTTATATAGAGATAAGAAGGGCTTTGATATTTTTGCAAGGTCAATATGGATGGAGAACGAAATTGGTTGTACAAACAATACAAAAAGATTTGCAAAATAATGACACGTGTAACGATTGTTCATGGTTTGATTGTGTTGGAGCTCACCACCACCAACATGGGAATGGGACAACGCTTGGAAGGCTTTGGATGCCGGTGGCATAGGTCACTCCGCCTACAAAATAAGGATCTTCATAGGTATTTTAACTGAACTTAAACTCGTCCTATTAAGCCCCAAGTTTTCGTTTTTCATTGACTGACTTGGATGTTTTCGAACAATTGTGTCAAAGAGGCTTGATGATAACTAAGTTTCCCTTGCAATAACATTCAAAGATCTTAAAAATTTCTTAACTTTTTCTTTTTAATTTTATAAAATTACGCCAACCTACAATACATGAATCCAAACAATACTCGAGCTTGGCCCAATATAGAGTTTAGTTGGGCTTTCTAGATCTCTTCTATACCCCAAAAAACGGAGTCCAAACGCAGCGTTTCATCTCTATTTGATAATATGACTGTTGATTTTCACCTAAGCGGCGTCGTTCAGTCTGCCCTTTTCTCTTTCTCCGACACTCCTCTCCTCCTCCCCTCTCTCTCTCTCTCTCTCTCTCCAGACTTGCTGATGAAGAAACCGAGTTGAAACTGAAAACCTTGCTCCTTCGTTTTACTTGGTTCTCGGTTCCTCCAAATCAAGACATTTCTCTTGCCAATCAAATGTCAAATTTTCTCAATCCCCATTATCTTTTACTTTCAAGCATCTCTCTAATTAAAATTTCACTTATTTAATCTGATTTCTTACATAAATTTTCTTTTCAATTCGCAGTTGTTTCAGATTCTCGGAAATGACTCAAGATTTGGAGATGAAAGAGCAAGCAGCTCCTTCCAAATTTAACCTTTTTTTATGTTTTCTGAAATGGGTACTTGTGGGTTTTTCTCGAATTTGAATAAAATTTTCTGGGTTTCTGTATGATTTGAAGGAATTGGAGATATTTTGTTCTGTGGTTTTTTGGTCAAATTGATAAGTATGCTATCCTCTTAGGTTTGACTTGATGTCTTAGTTAATTCTAAGCATTGAAAAGCATGGTAATGATAGTAAAGAAATGGTTGCTTTTATGAAGTTAATGATTGGTGATTGTTCTTTGATTGACCTTCTCTTTTGAGATATGATTTTTTCTTTTTACAATGTCATGGCCAGTGATTTTGAAGGTTTTCTAGTTCCAATGTCAAGGAAATGCCTTGATCAGTAGTCAAGTTTCTCACTTTTACCATTCATGTTCTTCTTAGAAATATTTGTTTTTTGTATGAGTACAATAAATTGTTCATAATTTAACAAGTCTTGCATTTATTTTTCTTTTAAGAGCTCAATTGTTGAATGTTGGTGCAAGGACGGTGATCACGAGATGGAAGTCGACACTGCAACCTCTGTGGTTCAAGCTCCTGCAAATTATGCCCTGCCAGAGCTAGAAATCTACTGCTACTTGCTTGTCCTGATATTTCTGATTGATCAAAAGAAATACAATGAGGTACATTAGCAAATAATTTCATCATGATGTTTCCTGTTTCTTTTACATAACATTGCCTCGTTTCAGGCGATAGCAAGTTCCTCTGCAAGCATTGCCCAGCTGAAGAATACGAATAGGAGGACGGTCGATTATGTAGCTGCTAGGCTTTACTTCTATTATTCCCTCTGCTATCAACTCACGAGTGATCATGCTGCAATTAGAGGGTGAGCTAAATTGTATTCAAATCTAACTTTTACCATCTGTTGTCTTTAATATATGTTCTGGTTTATGCTTTCTTTTTAAGAAATCTCAGCTTATTATTTTTCTAGCATGCATGATTGGACGTAATGTACAGTATGACATCCTAGGTCTAATTAGGATGATCATTCATTGACAGTAACCTTCTAGCCCTGCATCGGATTGCAACATTGCGCCATGATGAGCTGGGTCAGGTAAACCTTCAAGTATTGGAGCAATTATATTTCTGATGTTTGGGTCTTATATTTGGATATTGCTCTTGTGTAGGAGACACTTCTCAGCCTGCTACTTCGCAATTACCTCCATTACAATTTGTATGATCAAGCAGAAAAACTGGGGCCAAAGGCACTAGATTTGAAGCTCACTCAAACCAGCAGGTAAGTTGCAACTTTTTTGTATCTGTCTTTGAACAGTATATCTTAAAGTCACCCATGTTGCCAGAATTTGTTTTCTTCATTTCTTTAAACTAAATTGCATTTTACAGGTTATGAAGTGGTTGCCTGGAGGTTTGACATGGCTTATGGTTATAGCTATGAAAACATTACAGTTAGCTTTAAATATCCTAAGACAAAGGTTCTCCTCTTCAGTTTTTCCGGTACCTCTTTTACTTGGGGAAGATTAGGACAATACAATTGGAGTACACAGATGCCATAAGAGTCTCGAAAGCCCCTGTTGCGGCCTTTGGTTTTCGGGTTCAATGCAACAAATGGGCTATCATCATCCGATTACTTCTAGGAGAAATCCCTGAGAGGACTGTTTTAATTCCGAAAGGCATGGAAAGGCATTGATGCCATACTTTGAACTGACAAATGTGAGTTTGAGTTCGACATACTAATTTTGTTTTCATTTTGCTTTTTAAAGAACCAAGGGCCCATATTCCAAGCATGACTTTCCCAATAAGGAAAAGGAGAGAGTCATGTGTGTAGCTCTTAAATATTTTCACGGGTTTTATCAGTATCCCTCATGTTTTCTTATTCATCAAAGTTTGGATTGCTGCTATTTAAGTCATTTTAGGGAAATTTAAAATTTTAGTGCAAGAACCCAGAGTTATAATCATTTGGATTGCCTCTTGGGTTTCAGCAGTTCCAAGATTTTACTACTGGTTTTGAGAACACAGAAAATGTTTGTGTGTATTTCCAGGCTGTACGCATGGTGATTTGGAGCTCTTCAGATCTGTTGCTGAGAAGTTCTTGGAGTATTTTCAGTTCAGACCAGACCCATAATTTGATCGATAAGCTGTGGCATAATTTCATTTGGACTGGGCTACGCGACAGAAGTATCTCATAATCTCGCATCTCACTGGTTGCCAAGAAGCTTAAGATTGGACTCTGTTGCGGATGCTGAGAGTATAGTAGCCAAGACAATCAGAGATGGAGCTATTGATGCGACATTGGGTCATGCAAATGGATGTATGCTCTCAAAGGAGACAGGAGACATCTACTCTACAACTGAGCCTCAAATGGTTTTCAACTCTAGGATTGCTTTCTGACTCAATATGCATAATGAGGCAGTGCGTGCACTTTGGTTCCCACCAAACTCCCACGAGGAGAAAGAAAGTGCTGAGAAGAGGAGAGAAAGATAACTAGAGCAAGATCTTGCAAAGCACATTGCAGAGGAAGATGACGATGAGTTTTAATTCCATGGTATGCAAAAGGGAATTTATCCACCATATGATGGTTTCATCAAGTTGTTCATTTTCGTTTTAAATGCCCCAGTAGAAACGAATTAATGGGGTTGCTCATATTTTTCCCCATGATTTTTAAGTTTTGTTCCGTGAACAATGCCATGTCATTTGAATCAACCATCCAGCCATTTGATACATCTCTAGGTAGAACTCTTCTAAAGATGATTGTCTGATGTTGTTAGAGTAGTTATCTTCGATGTTATCTTCAATGATATAGCTTAGATTTTTCACAGAGAATAACAGGAGCCAGGAATGGCATATGATTCCTGTAAACATCTTCCAATTCAATTTGTCAAACTAAGGAAAGCAAAAATGAATGCGGTTCTCTATGCAAAGAGCTCTGAGAATGGCAAAAGGGCATTTCATGGTCTCACGCAAGCATAAGGTTCTGTAACTATAAAGAATCAAGGTATTGTAGCATAGGCTAATGAAGAGTCGTATTGATGAAGAACATTCAAACATCATTTACCAAATACCAGACAATAGAAGCTGTAATAGCTGGAGCTGGCACATCATGTTTTGGTCTGAATACAGCGACCATATTCTGTAAGGGCTCAACATGAATGACTAGTATGTCGTTGGCCAATATGTGAAAACAAGTAACAGATATGGCTGAAAGAAAAATACTTAGCATTATTAACAAAGTAATTTCTAATTAGAAGAAACGAAAAATATCAGTCACTTGTTCATCTATGATACAACTCACATCCTGAACAATCATGAATGATACAAAAGTAAGTTCAAACTCCTAGGTGAGGCAGAAAAAGGGTAGAAGGAAAAGAAAAACGGTAATGAGAACCAAAAATAACAGAATTTACTAGTTTAATGAAGTTATTCAAAAGCTTTGATCTCACACCAGAATCACCCAGCTGAACTCAGCCCAAATGACTTGACTATTGTGCTCACTCTTTCTGCAAAAGTTCTGGAAGTAATCTTTTTACCAGGCACATGAAATGGGTTTGAGACTGCATCAACATATGCAGCATGGAACCTCCTGAAAAACTATACATAGGTACAGCAAAATTGAAAAGCAAGAACAAGTCAGACACCATAATAATATTGTAAGCATCCATTCAAAATATAGAACATAATATACTATTTTTTTCAATACAAAGAATAAAAAGCTTTAAGAAGAAATACTCATTTGTCTAATTCCAAGAAAAGCAACACACTCAAACATTGGTCTCAAATTTATGCTAAGAAAGTAGGTGTGAGTGTGCCATTGGCGGATGGGGGCAGTAACTGGTAGCAACCACCTAGATCATCCAATAAGTGGAAATGGAACATTCAAACCTACAGTTATATGAGGAACCCTTGACCATCTCATCTGAAACAATAACAAAAAATAGAATTCCACATAGGAAAATCTACAATGGAAGAAAAAATCACAAGCTAGGATTTCAACAAATATGTTTGATTTCAGCAGAAACAACCACCAAATTTTTCTGTAGTTTCCATATACGCAGGTCTAAGTCTAACTCCTAAGACTTGTCCATGTATCAGGATTGACCAGCAAATCTAATAGATAGATATATCACAAGAATTAACTCATGATTTACCACTCTCTAGATTTCAACTTTATTGCTTCCATAGGTTGTCATCATCCATGACTATAGCCTCATATTATATCAAGGATAGGGCTGAAGCTTAGTAATCCATCAGTAGTAGTGGCTAAAGCTTAGGCAAAGTTCTTAACTGAACATAAGGAGAAAACTCAGCCCAACACTCATTCATTACCAAGACAAATTCAAATACTCAATGCCACCACTAGTTCGTGCGTGCTTCCTTGACACTTCATCTAGGGCTTAAAATTTAATGAAGGTTCACTTATCAATAAACCTATTTTTAGTTATAACATAGCTATAGACCCATATTATAAGTAAACCAACGAAGGAAACGCAAAAATAAAGATAGTATTAGAAATGATGCATTATTGCACATCAACATTGTCATAGCTCCAATGAAAAAAGAAACAAAATAGAAATGATATATTTACGGACTTCAAATACAATCCTTATTCCTACAATCCAATTCGTTGTCGGATACAGCAATACTTACATTTCTAACATCGGCATCTCTAACATCTAAATTCGTCGTCACCAAAATGAACTTCACCTTTGTGTTAGTCAAATAACCATAGCTGCAAACAACACAGCCACACACAAGAAGTTCAACATTCCAATACTTACAAAACAAAGCGACGGTAGGAATTTCGAATCAAATGTAAAAACAAAATTGACTGTAAAATTAACCTCTTACACTTTATAATTCTCTGTAGGATAAAGCAATCCCAAAAAGGTCTCGTTCAATGGCGGCCCAGATTTTTTTGGATTGTTCACTATAAATATATAATTATATATAATCATACATCATCAGATGTTCAAAATCTATGATTTGAAATTAGCATAAGCGAAATTTTAAATTAAAAAATAAATAAATTTTAACATATTTGCCGCTAAATGTGCCTGATTCAGATCCTACTATGTCAATGAAGAAAAAAAAGTGAATTCTTAGTAATACCTCGCTCGTCGACGACATCGAGGGAGCAGTGGACGATGTGATGGAGCTTGAGAGCATCATCGGCGTCGGTGAAGCTCTGTATGTAAAGAGGATTGTTCTGTTCATCATAATGAAAAACAGATCATTAATAGAAACAAAAGGAAAAAGATTTCGCTTTGTGAATTGATGCGTGAAATCAAGAACGGTTGAAAGAGGAGGGTGGCGCACCTGATGGCCTACGACGGCGACACACACTATCATCTTCTCCGGATTTCCCTAAGCGCCAAGCTCCCTTCACTCTTACGGAAGACGATTGGATGTGAAGTCTCGGTTAGTTCGCGTTAATTGGAGAAGTTTTCAGGTGTTCTCGACTCTCGAGCGTAGTTAGATGTAGTGTGGCCACTTGATCTGTACCCTTGAAACTATAGCTCCAGGAACGCCAACCGCCGTTTGATTTTTTATTAAATCGTTCTTTTTCTTTTATTATAATAAAACTATAGAATAAAAATGAAAATATGCGAGTGAAAATCATATAGAAAGAAGATTAACATTTAAATTTAATTAATTTTACCATCTTATAAAGCTAAATGAGGAATTTTATCTATATCTTATATTCCATTTCAAGTTAGGCACAATATTTTCTTGGTTAATTAGCTCTTTATGATTTTTTTTTCTCTCATTGTATTAAGGACTAATTTTGATTTAGTTAAGTTTCACCATCTATTTTATCTAAATTTTGTCATAAAAAACTAAGATCATATTTTCAAATGCACTTTGACATTTAAGCGTCCATTTAGATTTACGATAAAATTAATTTTAATAAAAATTATTATAATTATGATTAAAAAAATTTATATCGAATAAATTTCATTAAAATTGACATTTAAATTTAATTGATGATACAAAAAATTTAATCACATAAAAATTACGATAAAATCCAAATTTCTACTAAATCTATTAAATGTATGAAAAAAAAAATTAATATAAAAAATATGATGCATTATTGATTTAATTTTTTTTTATATATTTCATGATGATAACATAACTAATTAAACAAGTTGTTACGTGAGCGCTGATGATATAATGGTCAAAATATTACTTACGTGATCATCTAAATATAACACTTCTAAAACTTAAAATTCGATATACTTTTAAGGGTTGCCTTCAAACAAAAGGATACCTTTCCTTCCCTTCAAAAAATCGCCCAACGAAACTCATCCTATTTCTTTACTTCAAATGAAGATGTAGCGCAAGTTTTAATATTTTATATTATTTTTTTTAACACATGAAAAGAATAGTAAAATACCGTTATTTATTCCTTTAAGGCGTATATATATTCTCCCAAAAATATTTGAAAAAAAAAAATTTATAAAATTCAGCAAATCTGATGAAATTCAGAATTGTTGGATCCCTATTGGCCCAAACATCCAAACACCAGACAAAAAATAAAACTTTTTATAATTACAAATCTACCCCTACACTCCGCTTCCAGAGTCTAGGCTCCAAATTAGTACTTATTGTCTAATTTGTCTTTTTTTTTTTTGGCCTTTTTCTCTTTTAAAATACAAACAGCTCCTCTCCGTTCCATTTCTGTGTCTCTTTTTCTCTATTCCTCTATTCAAAAAATCGCCGATTTTCATCAGGTAATTTCATCTTAGGTCATCTTTGAATCCTGCGATTAATTACCGATGAAAGCTGAACCAATATTTTCATTTCCCTTTCTACTTCCTTTCTACAATTTTTATTGGAATGAGGTAGAGCAGTGTGGATTTGAGCTGCTTGCTCTTTTTTTTTTTTTTAATTTTAAATTCAATGATTTGTTACTTGATTAATTTTTGAGCTGTTTTTGGAGATTGTTTTAATCCGTATTAGAGTATGTGAATATATATTTCTTAATTTTGCTTTTGTTTTGGCATTCAATTGTACATTTGGATTTAATGCTATCGAATAGAAGACCTTTGTTTCTGGAATAATTCGAAGCACTTTTTTGTGTGTGTTTTGAATAGGATATTAAATGGTTAAATGCGATTTTTAGGCAAAATTTTGGTTTGATATAAAATCTGGTGATTAACTTTTTGGAAAGAGCTCAATGTTAGTTTAAAGTGTATGATATCTGAGTAAATTTGTACTTTCTGTTTTAGAAGAAACTGGTTTAAGAATGTTATGTTTCATGAAAACCTTATTGTTAATCTGTTAATATCGAGTTATGTATGTTGTTAGGTTATTGTAAAACCTCAGATTATTGTTAGGTTGAACAAAAGATTTGGAAATTAGAAGTGAAATGCTTGATAGGTTGAAACTTGCTTTGCTGAATTAAGTGTGCTAAATGATAGTTTTATGATGTTTGTATATGTTATCTTAGATGGGAACGAAGCAACCTTTATTAGCTTTTGAGACTAACGAGTCCACCACAACAAGTTCGCATGAAAGTAACAGTTTGAGTCAGGGTGATTCTACAACAAATGGATCTGTTAGTGATCAAAATGTAAATAACCCAACTGATGTTGGAGTTAGTAAACAAAATGAGACTTCCAGTAACTCGCATAGTGTTCCTTATATTTATCGACAAGATGTTGTCAGGATTAATGCAAGTGGTTCAATTGGGATTGTGAGTGAAGTTGCTGGTGACTCAGATTCAGATGGAAGCATAGCCGATGATAGAGATGACGAAGATGAAGAAGAAGATCTGGATGGTGAAGATGAAAACACTGATGTTGATTACAATAGCAATGTTAATGAGAGTGGTGAGGGGAACAAAGTTGACCGCGATTATAAGTGTGGTGATCTTCAAGCCGATCAAATTCGGGTACTCTGGATGGATGATACTGAGCCAGTTCAAAGTATTAAGAATGTAACTGTTGTTGATCGGGGTTTCTTACATGGGGATTATGTTGGTGCTGCTTCAGACTCAACTGGGCAGGTCGGTGTTGTGGTGGATGTCAATATCTCTGTTGATCTGTTAGCTCCAGATGGATCTATTATAAAAGATATCTCCACTAGAGATTTGCAACGTGTGAGGGATTTCACTGTGGGTGATTATGTGGTCCTTGGTCCCTGGCTAGGTAGAATAGATGATGTTTTAGATAATGTCAACGTGTTGTTTGATGATGGCTCTATGTGCAAAGTTATGAGGGCTGAACCATTGCGTCTCAAACCAAGTACTAGGAACACCCTTGAAGATGATAGTAATTTTCCGTACTATCCTGGCCAGCGTGTAAAGGCAAGCTCTTCATCTGTTTTCAAGAATTCTAGGTGGTTATCTGGCTTATGGAAGCCAAATCGGCTAGAAGGTACAGTCACTAAAGTTGCAGCTGGATCTGTGTTTATTTATTGGATAGCATCTGCTGGCTATGGGCCCGATTCTTCGACTGCCCCAGCTGGAGAGCAGAATCCAAAGAATCTAAAACTGTTGTCTTGTTTTACACATGCGAATTGGCAAGTGGGTGATTGGTGTCTTCTTCCAACTTCATTGCAATCCATTTCTTTGGACAAGGGTTTGTCTAAACTGCAACATAATGGTTCCATAAGAAATGGGGGAAAGCATAAAAGTGACTCAGAAGAGGTTACTCTGGAAGAATCAAATGATAATGGTGAATCCATGGATCTCAATGCAATGTCTACACCTGATGAAAACAATGCAATTATTGAAACTAAAGACAATGGAGTTATTGAAAATAAAGCCTCACCTGAATCTAGCTCTTGTAGCAGTTCATTATCAGTTTCAAAGGCGACTGTCCATGAGCATTGGCCACTTCACCGCAAGAAGATACGTAAAGTTGTGATTAGGAAAGACAAGAAAGCAAAAAAGAAAGTGGATAATTTTGAAAGGGCACTTTTAATTGTCAATAGTAGAACAAGTGTTGATGTTGCATGGCAGGATGGAACGGTGGAACATGGAGTACACGCAACGACGTTGATCCCAATTGAAACTCCTGGTGATCATGAATTTGTTGCAGAGCAATATGTGGTGGAGAAAGCCTCCTATGATGGTGATGATGAATATGAACCCAGGCGTGTTGGGGTGGTAAAAAGTGTTAATGCAAAGGAGCGGACAGCTTGTGTAAAGTGGTTAAAGCCAGTTGCCAGAGCAGAGGACCCTCGGGAGTTTGAAAAGGAGGAAATAGTAAGTGTGTATGAATTGGAAGCTCATCCAGATTATGATTACTGTTATGGTGATGTGGTAGTTCGATTACCCATGGCTTCGGTTCCCATGCAATCTGCTTCTGGTGAAGGCTCCATTAAGGAGCCAAAGCAGGAAGATGGATCAAAGGAGGTAAAACAAGACTTTAAAAAGCACTCAGGAAGTAATAAAGTAGAAGGTGCATCGCTGAATGAAGCTTCCATGGAGTTCACAGATCTTTCTTGGGTTGGGAACATAACTGGCTTGAGAAATGGTGATATTGAGGTTACATGGGCTGACGGGATGGTCTCAACGGTAAACTTGATGCCTTATTCTGTGAACTATCATTTCGTTTTCTTTCTCCTTAGAGTTGTCCATACCTTCTGAATCTTAAACTTTGCATCTTTTATCAGTTGGTTTTCTTATATTTATTACATCGGTAACCTCTCTTCCCATCAATCTGGCTGATATAAAACATTAGAGGCTTTTTTATCTCACTGGATATTGTTATTCTGGTTGGAATGACAGAACCTGCTCTCTGTTGTGTTCTTTTGAGTGGTTTATTCTGTATGTGACCATTAATGGTCTCACATAGATCCCAAGGAGGCTAAATATAAGCATTATAACCTCAGAGAAGGTTTCAAATGACATTTTTAGCTTATTGTTATCAGTAAATTTATCTTTCTTTACTTATATTCTATTTATATGTGCTTATTGTAGGAATATCTTAACTACTTGTATGTTTTATCATGTGATGATTAGTGATAACTTTTTTTTACTGTGCCTTTTCTTCCATGTGAAGGAGCATAGGTATTGTTTTGACAAATTGATCTTTTGGTTTGTTTAGGTTGGACCTCAAGCAATTTACGTAGTTGGTCGAGATGATGATGAGTCAATTGCTGCCGGGAGTGAAGTAAGTGATGACGCAGCTAGTTGGGAAACTGTTAATGATGATGAGATGGATGCTTTTGAGAATGCTGAAGAGGTTTGTTTCTGTTTGAAACAATAGTGCGGAAGTCCATAAATTTAAATCAGTTACATGTCAGTATATCAATTACTTGCAAGCAGGTTTTCGTAAAAAGTGGTTCAACAGTTGTCGATCTTGACACTTCATTCTGAAACACTTTTTTATGAACCAGAATATGCTCTGGGATGATCTCAATAGGTTGAGATTTAGAACTTTGAGAGCAAAAAAAAAATTGATGTATTAATCACATATTTTTGGGAAAAAAATATCTTTGCCTTATTGTGCAGGTAGGACCATCAGATGGTTGGAAAAAATTTTCTAGATGCCTTCTGCACATACATGATCACTAAACCTTTTATGCGCCATGCTAGTAGAACTATCAGTAAATTATTACATAATCTTAAATTCTAACAATTCATATATTTTGTTTCTCAGCTGAGTGAATGATGTAAGTATTTATTGTTCAGGATCTGGAACCACAAAATGCCAGCAACATTATTTCAGAAGTAGAAGAGGGCATGGAGAATAATTCTGGAAGGAATGCAGCATTATCTCTCCCCTTAGCTGCATTTGATTTTGTCACCAGACTAGCGAGTGGATTGTTTTCGGGAAGACAAAAAAATGTTGATCCAATTGGTTTGGATTCCAAAGGAGAAAATGAGCATCAGCCCGAGGGAAGAGATTCCAGCTATGAGTCTAGCTCGCAGAAGTCTAATGTTCTTGATAATTCCAGTGGCGAAAGTGTTCATGGAAAAGGACAGGAACACGTTGAATCTAAGGCTCAGAAACATTCACTTTCAGTGGAAGGTTTATTCAACTTGAGAATTGAAGACTCAGATTCTAAAGCAGGTGATGAGGATCATGCTTGCAGTTTCAGGCGGTTTGATACAGCTAAGGATCCTTTAGATCATTATTTTCTTGGTGCAAATGCACAGGTAGATGACCTTTCATATATTAGCATAAAAAATTTATAGCTTGCTTTGTTGTCTCGAGTTATAACTTTAAGCACATGAAATATAATATTTGGACATGGACTTTTCAAGTTATCATAGTATGATTAGGATCATCCCATTAATTTGATTGTGTAATTAAAAATGCACACTGACATATTGTAGTGCCACTTGGAAAGCTATGCCATAGACTCAGTTTCTGAATTGAATAATTGATAAAAGAACTTCTTTCATTAATGAAGATAGCCTGTTGCTTGAGGAGACTCTAATATATTGATACGTTGTATTTCTTGTTAAATTTTTTAGGTTTTGTGTTGACTCGCTCTACTATGGTGTTATTACTTTTTAGTAATTGTAGTGTATAACCTTACCAGTTGGTACTTCACCTGTGTGGTTATGTCTTTTGGATGTTGAATCTTGCCACATTAATCATGCTTGCAGAATAATACTGGAAGGAAGTGGCTAAAGAAGGTTCAGCAAGATTGGAACATCCTTCAGAACAACCTGCCAGGTAAAGATTGTGTAGTGCAGATATATCAAAAGGTTTCTGGTCCTTGGCTGTATCAACCTTTAAGTTAAGCACTTATAACTATTTAACAGATGGAATCTATGTACGAGTATATGAGGATCGGATGGACCTCTTGAGGGCTGTAATAGTTGGGGCATATGGGACACCTTATCAAGATGGTCTCTTCTTCTTTGATTTTCACCTTCCTCCTGAGTATCCTGATGTGCCACCAGTAAGATTAAAAACCTTCTCTTATTTCTTCATTGCCCCTCCCTCCATCTCTTTCTTCTCGGGGAAAGATATACTTGATACTTTTTTAGGACAAAGGTATGATGACCATCATGTTAGGCCTCTAGACTGGGCCCAAATTTGATTACTTAAAGCTTGAAATATGTTTTCCTCATCTTTTAAAGTTCAGAGAATTTAACTTCTGAGTTTTTTGAAATTTTCTTTAATCTGTAATAGTATAAGTGATTCATGTTACTGTTTTTTCTCTGAGTGGGGTTTTGATTTTGCAGTCAGCGTACTATCATTCAGGTGGTTGGAGGATAAATCCCAATTTATATGAGGAAGGCAAGGTGTGCCTTAGCCTTCTAAACACATGGACTGGCAGGGGAAATGAAGTTTGGGATCCATCGTCCTCAAGCATCCTTCAAGTCCTAGTTTCATTGCAGGGGTTAGTGCTAAATGCTAAGCCATATTTCAATGAAGCTGGGTATGATAAGCAGGTTGGGACAGCTGAAGGAGAGAAAAATTCATTGGCATACAATGAGAATACTTTCTTACTGAACTGCAAGTCAATGATGTATCTCATGCGGAAGCCCCCAAAGGTGATTGTTACATTTCAGTAGTATGTTCTCTTTATTGAGTTACTGTTGCATGGTATGTAGGGAGTTATCCCCTAAGATTTTAAAGGGGTAATTATTGGCACATATAGTTTCTTAGTTTCTAGAATATCTAGGTGTCATCCTTGGTTTTCAACAGGTACAGCGGAGTGAAATTGAAGGTCAACTGTTCCTGTTAATGTTTGGTGCTGATTTATCGAACCTTCACACGTTGGTTTTAATACTTAGCAATAGTTTAGGGTAAATTCTACTTACATCTTTGTGGTTTGGACATTTTCTACATACCACCCATGTGCTTTTCTCTTTCCCAGATGGCCCCCTGTGGTAAACTTCTGTTCCCAGAGGGGGTTACACAATTAATTTTATCTGGTAAATAATTAAAATATCCTCTATTCAAAAAGTACTTTATTCACACAAGGGTATTCTCATAATTTTACTAAGAAATATTAATGGTAATGGAATTTTACCATAGGAGGCTGTCTTAAAAAAAGGCACAGGGAGGCTATGCTGGAAACATCCAAACCACAGGGGGTGTAAGTGAAGTTTGCCCTAGATTCAAGTGACATGGTATAGTCAAATATTTTCATGCTTCCATCTTTTTGCTACTTAAGTTGTTTCACGTAGGCAATTTTCTCATTAGTGCTTGATATTATATCTTAGATGTAGTAGGGGTTTTCATGATTCAGCTTTTTCTTTTTTTCAGATACAAATGATTAGTTTTATAACTTTATGACCATCTCTAGGACTTTGAAGAACTTGTCAGATGCCATTTCAGGAGACGTGGTTATTACATCCTTAAAGCCTGTGATGCATACATGAAAGGCTACTTAATTGGCTCTCTAACTAAAGATGCCTCTTTTAGTGATGCGAACAATGTAAACTCCACTTCAGTTGGTTTCAAACTGATGTTAGGCAAGATTGTGCCAAAGCTTTTATCAGCACTTACTGAAGTTGGAGCTGATTGTCAGGAATTTAAGCATCTCCAACAGTCATAATGGTGGGTTCTAAAGACAAACACAGCATTGCCATCAAAGCAACAAGGTCAGTGCTGGTACTTCCAAATTCCAGATGTCTTTCGATGTAAACGCTTGATCATTGATTAGAGGACTTGGTAAAACATTCTCCTCTCGTATTCGGAAGCCTTTAACTACCTTAGAAGGTTCAAAAGTTGTGCTGATTCTCTTCTTTTCAATTCTTTTGAGTGAATGTCTTATAACTTTTTTGTTCACTGATTTCTTTTAGTACCCTAGGAAATAGGAATGGGAAGACAGTCAGGGTTTTGGATTGACTGATGACTTCAAATGGTAAATTGATTTAAATTGGAGAAAGTATCCGTTGTCTCAAGTTTCATTGTATGTTCATAGACTTTGATATGAATATTACCAAGTGAATCGATTATCCAAATCGGATTTCTTTTTACTCTATTTGTTGTTCTGATAGGATGCTGTAACACGGGTTATGTTATTTCAATTTCTACTTAAATTGAACTTAGGTTTTCCATTTTATCAAACCTTGTGAGTTATCTTAATACCCGTGCGAATCTGAGAGCTTTCGCATAGAAAAGGATTTTTTGGGGATATGTAAACATGATAATTTATGTATTCATCTTGGATTTTTTTCTTGTCAAATATAAAAATTATTATATTATAATTCATATTGATATATTAAACATGAAATATATTTTTCAATTTCTGTATAATATATATATATATGATTTTTATCAATTTTAAATCTTGTCATTTTCATATATTTTTTTATATCATTTTTATGTCATTTTTATGTCATCAAGTGGTGTCTAAAACATCCAAATCTATGGACATAATCATTTGCAGGCTCGTGATAAGAAGCATGAATATGAGAAATGCTGCTGAAAATCATAGGCATCAATGTTCAACTTGCTGTTTGCAATGGCGTCGTTTTTCTTCTCTACCATGACGAATCAATTGATTGTTTGTAGGCATCGCTCTTTCCTTTGTCCTTCCCCCCCGATTTTTGCCCTATCCCTAGTGATTACTCCCGATCCGAAGCACCCCTTTTCCATTCATAAAAAGATCCAATCGTCAAAATCAATAAAAAGGCCATCATGGACCAAAATCCAAACAGACCCATCTTGTTGGGAGGTACTGTCCATGGAAAAGAACTGACCGATAATAGGGTTAACACTGTATGAAAGCAAGAACTGGACACATCAGAAAGAATAAGATCCTCCAAAAGATTGTATATACGCATTAGATCAGGAGGTTCCACAATAAATTGATCTACCACTTGCGTATCAATTTCTTTATCAACTAGCTCAGAATGGGTACGGTCCAAAAGGTGTTTGATAGGGCTGTAAACCATATGCCTTCCTACAACAGCGAGGTCGGACCAGAAATTTTTTAATTTTAAAACATCAACGATATAACAATCCTACCAACACGTAAAAAATAATCAGATCATTAGGAGTTATTTTTTTATCCAAAAATAATAATAAACAGAGAGAGAGGGGTTTCAATTAAACTACATGAAAGTCTAGCGAAGCAAACGCCACACCAGACATATTACCAGATCAAGGTGGCCAATGGCTAAAATATATAGCATTTATTTGCAATTCTCTCCCCTTCTTCAGCATGGAAAAATCACAGGAATTTGTGCGCGTGATAGGATCTCACTTTCATAAGAAACCCCACAAGGGAAACTAATTAAGGTTTGTTTGGTAACGTAATTTTTTTTAGTTTTTCTCAAAATTAGAAATAAAAATATATTTGGTAGGTTGTTTTTGTTTTTTTATTTTTAAAAATTAAAAATAAAAATAAAAATTATTAAAAAAAATTATATTTTCAAAATTGTGGAAACAATTTGATATCATTACAGCACGAGTGCTGTTCACCTGTTCGAGAATCGAACATTTTTCCTTGAAAATGTTAAAACTTTAACCTTTTTCTCTTATATATTTTTATTTTTACATTTTTATAACTAAAATATTTTATTTAAATATGTTTTTAAATTTAATAAATTAAAAATTAAATAAAACAAAAATTTTAAAAACATAAAATATAATATACACAATAATACCAAAAGATCCCTAAGATATTACTTCAACCAAATTTCATAATAAATTGAACCAACTGTTTTCCCCTAGTTCAAACATTTTATAGTTTAAAAATTCAAGGATTTTTTTCCTATTCCAACCTATATGATTATTCTACTAGAACGTGCCACCTTTTCCTACAATTTCTCCATCTGATTTTCCCAATAAGAATTAAAAGAAAAAAGAAAATACATAAACAGCAGTAGTATCACAGTACTATGTAAATTATTATTGCAAATTTGTTGTTCCAATCCTAATCACCACCAAAACAAAAACCATTCACAGTGAAAGTTATCTATATTTTATGATTGTAAAAATAAAAGAATGAAAAAGAAATCATACGCTATTCTTAAAAATCCTCGTCCTTGCCAAAAACCTAGCGATTGAAGGTGTAAGCGCGATAGTGATCGGAACACGAACAGGGAACAAGGCCTTGTTACAAAGCACAGCCAATGTAAGGGCTCCACCAGTGGATGTGGCAAGCTCAGCGATCCAATTTTTTTCCTTCTCTTCAATCACCACCGTTGGTTTCTCAATCGATTCTTCCATCAAGTACCCATTTTGGGTTGGCGATTGAGGAGATGGGTTTTGGTTTTTTTGTTCTTTGGAAAGGCCCATGATATGGAAGTTATTGAACAACGATTGGACGTCAACGTTGTTCTTGATGGCCACATAAAAGCCTGTTATGGAAGCTGCAGAGACTGACAAGTGAACCCCAAGTGCCACTTTCCCGTACATTTTCACAAACTCCTTGAACCGGCGCCCACCAAAAGTAGCCATTTTTTTTTTATGTTGTCAGAAGTTTTGGGTTTGTAAGAAACCAGTATTTAAACGGGGTTGGCAGTGGTTTAGGGTTTAACGGGTTTGCATTAGAGTTTAAGAAATAGAAAGTTAAGGCCCAAACTGTTGTTTTCCCTTTGGTACTTTTCATTTCGCAGTTGGGTTCTAGTTTTAGCTTTGGAGAACATTGGGCTTACTTGCCAGGCTTGCTGTTTTCCTTAGGGGATCATTAGATCTTCTAATGAGCCTGGAAGCAATTATTTACATGTGACGTACTGAATTTATTTTCTTTGTTATCTATTCTTTTTGGTATAAGCTTCAGCCTGGATAGAAAAAAAATTTACATATGCTTTGGGATTTGAGTACCGTCGATGTTACATTTTAAAGATGATTATATAAATTAAATAAATTTAGCAATTTTATGATAGGTGGTGCAACTAGTTATATATTTATCATTGGACTGAAGACCTACCTGTCATATAGAAAGTATAGTTAAGAATGCGAGAATGCTTAATTTATAATTTATGCCACATTGTCTTGTCCTTATTAGTTGAAGGCTTCAATACTTTATATATGTATCTTTTGTTTGAAGCATCTTCCACCATCAATCATTATAGACAGCACATACAACATATCACTCTTCATTCAACTTTTCATCTAATTGGTCGGTTGCCATTTATTTGGAGCTTTGAATTCAATTACTTTTTGTCACTTTTGAAAAGTTCTCACCTTAATATAAGATAGTCGTAAGAACTAAGAACACCCATGGCTACTTGTAGAAACATTTGAAAAATCCCAGTCTTAGATCAATGATTTGGTGCCAGTTGTATTCTATTAATTGTTCTATAATTAATAAAAACTGATAATGACAACCCCTACTTTGATAAAATTGATAATATCTAACTTTCAACCATCTAAAATATCTTGATTGGTTTTCAATTCTTTTCAGCAAACATTTTCACTGGTTTCAAAGCTATGGAAGACGAGATTGTAAGATATGGTAGCTTCCCCATCATTTTAATTCTCTGTTTTTCCTTCTTGAAGGGTGCCACATCTGAATTTTACACTGTTGGTGATGAGGACGAGTGGAATTCAGAGGTAGACTATGTTTCCTGGTCGCAGAAGTACAATTTCAGCGTGGGCGATGTTCTTGGTATAACCTGTTTCCTTTAAAACCTTCTTTGCAATTTGGTTTCAGAGCTATATGTTTTGTAAAGTTTGCAGATATAGCAATCAGCAACTATATATTTCTACAAAACCAAGCAGATGGTTCAAATCTAATTGATGCGGCTGTCTTTTGTAGAGTTCAAATATAATAAGGGGCAACACGATGCCTTTGAAGTGACAGAGGAAACATACCGATCATGTGATACGAGCAGTGGAGTTCTAGCCAAGTATGAGACTGGGGATGACCAAGTCAAGCTCACCGAATCGAAGAAGTATTGGTTCGTCTGCAATGTAAGTGGCCATTGCCTTGGGGGAATGAGGTTTGGAATTGATGTTAAAGCAGGAAACACCAGTACTAATTTGGAGCAAACTCCATCAGCCAAATCTGGTACTGCTTATGCCTTTGAAAGATGGAGCTTGGGTCTCTACGTTTTTGCATCTGGAATTCTACTCAATTTGTTTTGTTGATTTATAGTCGCTGTTTAGGCACTATTTTTCGTTTTCTTGACCTTTACTCAAATGCTTTTTATCCATTTTTTAAAGTCAATTAATTACTGAAAATGTGAACACCATTAGTAAACTCACGAGCAAACCAGAGAGAAAAGAAAGAAACCTGACAGATTTGCAGTATGATCTGATCTCTTAGTTCCAAAATTGTTGTGGCTGCTGCTGCCGTTGCTTTTTGCCAGAACAAAAAGCCCAGACAACGGCCCCTTTCCAATCAGGCTGCAATCTTTGAGTATGATCAGGATTCTATTTGCCTACAAGTTTCAAACTTATCCCAAGAATTGTAGATGCAAATGAGTAAAGTTTTTAACGAATTATTTACGTTTAATTTTTCTTTGTTTTTATTCATTTATTAAATTTATTTAATGATATAAAATAATGTTTTTGTATTTATTTATTAAACAAATTATATTTAAACAAAAATCTATTTGGTTTTATTTATTTTTTTGTTTATTATTCATTTATAATAACAATACAAAAATTACACTTTTATTCTTTATTTTAATTCTATTCTAAAGTTTATTTATATTCGATTAAGATTTATTTATTTAAATTTATTTGATTATAATTTATTTATTGTTTATGAATATATTTATTTATATATATTCATTTACTATTTATGAATAAATTTATTTAATTTAATATAATTAAATAAAAACCGGACATAAACATTTCATCATTAAATCAAACTAAGCTCAAAAAAATATAATTTATTTATTAAATATAAATCGAACTCGAATAACTGTAAAAATAAACAAAAAATCTACAAACATTTATTCTTTTATATTTAATTCATTTATAACCCTATCAAAAACAAACTAGCCAACTTTATTTTTTATTTCGAGAGAAGCTTATGAATTAATTTGTCCAAGTGTAAAAATGAACAAATATTATTTTTTATATATATGATAGGAGCATGTATTGATCTTAATTTCCTTTGTAACATTTAAAAATTTTACTGATGATAATAGAATAATTTTTCTTCAATAAAAATGAATTCTTTCAGAACAAACAACAATTTTTTTCTTAGGATCTTACATTAAAAAGGAAAAAAAATTCCCAATCTATTAGCCATGTCAAGTTCCACCACATTAATTGAGAAATCCATAGACGGTCTTAATTTGCTGCCTGCTTGTCCCTATCAGCCACCTTAATATTGAACAAACAACCACCCATTACTCTGTATTATCAAATTTCTCAAATTTTTTTTGGTAGGATTAAAGAAGGTAAAAAATTTTGAAATTAATGGTTTCGATGCGATCTTTTAGGATTTATTTTTTTTTTTAAATTAGGTATCGAGTTGGGTGACATGAAAAAAAAATCGAGATCGGAGTCAAATTTTAGGTAAACTCTCATAATCTAAATATAACTATATGATATATATATAAATATAATTTTTTAATTATTTATATATATATATTTATATATTTAATTTTATATTTATATTAAAAATAATATTTTATTAATTTCAAGTCAAATCGAATCGTATCGAATATAATTTTATATAATATCGGATCGAATTAAAATATAAAAATAATAAAAAATTATCGGATCGGGTCGAATTCGAAGTGAGGCAAAACCCGTCCCGCCCTAACCCGTTGCCATCCTTAGGTAAGATTGTGAATTTTACTGTATGATTAATATGATATAATTGAGTTTATAGTATCAATTAATTTAAATATTAATTTTTAAAAAAATTATTTAATATAATTTTTTAATTTTAATTATAATAATTTATTTCAATCATAATTATAATAATAATAATTATTATTTTTAATTTTATCAAAATTAATTTTATCACCTTCCAAATAGACCATAAAATTGGGTAAGCCAACCCATAATACTGAAAAATAAGAAAAGAAATAAAAATTTTATTTTAATTATTTTTTTTTATTAATAAATTCACATGTACAGGGCCATTGATACTGGGAAGATTGCCCTTTTTCTTTTTTTACGGAAATGTCAAATCTTCTAGTGGTCTCATTTTTCGTATGTGTGGGGTCCATCTATGCTTACCTTTTTGGGTTGCAAAATTAAACATCTTTGCGTCACAAATGATCTAAATTAATTAGGTTTGGAATAAATCCAAATCCATCAACAAAAACTATATATTTTTTTCAAATAAAAAAAAATGGCTATCTGCCTTTTTATATTTTAGAGATTATTATTTTTCATATTTATTTATTTTATTTTAAATTTATAATTAATTTTAATTTAATTTATCATCATCAAAAACTTTTCCCTTTAAAAATGGTTTATGAAATTTTTGTTATCACAACTTTTAATTAATGTTAGATATATATATCTAAAAATATTTTTCATACTTAACACAAAATTTAATATTATCACGAAAATACAAAAAAATAAAAAATGTAAATAAGTATTATAATTTTTTTACTCTAATTATTTTTTGCACGATTGTGAAAAATAATTAGTGATATAAGAATAAATGTTAAAATTAGCTCATTTTAAATTTAATATTTATTTTAATATAAAATTTTATAAAAATAAATAAAAATTTATTTCAACATGGCATTTCACGAGTATATTTTTGTTATATTTGGAATATCCCCATTACATTTCTTGTTTATTCAAAATTATTTTTAATAATTATTAACAAAATATTTTGTAAAATATTTTATTTTTATTAGCTTTAATTCAAAAATCGCTAAAAATAAAAATATAATGATAAACTTTAATTAAATCAAAGTATAATAACAAAATTCAAACCAATGCATGTTGGTTTTGAGTGGTTAAAGAATTCATTTTTTTTAAATAAGATTTTAATTTTAAATTTTATAAATAAAAAAATTAATATTAAAAAATTTTATTTTTTGTAAGTTTGAACTCAAAGTAATTATCGAATACTAATCTTCAAAAAAAAAAAAAAGAAATTTAACATTCATCTACAATATTACGAAAAATTTGTGCCTCGAATTTTTAATTTTAAATCAAGACAAATTTTATTATTTTAAATGTGTACAAAATTACGTACAACATTCAAATTAAAATAAAAATGAGAGCTCTCGTTGTCAATAATTTTCATCAGGATGCTTTTTTACTTAAATAGAATAAAATAAAATATATTTTTCATATTTTTATCTATTTTGAATTTCAATGCTTACATTAAAAAAAATGAAACATTAATTAAAAAATATTTATTGTCGGTTTGAAAATTATATTATAAAATGAAGAATTATTCCTTTAAATCCCACGTCATGTATTGCCTTACATATTAAGCAAAGCTACAATTTTTTACAATTCTTTTTAAAAAAATACTAAAATTTCGTCTATCTTGACGAGTAATTACTAATTTATATAATTCAAAGGGCATATCTGTCAACATTGACTAGTAACATTAATTAGTAAAATAATGTATAAAAAAAATTTGTGGTTGAACCACAAATGTCGCTATTACATTACTCCAGCCTATTAATAAATATTATAATTACACGTGTAAGTAAATAGAACATACCTTTGTTAATAAATTTGTTTTTTTATTAAATTTAATGAAAGATTATAAATATGTTTTAGAATTTATTAATTAAAAAAACTAATTATGAACATAATAAAATTTATTTATAGTCTAACTTGATTTTTATTTATATATTTTTATTATAAAATTTTATTTGCATATTAAATTTAAAAATTATGTAAAAATATTTTAAAATTTATTAATTAGATAAATATATTATAAACCTAATAAAATTAAATCTTTGATATAATAATCAAAAGAGAAAAATAAAAATAAAAGGGAGCGACACGTGATTGATATGTATGTAATTTTAAATCATAAATGTTGTAAAAAAAATGTGTCATTTTCCTGTTTGACTTGTGGTTTATAAACAAACAAGGGTGTTCCACAGATTCACGACGGTCAGACTACGAGAATCCCAATGGCAAGAGAGTCGCTTTTTTTTTTTTTAATTCACTTTTCAGACACGTTCATTTGTCAAACTTTTATCACAAAGAAAAAGCCTTCAATAAAATATGTGTCTGATAACATCTCTTTTTTATTGTCCTTTGTCTCTCTGACTCTTATCTTCCCTCCTGGTATTCTTCTCTTCTGTTTTTTTTTTTTTCTCAATTTATTTTTGTATTCATTTACTGCTGCTTATATCTCGTTTATCTATCTGATCTATTCTGGGTTTCTGAGTTGTTATTTGGGTTTTTTTTTTTTTTGTGTGTGTGTGGTTTATATGAGATGAGATTTTGGAATTAAGACAAATTTCTCTGTTCATTTTGTACATGTATCCTCTGTTTGGAAGGGTGGAAACAGTAGGAAAAATGTAAACAAAGTTGATATCTAAAGTTTCTGTACGTTTAGTTTTCTGTGTCTTTTTTTCTCTTTGGGTCCTCTGTTCCTCTTTACTTTTCAATTCCGCTTTTGAAAATTAACAAAACGCCAAAAGGTGTTTTTGGTCAAAAATTTCCGGCTTAACTCTTTAATAGAAACAGTTTCAGTTTACATTTGCTTCCCTTTCCCAATTTATAGATATCAATATATTTTGGAAAATCCTTATGATTCGTGATAGTAGGTGTATCAGAAGTTCTTTTTTTTTTTTTTCATTTTGTTGAATTTTAATCTAGTTGTTACCTGTATATATAATTTCAAGTTTTTTTCTATAACTTGTGGATTGAAGTTTAATACTGTTTATTGATTTTGGAAAAGAATTTTGGTTTTGAGATAAAGGATTGAAGACTTGGTGCATGCTAAAAATTCTGATTAGCAAGTGGAAGATCAAAGCAAGCTAGGATCTTTTTGCTTACTATTCACTTGCATGAGATAATTTTTAGTGAATTAGTTGTGTGCTAATTCATTATGAGTTTACAGAGGTAAAAGTGAAGTCAACAAGGAGATGGATGAGAGTGGAAGAGTACATCCGGATTGTGCTAATGCTGCTAATCCTTACCATGAATGTGGTGTGTATTGCCTAGAAAAGATTGCTGAAGGCAAGGGACGAAAGGAAAAGGATAAAAAGAAAATAGGTAATCAATCTTCCTTCCTGTGCTCCATTTTCTCATGGCTGTTGAAGTTGTTCAATTCTATGGCCAGTCCTCTCAATTTTCCTGGTAGTTTGTTCATTTTGGAAGACAATCAAAGCCTTTCAGGAGTTTGTGGGAAAAAAACCTTACCCTGAAACTTCATGTGCTATTGATTCATGCCCAATTCACTGTGACTGAGGCAAGGTGGATGACTAAAATCTATTTAATGGTTTAAGTAAACCAATAAAGGTTGATTATGGGACTAATTAGTCTAAAAAGTGAAGTTATTGAAAGCAGCATTATTTTTGTGGATGCAGCATCGATGTATTCCTGATCAGACATGTTATTAAGCCTAACCTAGACACTTTAAATTTGTTAGATTAATTCCTGATCAGAGTTTCAATGATATCAGAACAAAGGTAAAAACCTGAGCTTTTATTCATCACTTTCTAAAGACAGGCTTAATTTCCATGTCCGTTTTCATTTGTTAGATAACCACTATGGTATAAAAGAAGTTGTGCATACCACAAGGGTTGATGATGGGGGGAGAGTGCAACCAAATTGCCCTAAAGCATCTAATCCTTACCATGAATGCAATGAATTTTGCATCCAGAAAACTTCCAGGGCAGGTACTCGGGGTTAGAAAAGAATCAGGTTGCTGATAAAATAAGTTCTTTACTCTATTAGTAAGGTTTTGAATTCTGTTTAGGTTTTGCTGATCTCCTTCTAAAACTAGGTCTATATGTCTTTCTTTTTATTTGTTAGATAATCACAATGGTATAAAACAAGGTGAGGTTAGCAAAAAGAAGGATGACGAGGGAAGAGTGCACCCAACATGCAGAAAGGCGTCTAATCCTTACCATGTATGTGATGAAAATTGCTTCAAAAGAACTACAGAGGCCATTCAAGGGGTTAAAAAGGAATCAGGTTTAGAGATTTGTTGTATCAGTACATTTTTGTATTGTGGGTTTTTTTGACCGCTTTCTAAACATAGGCATAAATGTTTTTCTTTTAATTTGTTAGATATTCGCAATGGTATAAAACAAGGTCAGCTTAGCAGAAGGAAGGATGAGAGAACAGTATATCCAACTTGTCCAAAAGCATCTAATACTTATCACGAATGTGATGAAAATTGCTTCAAAAGAAATACTGACGCCAATACACCGGGGGTTAAAAAAGAAACAGGTTTCGCCCCCTCTTTTTTCTAAATGATGTTGCTCATTAAGTTGCTAGAAACAACCTCTCGTGCAAGCTTCTTTTTTCTTTTTTGTTTGTTTCTATGGAGTTGTATTTATTTTTGCTGAAAGAATATGGAGTACAATAAATTCTTACAAATAGATAACAAAATAAAATGATATAGAACCGAGAGAAGATGGGAGAATTATGAAGTGTGAGAGGCCTCATCCAGCTTATTGTTGGCTCTTCTAAGAACCTTGGAGAGTTAGGAGAAGTCCTTAAAGAATTCACCCTCATAAGCCATCTGATGCATAGGTTTTTGCATATTCTAAGATTTTATTTGTTTTGGCATGATATTGCGGCTTAATGTAATTTTTAGTCTGATACACTTTGAGATGCATTTTCACTAGTTTGATGGCATCTAAGGATTTGATTGTCCCTCAATATTGATGTTTCATATCAAGCTGCAGAAATTCACTGATATATGTTCCTGATTACGGTATTGTCATTGTAGGTTCCAAAATTCTAGATGCTTCTAGAAGCTTTGGCAAGAAAAAGAAGGGATCTGAGTCTCAGCCGAAGTCCCCTCGAGCACTTGAGATTACCCCTGCCCTAGGTGCGGTTTACCCTGGTAATCCTAAGTCACCTCGATCTCATTTTTCTAGGAAGAATATGGCAGCAGAGAATGGTGAGTCTTTTTCTTCTTCTGAGCAAAACTCTAAAGAGATTTATTCCCGAGATCAATCTTTGGACAAAGCGCAAATTCAGTACTCTCAACCACTGCCTATGTCTGGGAAAATCATGGTTGGTCCCCCCCCCCTCTCTGTGTGTGTGTGTGTGTGTGTGTGTGTGTGTGTGTGTGTGATAAACCCGCACACCAACACACTTGCACGCGAAAGCATTAGTAATTCTCAATTTGTATCCATGTGAATCCTCTCTTATGTCCTCTCTGACAGTCCACTGATGATACACCAACCAAATTGAAAGAAGCAGAGAAGGATCAAAATTCTCCTAAGGTATGTGCAGATGCAAATACTGAGGGTGGGAAAGATGTCACTAGCTCAAACTTTAGTTTCTCAGGGATTGTCCGAGCTTTAGAAGAGAGTGATGAGGAAGAAGAGGTTGAATCTGTTATCTCTGATTCCTGTGTACCAGTTGGAAAATACCATGTGAAAGCAAGTATCTCCTCGATTCTACAGTCAATTTTTGACAAGTATGGAGACATAGCAGCTAACTGTCAGTTGGAATCAGCTTCCATGCGTGCTTATTATTTAGAGTGCTTGTGTGCTGTACTTCAAGAGTTGCATTCCACTTCATTCAAGCAACTGACCAAAGCGAAAGTAAAAGAAATGTTTGCTGTTCTTAAGGATGTAGAATCTGCACATATTGATGTTAGATGGCTGCGCGCTCTGCTTAATGAAATCTCAGAAGCTATTGAGTTTGTTAGTCAACGTCAAACTATTGAAGCCAAAAAGGCCAAGTACGATCTATCATTAGACTCGTTAAGGAAAGAACTGGAATCTCAAATGGAAGATCTAGCACAGAAAGAAAAGGTGGCTGCTGATGCCCGGAAGCTAGTCACAGAAACCCAGGCTCGTCTGGATGACATTGAGCATGAACGTTCTCAATTGGACAAAACTATTTCATCAATACAGTCCATCACGGAAAGATTCCAGGGCAAATCTGTGGCGGATGAACTGCTCTTGTGAAGCAAAACGTTAGTATTCTGGATGTGAAAGTAGTTTGTGTAGAGCAATTGACAATAGGCTTTTATACTTGCTTTCAAGTACCATATCTTATCCGTTTCTAGGATTTCTGGAATAATTGAACTGTCAAGAGAAAGTACAGTCCTTGATCTTAGCCTCAAAAAATCTTATTCATAAAAGTGGCTTTCATGTTGCTTAACCTAAATCTTGTATGATCATTGGATTAAGCTTTCTTTTCTTAAAAAAAAGGAAATAAAAAACAGTTCAATTCCATCTCCTATCTTCCTTTCTCCTTGACTCATGTTTCAATTCGTGGTGTTTTTCATTTAAAAACAAAATTATTTGACTGATAAGCACTTAAAAAATAGCATTAAATTTCGGAGGAATAATGGATTCATGTAATGGAAGAGTAAAAAGACAAAGGGAATACGAAATGTATTATGATAAAAGGGGAGAGGTTCATATTAGATCCTCCAGAAGTTAAAGCATATAACAAAATAACCAAAAGAAAAGCCAATGTTTGAACTTTCTCCAACTGGAAAACCTACCACTAAAACCCAGAACCTGGGATAATATCGACATTCCTATCATAATATCAACATTTCTCTATCACTCGAATGCCCACTGGTTCTCCCTCCTAACCTCCTCTTCTTCCTCAGGGGTGAAATCGTTCTTGATGTTGAAAGTCTTGCGGATCTCCTCGGGTGTCTTTCCCTTGATCATGTCAGCAACAGTTTCGCAAGTCAAGTCCAACAAGTTCTTGATATTCAAATAGTTCGCAGCCTGCAAAAACCAACATCAAAATATTTAACAGCTTTAATATTAGCATCAAAAGAAACCCAAAAAGGAAATTTCCTGAAAAGCTAATCATAGGTTCTTCTCTCCATCGGAACAATAGGGCCGTTATGCTCATTACTAAACTTGTTGAAGAGATGAAATATAACCAAGGTATATCTTTTTGATCAGAGGTTGAATCGATCATCAGAAGAAGAATTAGGCCAAAAATTAGGATACATTCTGGGAAAATAAAACTTCCATCGAAGAGAAGCAAATGAAAGGCTTTCATAAAAATTCTCGAAAACCATGATAATTTCCCCCCTTTCTATTCTCGGCAACCATCAAATCAGTCAATATAAAAGAACTAAATCGTTTTATTAACATTATTAAGATAAATAAACAGATAAGTAGATGGTTTAAATTAAACCCTAATCCCTAAAAATAACAGCATTGTGAATAGCAAATAAATTATGAGGGCATCAACGAGAGAAAGAAAATGGCAGAATCGTAAATAGGACAGAAACAAAGGGACAAAAGAGGGAAACTAACCAGGATGAGGTCAAAGAGGGTATTTTGGTCAATCTTGACAAAATCAGAATCCCAAGCCTTGAGTTCATCGTTGGTGCTCTTGTCCTTGTCCTTGTCCTTGTCGGCAGCGGCAGCTGCATCGACGTGCTTCTTGCAGTACTCAAGGACCTTGGATAAGATCTTGCTGGTGACGTTGGGGAGAGGGATCTCGTTGTCGGCGCAATCATCCTCAATCATGTGCTTGATCGTCTGCGACTCCACCGCCACTGCTTCCTCCACCTCGAAAGTCTCTCCGTCGGAGCTCTTCAACATTATCTTCTTCGAAGTTGACGCCATGGTTTTCTACGATTCTCTCACAAACGGTGTGAGTAACCCTAACCCCAAAAGCATAAAGAACAAAAAAATCGAGAGAGCGGAAATCTAAATGTTACTCTGATTGAAAATGGGAAAAAGGTGGGCAAAAATGTTTGGTATTTATAGAAAGATTTAGGGTCTATACGCTGTCGTTTTAAGCGCGAACTTAATTTTACTTAGGCTTGGATTTCCGGTGAATAGGAAGTACATGGTAATCTCGATGTTTACGTTTACTTTTTACTATTATTTTTGTTACTGCCTTTGGCCGGTAGGTTTTTTTTTTATTGTTTACAAAAATTAAAATCCACTTTGGGGTGAAAATTTGATAATCACAAGACTTTTAAAGCAAACTCATTCAGTTAATTAATGCCTTTAATCCTCCGACACTTAACCATTTAATATAATTTTATTTTTTCCATGACAAGAATTAAGAATTAATTTGACAATGGCTAGTAACGCATACCTTTTTCTATGAAATTTTCAAGTATTAAAATCATGAAAGATATTAAATTCCACATCTAACATATCTTTTTTTTAACAAATAAGATTGTAATTTAGAGATAAAAATAGAAATTACAAGTGTTATTTTTTAAACATATGAATTTAATAATTTAAAATATAATATAATAATATGAGATAAAAATAATACGAATTAATTATACAGAGATAATATGATATAAAATTTTATAAAAATCATAAAAATGTTTAATAAAATCAAAAAATTATATTTTATGTTTTCGTATTGACATTAATTATGATATATTATTTTTATGTAAAACATGATATTTCACACGATATGAATATAATATTTCACACGATACAATGACATAAATTGCGTAACTGATTTTTTACCATCAAAACAAAGCATAAAGGAAAAGGGTTTTAAGTCTAGAAATCAACAGGGAAATAAACATTCCAAAAGGTAGCCATATTAGGGCATGAATTGTGCCATTTTTGGGGGCTAAAAGAAAGGAAACAATAAGCTGGAAAAACTGTTGGATTATGCGATAAAATTTTAAAATTGTATGATGGATGGTGATCAGTCCATGAGTGCAAAGTCATTTACATTTGATGAAACTGTAAAGCTGTTCTTTACAAATTACAAGACAGCAAGATGCAGAGCATAGAAAGATTACTCTTCATAGGCACAATACACACGGTAATTGCCATTGCATATGCTAACCAATATAATCTCAGAACAGCCCCATCCTTCACTTTCACTAGGACAAACAACTTGCATTGCGGCCTGGATCGAACATTTGTACTTACAGCTTGGAAACGAGTAAACCTGAAATGAATCAACATGATTTAGCCATTCCCTCGCGAGTCGACTGCATAAACATGAGGAAAACAATTAAAGTCTGAAGGTGATGATAGGTGAAAGAATACTAGCGAACATTGCCTTGGAAGCAGACGCAATGTGAGGTATGACTATGGCATTCTTCATCTAAGTAAGCCCAGGTTTCATGAAAGGTTCATCCGAATGCAACAACATTAATGAACGATTATGTACTAACTTGATGGTGGTTCTCATGTGGTTGATTGAATTTGAGATTGAAAAGTTTGTCAAAGTCACCTCAAAGACGCCAAGACCAAGTCGGAACATAGGGTTTTGCTTCAGATTCTCAACAAGAGCTACTTCATCTATTACTGGGCCCATGCTACAGTTTACATGGATTGCTTCCTGCAAATGTAAAATCCATATTTCATATATCCTTAAGCAAGCATACTTTCAAAGTTAATTGTTGAGCACAACAGAGAAGTTCTTAATCACCTTCTTCATCATTGCAAGCCTTTCTTTGTTAACCAGATGATAGATGGTTTTTTATCCAAGACAGGGTGAAGACTTACCTAAAAAGCATCAGTAGCAATAACAACATTAAAAAGTTCTCAGCAAAGACAATCCTACCACATCTGCCTCCTGAAGCCCCTCATCCATTGTCGATGCTCTTTTCCAGCAAACAGGATGCTCTCCATTGGCTTTCAATAACTCACCATAAGCTGCAATGGGGAAACGTATTAGTAGAAAAAGAGGATATGACAGCTCAGCACCTTGAACAGAATGTTTCAAAACATCTGTGACAAACTTCCCTAGCCGTGTTGCTTGGTAGAGATCATAGTATATTAAGTTCATTTGACCTTCAACCTGTTATAAGATAGGCAAACAAAATCACTCTCATTAATGCCGCGAAGCAGGCATGGAAGTAGAAGATGCTATGCTTTCACTTTAAAATTAAGCAACAGAACCTCAAAAATCCAAAATATCATCTCTGTTTATATTTGGGGGCAGCTAAGTTCAATGTGTTGCAAACATTTTTCAAGGTCAATGCCTCTCGTTAGCATCCTCATAAAAACCTGGCACATTACTATTCGACAATTTCAAATGAATTATCTAAATTCTAGACTAAATTTATGAAATCTGATGTGCAATTTAGTTAAGAAGAGATTACCATCATTCTGAAGTACGCAGATCCAATACGACCAGCTCCAATTACACCCATTGTCTGTCCTTTAAGTAAGTTTCCCACAAATCTGCAAGAGAAAAAGTGGAATTGCACAATCATGATGTAGGTGACATTTGGAGTGTATCATCTCTGCACAGCAAAAGTGAATGATACGGGTGTATTTGGTGGACATACAGATGAAGGAGCCATCCATCATATAAGCCTGTCCTCACGAACTCATCTGCTTCAACTATTCTTCTAGCAGCTGCTAAAGAAAGAGAAGCGGCCTCTGCTGTTGTTTCTGTGAGTACCCCTAAACCAAATTAGCACCAACATTAGCTCAACATTTCTATTTAAAATTACTGAACCAATTCTGCAACCATTTTCCACATAATATATAACATTTACATCCATTCTCCTATGAACAAGGTAGGTGTATTACTAACTATTTAGTAAATTTTACAATTCATGTGTTTATATTGATTTATTTTGTATTTAACATGTATAAAATATAAAACTTATTATGTACTAATTCATGTTGACAAGTCAAATATAAAACGAAATTGAAAGCTATTGTTGGAAATATTCGTGCTAATAATTACGCATTCAACAAAATCAATCCAACTTCAAGGAAAAGATGATAATAGAGTGTTGGAAATACTTGCTTCCTGTAAACCCAAAGGCAAGTGGGGATGGAAAAGGAAATAAGGGTTGAGACGTGAAAGGCTTACTCTTTGCTAGAGTAGCTGTTGTGGGCACATATGAGGCCATAGGTTTGAAGGAGATTATGACTGACTGAATGGGATAATTTATCATTACACAACAGATTATTATTAATACTAAGTATAGTAATGCTCTTGTATTTTAAGGATTTTGTCGCCAAGAATTTTAAAAATATTATTTATACTTAACAATTTATCGTTTTGATAAAATATATATGATTTTGTCTATTTAAAAAAATATATTTTATATTTAACGTATTAATGCAAATATTATATGATAATTTTTTATTTTATACATATTTGTACAAGACTAGCACAATAAAAATATAAAAATGACTAGATCTATATAATGCTAAAATACTAAATTTTTAATTTTTGTATTATTATTATTTATTATTTGGAGCCAATTTCACTTGATTGACACTTCCAAAAAGGGGTTTCAGTAACGAGCCAAAGGATTTAATTAAATTTTAAGTGACTAAAGCTAGGGTTTAGTTAAAATTAATTAGATAAATAGTCTAGAAGAAATTTAGTAAGTAGTAAATATAATCCCCATTTTCAAATTTCAGTTAACATTCTTGTTTCCGTCTGCCAAAGCTCATATCTTCAAAAGAACTCCCCCTAAAATCTTTACCTTTTAAAAGCTTCACTTTCGGAGAGACAAAGGAAGCCATGGAAAGGCTTCTGTACTCGTCTTCCTCAACCCCTTTGGAAATCTTTCGAAAGCCCTCTCCTTTTCTCTCTCAACTTGGCCGATTCCACTGTCCTAAGCTCGACTTCCTTCCTTCACTCGCTCGACCACAACTCAGGCGAGTCATCTCTATTTCTTGCAAAGCGGGAACCCATCTCAGTTTTCTTCTCCTCAATCCAACCCAATCAATGAATTGCCTTCACTCGGTTCTCCCCAAGTCCACTCAGCAAATGGGTCAACACCCATTTCCAATTTCCTCAAGCTTATTGCAATTGGAGCTTCTGCACAAAAAAAGGTATGGAGTTTATGCAAGTTTTTAATAAAATTATAACGAGTTAAATATAATAGAAAATTGGAGCGAAACCAGCTTTAACGAAGAGTCTACTCTCTTCACTCTTCTTGCTAAATGAATTAAGTCTAGCTAAACATTGTGATGAGCGAATGTTGAGTTCATGCTTTGCAGTTTGCACATGTACAATTTCTTATGGAAGATAAAAAGGAGTCGCCTATGTTATTTTTCGAGAGGCTTATACAATAAGCTAATTCTATTTGTCATGGAATCGCTTCCACTATCTTTTTCCACAATCAAGTCTCTTGCATGACGAACCCTGATTGAAATTTTATTGTTGTGAGCATTGCAATAGCGAGTTACTGATATTGTTAGTGTCTGAATGTGAAACCTTTATCATTAGTAGAACTGAAGGAACTCATGCATTTGGAATTTTTGAATTCTCCACTAGAGCTGATTAGTGTGATTCTGAGTTTTGGATAGATGAAAGGAAGTATGGGATAAATTATGAATAGATGTCATTTATCGTGCACATCCCTGTAATCTCAGGCATCCAATAGCTGTGGAAAATTTTTGTTATGCATTATATCTCAGTCAGCATAGTGTTTGCAATTTATTAGGAATCAAATTCTGTGTGGAAACTGAGAGTACTTTAGTCCTCTCTGGGTGCAAACATTTTTTTTTTATTCTACACATGTTTCAGGCAATCACAGCTGGGACGTTTATAGCTCTCTCTGCCATTATCATGTTCTTAATCCAACCAATTTTTGCACCAACAGCTTTTGCAACCTTTCAAACTGCCGCTAAAACCAGTGGCACTGCAGCTTCTGCTGCGGTTGGGGGCAGAGTAATCTGTTCTGAATTATTAAGTTGTGCATGTGTCATGGGCCGAGACGTGGCTCCAGGACATGGGGATGGCCTCTTCCATCATAATTCACACCAATTTATGAAGTATTATCCTTTTTGATCCTCTTAACCTAACGGTTTTGTCCCACAAAAGATACCTTACAAAAAGAAAATAGTGTGAACCCTTATATTTCATAATCAACTATAGTATACAGTCGATGTGGGATTCATGACTCTTCTCTAAGATCGTGACACATGGACTGGTTTCTTTGCTAGTTGCTAACACACCTTGTCAGGGCCTGACCACCTAGCTGCTTTGGCTCCACTATCAATTGGCCGTTCTTGAGTGAAAAGTGCTGTTGTTGGAGCTCTGTGGGGATATGGCCATGATGCTGGTCAGGTTATCTTTGGATTACTATTTCTACTTCTAAAAGACCGCCTTCATATTGAAGTTATTAGGACTTGGGGTACAAGAGTAGTGGGCTTAAAATTGCTCGTTATTGGGGCTATGGGTATAAGGGAAGCTTCAGAAGTTCCCGCCCCTTGTGTTGCCTTGGAAAATGGTGAGTGTGATTTAGCATTTATGAGACACTCGAAAGCACAGCAGTTGGGAAAAAGAAGATTGATTTTGCTACTTTTGCCACAGGGATCGTTCATGGATTGCAACCAGATGCACCAATGATGGTTTTGCCAACACTTGCTTTGCCATCTCGCTTGGCTGGTGCTGCATTCCTTATTATGTTCATGCTTGGAACTGTAGTGGCAATGGGTAGCTACACAGTGTTCATAGGCTCATGTAGGCAAGCATTGAAGGATAGGGTGCCCAGAATTACCGAAAAACTTACTTTGGGCTCTTCCATTGTCGCAATTGCTCTTGGAATAGCCTTTCTCGTAAGCCAATTTTTGGATATAGTCTTTATTGATATCTCTGACCCAGCATCAAGATATGCTCTCAAGTTTCTTTAGCATCATGGAAAAGATGTTAGAATTTCTTGTTTGTTGAAGCCATAAGCGAGTTATTTCTGATTGAATTGTTTGATGCAAGTTTACATTATTAATACATTAGTCTCAGGATCTACATCTCAACGCACAAGGGAGAAATATGATGCAACACATCATTAACACCAAGCTGTTGATTTGGCAAAAGCATGCAAGTCATGTGATCAGTTGCATCCACAACAGAAAAAAAGATGGGAAACCTGTCATCCCAAATGGTGTTTATTAGGACCTCAGAAAAGTAATTTGAGTCACCAGTGTCAACATCTATACATTAATGTTAAAGATTTAAGCACCTGAGGCCAGAAAAAAAATCTGCTCTTGAAATGGAAAATTCGAATCAATTATGGCTTCTGCTTTTTTTCAGTGTCGAAAACCACACATGCGTCTGCTGCTGTCTTCATCTGAAACCACCAAATAAACTCTATTAGGATCCAGATCGTACAACAGTTTAGTATGTGCAACACTTGAGCCAAACAAAAAAAAAAACCAGTCAAACTAATATAAGTTAAGAATCTTTTCTCTTTGAATTGAAGTCAGGAATGGAGTTGTGGTGCTTCTACCAGAACCAACATGTGTTTTATCCCCATAGCTTATCTAGGGAAGTTCAGGTCAAGATCAAACTTAAGTACAGTTCAATGCCAGCATCTCATTGGAGCTTCTTTTTCATTTCACACTGAATATTAGTTATTCATACATCCATCTAAAGTCTAGCATCAGTTTAATTCCCTATCTTATATCATGCCAAATTAAACCATCTGAAGAAACAGGAAAATGCCATTACATCAATTTAACAGGAAAATGCGGAATTGAATTAAATTGATGGAAGTTCGATCAAGTTAAAAGGTATATGTGGCTACCTGTATAATATTGATGACCTGCTTGATAGAGCATCCAAATAAACTTAAAGCAACTAGAAAAGAAAGAGGTGAGCCCTGTTTCAGGGTAGTCAGTATAACCTGAAAGGAAAACAACATAAAGCAAATAGAGAGAAGACAATTAGAAATCAAGGTGCAAAGGAATCTGCTCTTCAAATGGGAAAGGAATTATGCAAGAATCCGGACTTACATCCATCAAATTTTCAGTATGGTTTCTCCCAATAAGAAATAAGGCTATGTAAAGAACCTACAAAGAAAGTCAAGATAACTCAATATATAAGTATCAAAAAATGGAAAAGTAAATAGATGGAAGAGAGTTCTAAAAATATAATTGCCTCGCAAGCCACACAGCAATAGCCCATAAACATCCGATTCCCATAGTAAAGTTTGAAAAGCCAACTGGAGCTGTCTTTGACATCTTTATGACTAGTCTTACCCGCAAGGAATGTACTGAAATTTAAATATGAAGAGTTAACAAGAAAAGACATCCTAGAGAAGAAACAATCATATGGCATGAAATATGTATTTCAAGGCAAAAAGAGCTACCTGTACATCTGCAGCCAGTGGCTAGCAATATCTAAGGCTAGCAATGACAAGAAAACCAAGCTAGGCCTGCGTAAAAATGTGATTGATATAGCAGGATGCAAGCATTCTTGGCAACATAAATACACATGAAAGAATGGAAGAAAACTTACCTATACACTTGAGAAAGAATAACCAGTAGACAAGCAGTGCTAATCCTGAATAACAGAATCAAGCAAAATCACTATGGAGACAACTGCATAATTCGAAATTTCTACTGACATCTATGGAAAAAAAATAAAAAAACATACTGAAAGATATAATAAGACAGCCTTAAAATTTTACCTATCCGTTACCATATCCAGAACAGCTCCAAATGTTGACGCTGAAGCACAAAGAAAAGAAAATAAATCATATTCTGCATCTTACAGACGCCGCTTTACATGACATGCATGCCTTTCAAGTTTCAACATCCCACAAAGAATGGCAATTTAAGGAATTATATTCTCTATGTGCTATACTCGATCCTAAAATTGTTGCCAACATGCCACCTTTACATTGATGCTTTAACTACTTTCATAACTTTGAAGATAAATAAGAGTACTGATCAAACCTTGGTTGAATTTGCGAGCACACCAACCATCCAAAGCATCACAAACAAAGCTGCAGTCCCAAATTTAGTCACATTTAAGCCTATCAAAGTTCACCAATCTCAAAAGCAGATAAAACATCATATCTTAGCTAAAATTCTCACCTTAGAAAATAGAGAACAGCAAAAAGTCTTTTGCTAGAAAAACATTGAGCAAAGGCATAGCAATTCAAGAGAATTCTTATATAACCTACAATTGCAAAATTGAGAAGTCTTCATGCCTAACTACAAATAGCTTTTCAACTCAAAAACCATTCAAAATTCAAACTTTGAAGAAAGGAACCAACCAATAATATTGGGAATGTATAGGTAAACAGACAGTTGCCGTGGCATTGTTTTAGGCTTGTTGGCCATTGAAAACTTACTTGTAACCAAACCTGTAAGAGAACAAATGGGTTAAAAAAAATTCAACAAAACAAGCTGAGGATACATAAACTAAATAGAAATTAATAGCAAGTAATTGGATCTGGGTACCACCTGGGGAAGCCAATAATGGAAGTTTTGGTGGATGGAATGTGGGTTTTCAAAGAAAAACCAAATGCATTTAAGAAAAAAGAGAAATTTGAGAATTAAGAAAGTCCATACCTTTGCAGCTTTGCTGTGTGAATCTCTTTTTCAACCGTCTTTGAATAAATTCTGGCTCACTTCCGAAAGATTATTCTTTTTGAGTAAATTACCCAAATACTCCTTCATTCATACTATAATTATTCAATTTTAACAATTTTCTTTTTCAATAAAATAAATTTACCCGAGATTATGATCAATTTTTTTGATTAATTTGAAAAGATTATATCTAGAATTCAAAATTTAATTCAATTTAATCATTTAATCATTTTTAAAAGATAATATTTAATAAAATTAATTTTTAATTTTAATATTTATAATAATATTTATATTTTTTATTATGATTTTTTACATAAAAAATAAGATTTATTTTAAGCTACTCAAACATGATTATAAATTTTACCCTAATTCCTTGAAGTGGGCTATATTTACCTTTTTTTTTCACTTAAAAGTCTCATGTTATATCCATAAAATAAGAAAGAAATCTAATAAATTCTTATACAATTACACCTAAATAAATTATTTTTTATACTTCAAAAGCATTTTTCATATTCTAATCTAAAAACAAAAATAGAAATAGAAATAAAAGTAGTGTTAAAGAGATTGCCCAGAGCCACTCACCCACTCTCTCAAATTTAAGAAAAAAATGAAAGCATCCAAATCAGGTTTTCTTCTCATCAAAGAAGCTGTTGCAATTTGCTGAGTTCTGAATTTGGCAACTTGCTTTTCATTTCCTTTTCAAACAAAATGCAGAATCAAGGAAAAGAAAAAATGTCCCATAAGACTTGTATGGTAGCAGCAAGAACATATATATATATAAATATAATATGGAATTAGCTTTCCAAATGTGAGGTGTGAACACTGGGACAGGGAGGTTTAGGTTGGAATCTGACAATGGAGCTGTCACTGCCAAAGCTAAAAAAAATTGCCATAGTATCAGATATGAATAATCAAATCAATCTGCCATAATAATATATCCTACCACTACTGCCTATAAAAGTGTCAGGCAATAACTCCAGGATGCTCTGTCCTATGCCCGTAAATTTCTGTTCATTTGATTCTTTTTTTTGCTTCTTTTAGTACATGTTCAATCTAAAAGCCAAAAGTACCAAAAATGGCAACAAAAAAAAAAAAAAACTGAAAAAGAGAGACCTAATGTCTAGCATACACATGGGTTATGCTCATCAGCATCATCGTCATCAGATTTTCTGTTGTTGTCTTATTTTTTCTCTCTGCTTTTCTTTTCGTTCACTTTTCCCCGGAAAATTTTGATCCTGCCTAAGAAAGCAAGGCCTCTATGCTAGCTTTCTTTGCTGTTCTACAAACGGGGCAAGAATCAAGAAAAGCAGCACAATCCTTGCACGAACTAAGGTGTCTGCAAGGAAGGAACAAAACGCACGAACTCCGAGAATTGCAGCATTCGCAAACCATAGTCGTCGCCGTCGTCTTTCTTGTTCTTTCTTCATCTTGTACATGATCAGCAACAAGCCCTGCAAAGCCCCTGTTTTCCTCTGTTTCCGTTCCTTCTCTGTTCACTTCACAGCATGATTCTGCATCATCTACTCCGTTGTTAAAACAACAAGAAGCTTGTTCTCGTAGTTGTTCAAGCGTGTTGTTTAAAGACACAACCATTGCTTCATTTTCCTGTGCCACTCTTTGCCATGCCTGGTTTTCCATCTCAAGTTTCTTCAACAGATTTTGTAGCTCCATTGTTTTATTTGTTGCTTTTGCTATCTCTTCATCCTTTTGTCTAAGTAAAATAGATGCCTTCGGTTCTATTTTCTTTACCAAGAGTGCAACTTGTTGCCTCCTTTGCTCTTGCAGTAACATCCTCAGTTTTTCATTCTGAACAAAATTGAACAAAAATCAGGAAGAAAATTGAAAAAAAAAATAAATAAACGATCTTTAAAGAGAAATCCCAATAAGGATTGCTATATTGGTCTAACCTGTGATCTGATAAACTGATCAACCTCATGTCTTTGTTTCTCATTCTCAACTTGAGAAACCATGGTTTGGCAACGCATCATTAATTCACGATTGTTACTGTTGTTGTTATTGTTGTTCTTCAAAGAGGAGGGAACAAGACTGTTGTCAAAATAGAGACTTTGATTCCTTAGCTGCTGATTTTGAAGCTGCTGCAACTGTTGCTGTTGTTGTAATTGCTGTAGCTGCGATTTCTGTTGAAGACTGAAACAGAATTGATTAAACCCACCACCACCGCAACCATTGTCAATCCAATCCTGGGAACCACACAAAGTAAAACCAATATTATCTGAATACAACTGCGCTTGTATGGCCATTCTCCTTTTCTTCAACCAACCAACAACCCCTCAAAAGAACCAAAAGAAAAAACCAAACCACCAAAGCAAAGCACACCTTTCACCTCAAATCTCTGTCCTTTACCACATAGACCAGATCAAAAACTCAAATCGGTTTTCCTCATTTGGGTGAAGGAACCTCTCTATCTCCCACTTTCTGTTTGATGTTTCAGGGGCATATGGTGTATATTTATAAGAGAGAAGGGGTCAGGTTAGAAGTGTGAATGAATATATAAAATTAAAAAATAATGGGTTGAATTCCAAAGTAACTGAAAAAACTTGAAAAGGAAAGACAGATAGAGAGAGCTTAGGATAATATTTTCTGCCTTACTTTTCTCTAATAATAATCCTATAAAAAGGCATTAAAGAGAGACGGGGGAGAAGAGGGATGCCAACATGCCATGTATGAATTGGTACGCGGTAAGCATTAAGCAGCGAGGTATACATGCAGATTTTGTGACTAAAAAACCATTGGGTCAGAGATTTCAGAGGCGTTTGTTTGTTTGTTTTTCTTTGAATGAAAAAAGAAAAGTTAATTCAATTCCAATGTGGATTTACTCATTTATTGTGTGAAAAAAAAAATGAAAGAGCCTCTCTGAATTGGTCAGAAATTTTTTGGGAAAAAAACAACAGAGATGTATCAGTCAAGTCATTTGGAAAGCCTGAAGAATAGGATTCTAATTCTTATAATAATTCTCCTTTCTCCGATTTCTACATTTCTTTTAATTTTTTTGGGAATGTAAAAATTTCTACTAGTTTATATTTTTCTTTGGGAACATAAATTTTAAAAAATTTTCATTGTCATGGAAATTTCGTTTTCTATCTATTTTTGTCATTGACATGGTACCTTAATCTAATCTTTGTATGGTTTCTTGCTGGCTGGACTTAAATTCAAACTCATTTAAATTTGTAAAAAGAATGCTGCTACAAATATTATTATTTGGGAAGTAACTAGTTGAACTTTGCTGGTATAGCCAACAGCTAAATGATGATTTTCCCGAGAAAATTTGAGCCAGATTGGTGGTTGCCCCGAAATCCACAAGAATCCATTGAGATATAGTCAGTAGGAAGTCCAAAAACAAATTCCCTTCCAACATGGGATGTCTTATCTGACAAATTTTTAAAAAAATATTCTGCCAATGTGATAAAAGGTTTCTTATATTGTTGTTCTCACCAAAGTAGAGATAATGATGCCAATGTGTCTCTTATAATTGAGTCCCAATTGGAATAATCGAGTAAAAGATCATAGATATAGTTTCAGATTATAACTCCATTATCTAACCATTCAAATTCGAATGCTCTTTGAAAAATGGTTCTGATCTCAATATCCTCAAATGACTTCAGTTGGGGCTAGTGCTCATCAGTTTGTTTGACAAAGATAAAATGGTCTAATCTCATGGTGTAGTTGCCCCCAAAGCAAGTGTTAATTACCGCTAGACAGTTTTCAATTTCCCGGGAATTGTAGAAAGAAAATTGGTGTAAGACAGTGGAAATTTTATTGGCAATGAGAATCCATAACTCTTATCAGGGAAGATCATCTGTTTCTCTGGTGCTCCACATGCACGAACTTGCCAATGCAAAGCCAGCAGTTCAACACCTCCCAGTGGATCCTAAATCATGGAAAATTTGTCCAATGTCAGCAAGATTCTAAAGGGGTCCAACATATGGAAAAACATAAAGTCCACGGAAAAATCCTGGTTACAGAAACACAGTTCCCTAGGCTTTTTTCTTTCGTTTGTTCAAGTACTGTTACATTTACATGTACTTAAATAATACCGGGGAAAAAAGGGTGGCAATCTTTATTCTTTAATTTGAAAGCGTTGTTTCCGTTTGCATTCGAGAAGGAAGCAGAGAGGAAACTTGGTGAGAGCAATGGCACATATGGAGTGAGGGTGGCCCCATGTGCTGCCCACCAACCGTGACCCCATGAGTCCTATTCCCCCTTCATCATCCATTGCCTGCCTACCTGCCCGGCTCTTCTGTATCCAAAGCCCATTCTCGTATTTGGTGCGAAGTGTTGCAGCAGCTTCCCAACTACTTCTCTTTGTTTTCTTTTGCTTTTGGCAAAGTTGATTCTGATATAGTCACAATCCTGGGGTTCCCCACTCCTCACTTCCCATAATGGAGGCCGTCCCCACTTCTAAAGCCCTGTGTTAGGCCAAAACTATCAGATTAGAAAGGGCCCCCAGGCTTTCTAGCTTCTCCATGTTGTTTTCAAAACGATAATGATTCAAGTTTTAACTATTTCTTTGTGTAGGAAACACGGTCATTGCTTGATTAGTGGCTAATATAATAACAATAGACAAACAAACAAAAAACGTAATGGAATTTGACTAAAAAAAGTGGTGATTACTGCACTATTCTATTAACGAGAGGTAAATCTAACTTTGATGGTACATTTCAAGCATGCATTTGTAAAGACTTAAGCATTTTCAAATTACCTAAAACATGTAGTTTGAAATCTGGAATTTAATTAATTCATTCGTACAATTATTTTGAAAGCTAACATTTAATATTTTTATTTTTTATTTTTATCTTAGAAAGAGAAGAAGAGAGAATCATGACAGATATTTGTTTATGTTTGTTTGATTAGTGTAAACTCCTAAGCACCAAATTTTGATTAAAAATTTTTCAATATGGCAGGTGGGCTTGTTTTTCTACGTGCCTTTGCTAAGCATGCATTGAAACAATCCCCCTAAATTAATGGTCAATCCATTTTCATCATTAGCTAAGCACATGAATTGGTGAATGATTAGAAATCTTTGGCTTCCTTGTTTGTTTCAAACACCAGCTCAAGCTCTCAACCTAATTCTTTAAAACCATTCAACTGCTCACCAAACTCAAATTTGAACTCATATACTCAAACAGATCATAGATCTTGACAATTCAAGATCATATGTTCAAATTATTCATATGAAAAAGCTACTTTTTCATGGGAGAAAATTAGGACGAGCCTATCAAAGCTTTGGCAGTTCGAGTTATTGTTTTAGTAATGGGTAGACTTTGAAAGAGACGAGACGGTGACTTGAGGAGTTGTTGTTAGACCGCCGAGGCTGCACCTACCTAAGGGGCAAGGTCCCATCCTCATGTGACCCACCAATACATTTAAAGTCATATATCTTGTGATGAGTGAGACTTTCCATGCCCGGTTGCCCACAATTTGAGACTCGAATGGCTAGACCATTCACTGCAAACGGTCATTAAGGACCACTCTCTCATGACATTTTGGAAAAAACAAAGTCTTTTAAAGAGAATCATAACTGCTCAGAATTGTTCATATGACAAAAGCATGATTCAGGCATGAACTGAAATGATTGTAACATTTTAACAATATAACAGAGTATCGAATTATGCTTTAGCTTATCTATATATGCATTTTGAGTTTAAATGTGATAATAATAAGAACTTTAACAATTCAAATTGAACAAGCCAAATATATTTGATTATTAACTTTTGAGTCTCGAAACTCGAAAAAAATACATGTAACGTCTTCACTATTATATTGATAACGTGTATATATATATATAAATTTGAACTCGTATTTGTAATTAGACGACTTTTATACAAACAGTGAGAGTGTGAGACTGAAAGACATATATGGGGATAAGCATCTTGACTGAAAGTGTTAACTATTAATGGTGATATCCGGTATTCAAAGCAAACCTGCAGTATTTGTTGCTTTGTTTGTCTGTGTTTGTGCACCAGCCATACATGCATGATTAATGTAACAATTAACCATTAATTATAATACAATAACAAGCCACTGTTACAAGTGAAAGCATATGGAATTGGTGGACTGGAAACATTCAATCATCCATGTTGCGAAGACTGGATCCATTATATGCATCTGCAGCTAGGAATGCTGAGTACATAAAAATCATTGTTGGAATGTTATGATTAAATATTCGACTCCCCTAGCTGCTAAGTATTTTTAATCTTATTCAACCCAAATTTATCAATAAGAAGGTAATTCAAATGTAAGTTTCAAGATTAGTCGTTGAAGCTGCAAAAATGATGTAAAATTTTTTTGAAAGTTGAAATAATATATGACAATGAGTACCTTGTAAACTTAACTATACATGGCAGCAAAACTTGCGCCATGCCTTACGAGTCTTGGTTGTATAAACAGCATGCAGATCTAATTTCGCAGCAAAAAACCAGTAAATGAAAGGAACAAATTGTTCAAAACGAAAAGGAAAGCAAATATGGTACAGGAAAAACCCTTCAAGACCTCCTCTAACTACTATTTTTATGTCTTTAGACTTCTCTATTCCTCTAATGATCAGTTTTCAACTCAAAATTGAAAATTGCAGAATAGTTAAAGTTGTTTTATCTCACAAACTGTTATGAAATTCCGAATTTCTTGTGGTCTTATTGCTTGACTCTAACTTAATCTTACCACCGAAGTAAGTGTGGTTAAAAATTAATATCCATGTAAAAACTTAGAAAGGCTCAACAATATTCCTGTAAAGAGGAAAAGATATACTTGAAGATGGCAAATTCGAAGTAGTGAAGTTGAATAACCTTCATCCTTTCTCTGTTTTTTAGGATTTTGGGCAATGTTGCACATCTCATGAGGGCATTAAATAAATACTAGTTGGATAAAAAAAAAAGGGGTTCCCATTTTGTTCCATATTTGCTCCCTTGAAATGTTCATCATCACAAAAAAGAAAGAAAGAGTTGGTTAATGTGACCCATGCAATGTCAGGTGATTTCACATTTCTATATTGGAGACCGACACACGCAAGTCATGTGTAGTGTTGTGTCTTTGGTGGATTCCCATGCCCTTTCATTAACTAAACTTCCTTCCTTTTTCAATGCTGCTCACAAAAGGTAAACAAACAGAAAAAAAAAAAATTTTTTGACTTTGAGTGCTTCTCGTGAAACTTTGACTGCATAATTTTTGTTCTTCGCTGCTATCACCAACCTGTACGTGGATGACTCGAAGTGGCACACACTTTCTCTTTCCCTCATTCACTGTATAAACATTGAATACCCTTATCCCTTTTGTTTGAATCTTGATCGGTATGGTTTGTAACGTTTATTTAAAGCAAGCAAGATATGCTTTTCAAAGTTAGACTAATTCTAGTTTCCAGGAAACTCACTTCCACCACAACTAGCCACGAAGACCTCATTGACCCTGACCCTTCTTTCCTTTTTTCTAGTCATGAGAAATGGATCAGGGAGTGTCCCCGTTTCTCTTTTTGACGTTTGAAAATCAAACAAGAAATCGCATACCTACAATAAAGTCATTCATATCCATATCTGCCCTGTATGGCTTTGTTTTTTAACTTTAAAAGTTTGTATTTTAGATCAATAGTCAAAGGTTTGAAACGAATTCCAATCTCTTCGCTCGGAAATGATGGCTTTATTCTATATGTATTCTTGAAACAATGAGTAAAAAGAACTATATGAATCTTTGTCAACAAGTCATGACTAGAATTGCTTCACAGTAAAATTATTGGATAAAATTTGTGTAAAGATATCAATAAATTCATGAATTGCATCTAAAGTCTACCGATAATAGTATTATGGTGTGGCCACCAAGGACACAAATATATTGCCTTCTCAAGTTCTATGCACCGCCAACTTCAAACAATTTAAACAAGTTTAAACAACAATTAAAGGAATTTAGCTCCTTTCACATGGATCAAATTGGTAATGGAACTGCCTTCCTTACGTTAAACCTACTGACTGCTGACAATGAATGCGGCTAGCTGGCCCTTTTTAATTTGAGCTCAAGTGGGCTTGGACTTGAGACATCGATTGCAAATCAGTTTTCGGCATTGATCCAACATATTCCACCGTCCAGTTCAGGGAACTCATTAGGAAGCATGATAAGGCCCATGATTATCTTCCATACGAGAGATTGGCTCACTTGGCAGTCACGCTCACGCCACATGCAAATCGATACCATCCTCTCATCTCTCGCTCAGTTACGAGGCAATAAGGAAGAAAACTCATGGGACCCATTTTATCCTAAAGGCCCCACCCAGCACTCAGATTACACCGTAGAGCACCAACTCATGGGACCCAACATAAAAACCAAGGTTCCCGAATCCATGATTCATTCACACCAAACCAAAAGTCATGGCACTATGGCAGCGTGGATAGCTAGATGCTGAGGCCCACAGTTGGGTAGGAATCTTCTTCCTCTGATCTCGCGCCAAACAACCAAAGAGTGGGCCCCCCGAAGGCATTACTGTTCACAGTCGGTGTCGTTCCTTCAATTGCATGGATAACCACGTCAAGTTAAAGTTATCGATTCTCTACCTTCACCACCGACCAGGCGACTACAACAGCCACACGTGGCGCAAAACTAGCTGAGCACAAGAATCAAACGATGTAGATTTCTACGAAAAGTGCAGACGGAACACCAAGTAAAGCCTTGTTCTATATAAAGTGAAGGGATTCCTGCCTGTGTGATTATCATTCTTAGACAGGAAACCCCTACTCCTTCATGTTGGTTGCAGCATACTTATCTTTTATGTACTGAGGAAATCTTCTACTATTACTTTCAGCAGCTTTTTTCCTTCTTTTGTTTTTGGTTCTTCAATTATCGAAAGAGAAAAAAAGACCCAAGGAAAGAACAGACGAGAGAAACAAAAAATGGGAGCTCTGGATTATGTTTCTGATCTGTTTGACTGTTCTCGTGGCAGTTCCAAGCTCAAGAAACGTAAGCAGTTGCAGGTATATGTCTTAAAGCAAATCCTTTTTAACTTCTGGGTTTTGTGTTTAAGTTGTGGAAATAACTCTAATCCTGGCAAAAGCTGCTCCTTTCAATAAATTTGCTGCATTTATATGTTATGAACTAGTTAAAGAAGCTGTTTTTATTATTCTTTTTTGGTTTGGGGTTCGGATCTGCTGATCAGAATGTTAAATTTTTTCTGCGAAGGTGTTTCCTTTGTTACTCAGGATTCATCAGCCAACTTTAACATTTTGTTTTTTGTTTTCGTTCGTGATTTGTTTGATCAGACGGTGGAGATCAAGGTGAAAATGGACTGCGAAGGATGCGAACGCAAAGTTAGAAAATCAGTGGAAGGAATGAAAGGTGTGACGCAAGTGGACGTCGAACGTAAGGCCAACAAGCTAACAGTCGTTGGATATGTCGACCCAGCAAAGGTCGTCGCACGCGTGGCACATCGGACGGGCAAGAAGGTAGAGCTATGGCCCTACGTGCCTTATGACGTGGTGGCCCACCCTTATGCTCCTGGGGTCTACGATAAGAAGGCCCCAGCAGGGTACGTTCTTAACGCTGACGATCCGCAGCTGTCGAATCTCGCACGAGCTAGCTCCACTGAAGTTAGATACACCACGGCTTTTAGCGACGAGAATCCTGCTGGTTGTTCTATTATGTGATTGATTGACATTAAAAACATAGTCTAATTTTTGTGTTGAAAAATGAAAATTTGTCTAGTTCAAGGATTTGTTTGTAAAGTGTACAATTGGATATTTGGTCAGTTGTATCAAAATGTTTCATGAGTATTTAATGGATAGCATTTTGTGGTAAAAGTACTTGGACCGAGAGATGGCTCTCAAATTCGAGTTTTATAAGTATAAAACAACAATGGGTTACATCAAACACATTTTTTGCCATTTTAAGGGAAGGGAAAATGGGGAAAATGGGAAGAGACCAAGAGAAAAGTAATGAAGATTTGATGCAAAAGAAGAGCCCCTGATGATGGTTCACAAGTAGATTTGATATAATTCATATATTTATATCATTAAAATATTAAAATTTATGAATTCATATTATATTTTATGTGAAAATTAAATATTATAATTTATATTTATATAAAAATATAAAATAAATATTTTTATTTTATTAAATTTACATATAATTATTATTAAAATTTTAAATCGTATTAATTTTATATTTATTTTTTATATTATATTAATTTGATATCGTACCCTCACTAAACATTAATACGAGCCCATAAGGTCCAGCCGACGCCTCAGTCTTGGGCTTGAAGGCAGTTCTTTCGGCCTTCCATCAGGCTTTCTCAGGTTCTTAGACCCTAGCCCCAACCCAAAACGATATCTAGCCGACCTTCGATTTCCTTTCGCGAAAAGAAAGAAACCGAAACCCTCGCTTCGCTTCCTTGTATTCATTTTGGCGGGAGAATCGAATCCAATCGAGTGCGAGAGACCATGGTAGACGATTCAGAGATGAACCCAGATCAGGTAGAGGAGGAGTTCACCGTGTGGAAGAAGAACACCCCATTCCTCTACGATCTCGTCATTTCTCACCCTCTCGAGTGGCCTTCTTTGACTGTCCACTGGGTCCCATCTTCGCCAACCCCCTACGGAGCCGACCCATCTTTTTCCGTCCACAAACTCGTCCTCGGGACCCACACCAGCGGTGGTGCCTCGGATTTTCTCATGATTGCCGACGCAGTCCTTCCGACCCTTGCCGCAGAATCCAATTTTGGCTCTAGAAATGATGACCCAGTTATCCCTAAGGTTTGTTGATCTTATAGTTTTTGTTCGATGAAATTACTAGATTGTAGCATTGAATTATTGATCCCGTTATTGGCATTTATATCTTGCTTATGAGGACTTTTATTTGGGTTCTAAAATGTTTAATAAAATTACTAATACTACGTTTTAAAAATATAATAACTAGCTGGAAGGCGAGATTAAGTTTGTGTTATTCTGATGAAATTGCTAGCTGAAGTTGGTTGGCTGTTGATAGGTGGAGATAACACAGAAAATGCGTGTTGATGGGGAAGTGAACAGGGCAAGGTGTATGCCTCAGAATCCTGTTATTATTGGTGCAAAGACAAGCGGCTGTGAGGTTTTTGTGTTTGATTACACCAAGCAGGCAGCAAAGGAGGAAGGGGCTGAATGTGATCCTGATTTGAGGTTGAGGGGTCATCACAAGGAAGGGTATGGGTTATCATGGAGTCCGCTTAAGGAGGGTTATCTTGTGAGTGGTTCACAAGACCACAAGATATGCCTGTGGGACTTGTCTGCTTGGCCTCAAGAGAAGGTTCTTGATGCAATGCATGTTTATGAGGTATTTGTGAGACGTGCTCTTTTGTTCGATATAAATGCTACGATTTTAGTGTTTGTGAGGTTTTATTTGATTATGAGATTTGTGAGTTTCCTTGTAGGCTCATGAAAGTGTGGTTGAAGATGTGTCGTGGCATTTGAAGAATGAGAATATATTCGGTTCTTCTGGTGATGATTGTCAGTTGATAATCTGGGACTTGCGTACTAACCAAACCCAACATCGTGTTAAAGCTCATGAGAGAGAGGTGAAATATAGTCTTTTTTTCAGTTTTATGTTTCAATGTCCTTTGGTCATCTGACAAGACATGTTCTTTTTATGTCTCAGATCAATTATTTGTCTTTCAATCCTTATAATGAGTGGATTCTGGCTACAGCATCTTCTGACTCTACTGTAGGATTGTTTGATATGCGAAAACTGACTATGCCTTTGCATGTTTTAAGCAGTCACACGTAAGTCTTCTGTCTCTCAGATTGATTCTGGTGTTTAGTATGCTAAAGCAAATTACATGTTGACTCTCTTTTTTAGTATATGCGGTAATTGAAATTAAAACCTAATTGATCTCTAGTTCTAGGTTTATCCAACTCTATGCTGTTCATTGATTATGTATTTGCACCCAAGTAGACATGTGCAGCTAATGTTTGTATGTGCTGAAAAGTAATTAATCTAGTTCTGCTGGATTTTATGTAGCCTTCTATTTTGGCTCTAAAAATTACAAATAGGTCTTAGTAACTAATTGAACATTATAGAAGCAATACTCGAATCTTCTTACAATGAAAGTAATCAGGATTATTTATTGATAAATTTTTTGAAAGGAATTCTGGGTTCTACTTCCTGTCTGACGCAAGTTGTACATAAACATTTGTGTACTATTCATTCCATTTTCTTGAACCTTATTTTTTTAGTTATGTAAACTATTTTTTGTCAAGACACTTCACGAACCATTTTCTGCCCAAAATTGTGCATGAAATCATTGAAATTGGACTTCTCACCTTGGATTGGTCCTTTTACAGTGGAGAGGTCTTCCAGGTAGAATGGGATCCTAATCATGAGACAGTGCTGGCATCTTCTGGTGATGATAGAAGATTGATGGTTTGGGACCTTAACAGGTAGTTTGGTCTTTTTGCTTTCAAGTTTTATTTGACCATATACTTTATGACATCAGATAAAAGTTTTTTCTTCCGATTGAAATGTCCTGATGTTGGTAGGAGCTATATCATCAATTTTAAAATATTTAAATCTGTTGTTCACCCTGGGATTGACCATTGCACAATCCAAACTGCTGAATTGTTTTGTTCTCATGGAATATATCATGTCAGGGAAGATGATTAATCCAACTTCCTTAAAAAAATAACCCAACTCACCACAATTGACATTGTTTCATTCAGAAACATTATCCATCTCTCTTGCTCTCCCTCATGACCTACTACTGGTGTTTGTTGGCTTGCAGGATTGGAGAAGAACAATTAGAAATTGAGTTAGATGCTGATGATGGTCCTCCCGAGCTTCTTTTTTCTCATGGAGGCCATAAAGCTAAAATATCAGATTTCTCATGGAACAAAAATGAGCCATGGGTGATTTCAAGTGTAGCTGAGGATAACACGCTTCAGGTCTGGCAATTGGCAGAGAGTATATATCGTGATGATGATGACTTGCAAACTGCTGAGGACAATCCATAGTCCATAGGTATTGACTTTGTTTAAGGATGTGTTTAAGTGAGTTAATGCGAGTTATAATCATGTCTTCTATGTCAAGGACTATAGTAGTCCTTTGACATGTTTGAATCAATATTCGAACCTTCTGTCTTTGTTGGTGTATTGATGGTTGGTTTACTGTTGACCTAAATCTGCTTTAAAGCTAGTGATTGAGTTTACCGAGCCCAGGTTGGGGGCTAATCCCTTGTGACTCCTAGAACAATAGCATCAAGTAACACTCTTAGAAAGTTGCCTGAGACTTTGTCAAATAGATGAACCAAAATTTTAAAACCAAATAGGTTTTGCCTATGAATTCATTGGAGGAAACAACCTAAAAGGGTTGAAGCAGTTTCTTTTGACTGATGGAGAACCACTGATCCAATGACAAATCTTTTGCCTACAAGCTATATATCCTTCAAAAAGTAACATAGTTTGCTCCATCTTCAAGGAAACCAAGGTTTGTCTTTTAGCATCTGATATTGCTCCATCCTTTTAGGGTTTTCTCACATACAAGTTTCCTTAAGATCATGGAACTGTTGCGGTCCCTTCCCATCTCCCGAAAGTGCATATGGCTCCTAGGATTTTAAATGTATTTTCATTTAAATCCACAAGAAACCACCAAAATTTGAGTAGAAACGGGCCTTTCTCTACAAAAAATAGGGAAACAAAAAGACTTGTACCAGACAGTTATTAGGGATGTTAATCTTATTCGTATTCAATAGGAAATTCGATTTTTATTCAAATAGGGATGGAGATGGTATTATGTTGCGGGTACAGGAATGAAGAGGCATATAATTTTAAATTTTTATTAGGTATAGTGATAAAGAGGAATAATATAATATTTATCTCGTATTTGTATTTTATATATGTTTTTTATATATTTAATAAATAATTTTTTTATTAAAGAATATAAATTATTATTTTAGATTAATTAGAATTAATATATTTTATTAAAAAAATATGGTAATAAAAAATTACTTAAATATATAAAACAAAAATAAAAAATATTTAAAAAATAAATTTTTATTTTTATTTTTTAAAATATTATAATTATGAAAATTGTTTATACTTATTAAATATCCACGGAGATAATAATGAAAGTTAATATAAAATATTCATTGAATATGAAAATAAGGGTGGATATAATATAAATATTCAAAAATGAAAACGAAGAATGTTTTATTTTATTCAATTTTATTCATTGACATCCCTAATAGCCATGAGCAAGACTTCTAAAGTAAATTCAAGATCTAATAATTATTGAATTACCCAACCTCAAGATTCAACTGTTTTTTGAAATTTAAGAGCCACATTTCTCCTTCCACTTTGTTTCAATTGTAAGCTTGTGGCTACTAGCAAGCTAGACGGCAGCTATTCTCGGTTATCGGTTACAGAAAAATTCGTAATGTTTAACTACCCCATCTTTTACGGCTAGGAGTTTTCATCAGATATCCATTGATCGAAACCTCAGTTAAAAGACGACACTTTCCTCTCGAGTAGGCGTCTCCAGCCATCCTAAACAGAATGCTAATGGCAAAAGAAAACTTCCTGTGCTTTGTCGATGCCACACAACGAGACTAGGAATGGCTGAAAGCTATGCAACCTAATTTGTAGCTTCCCATGTGAATCACAAGCTACGATTGCAGGGACTGAAACTTGTAATTCACCTGCTAAGGGCTCACAGTATTGAAAGATTAAAGATATTCCACCTTCTCTAATTCTGTAATTCATCAATAAAAGAATTCATATAGCTTAGAAAGAGAGAACTATAACTCAACCCAGGCAAACTTCAATAGAAGCAAAAGGTCAAAAGAAAAAAAAACACTACTCCATACAAGCACTAAAAAATTTTAATGAAAATCAGCAAAGCATAGCATCGTTGCTAGTAATTATTAACGGATCTCATACATTGTGGGTCAGAAGATGGGACAAGTTATTTATTCAGTTTAGCTTGATCAGAAACCAGGCTGTCAGTCACTGTTATAAATGCTACGGGCTACAATCCAGAAGTTTCAGCTTTATAGGTTTGTTGGCTTTAAACCATAAACTAAGAAGACTATAAACCCACCTTGAATAACCCATAAGTAGGGTTAAAAAACCAAAAAATAAATGGAAAATGAAAAAGAAAAAAAAAAAAAACCAATGCGACCTTAGGGAAGTAGGTGATGCATCCCAAGAAAACTGCTTGTGGGAAGGCAAATATGTAATGCTTGTCTCAACCTGCTGTAGCTGGATAAACACCTCCCAAGAAAATAGATGTCAATATTAAAGCCACAATGTACTCAAAAGCTGAGTGTTATTCAGTTATGCAGCTATACTCAGTTTGGAAACAGTCCATACAGCTCATCATATTCAGAACCAGTACCAGTGAAAAGGCCTCCCTCTTGAGTATGGCTCATAAACCAAAAGGACTGGACAAGTACTACATTCAACAACAAATATGCTGTTTTTTTCTCTCTTTAAACATTGCTCAGTAATATGAGTGAACCCATTTAAAATATAAAGAAATCACCAACATTTTTAAACTTTAAAAATTTATGTGGTTATAAAACAACAGCTAAATATTCAAATAATGTTCCACCACTCACGTTGGTCCTTATTTCTCATGTAAATTTTCTGCCATTCCTCTATTAATGATTCTAACTTTTGATAGTTAATGTGGTTATCAACCAGAACTACCAGATGGTTACTATGTTTCGAACAATGACGAACTCCATAGTTGCAGCAAGCAAAAAATGTAATAACTTCATTATAGAAACACAACAGAAAAACTACTTACAGCAGCCCTAACAAGATACAAAAAGATTAAATTTTGGATTGGAAATTCCAAGCCAGAAACTAGTGAAGCAAATAACTATAAGCAACATTTACAGATGGTGATAGAATAAAGTTCAGATCAATCATGTCAGGAATTAACTTTCAATATCCATCATAAACTATATGAAGAAATCAAGGGAAGGAACTTACAAAATTAACCTTTCTTCCTTTTTGTGCCAGAAGAATTGCCATTGGACCCTGCACTTCCAATCCCACCTGTAGAAAGCTCCTTTGGTCCAGAGTTCTGATTTGCCAAACATTGCATATTGTCAAACTCACACCCATTAAATCCTCCTCCGTTTAGCACTGCAGCTTCTCCTGTTTTACCTTCTACACCTGGGTGAAGGCAATACATCTGATCATTGCATTGCACATTGCAGGGATTCATCACATGAGAACCGGGCGGATTCATCATGTTAGCATTCGTTGTTGATTTCTGATAAGGAAACGATCCAATCTCCCCTTCAATTCTTCCTCGAACATCCACAAGCAAACACTTGAGCCTAGCAATCTCAGCCTCCAATGCAGCCTGACCTTGTAATCTCTTCAACAGTGCTGGTTCAATGTCCTCAGTCTCACAACCTCATCCTCCAACGAAGCAGCTCGTGCCTTAACCTTTTCCCTATACTTCCTAACAGCTTCTCGATTACCCTGAGGGAGTTTCTTCAATTCCTTCTCCCTAGACCCAGCGGTGACATCAATAGCAGCCTTTTGAGGAAGGCACATTTTTGGCATGAACATGGAAACAAGTGTGTGTATGAGAGTTATCAGGGCCAGGTCGGTTACAAGTGTGTGTATGGGTGCAAGCATGACAATCCTTGAGTAATTCATCGAAAAAGCTGTCTATTGAGCAACTGCTTGGAATATAACCTAAGTATTTGCCAGAAAACACTTCATGGTTCGAAAAATCAAGCTCCCCATCGTCCATTACAAGTAGAAATCCCCAGGAGAATCAGAGGGAAACACTTAAATCTAGTGAAGGAGTGATCAATTTACGATTTTGAACCTGACCCAGATAATAAATCATGCCCAACTAGCAAGTAGCAATTCATTTACAAACATTTTTCAAAGCAACCATTACAAGATTAAAAAAAAATCAACTGAAAACGAATCACACAATGAGAAAGTGAAATTTTTTATACCAGGGAAAAATTATATACTTTCAATATTGCAGAAAAGGTAAATTTATGGCATTTTGAAGATTCATAAAGTGGACGTACCAGAAACAAGAAATGGAAAGACCGAGCCGCCCTTTCAATTTATAGGTACTTGAGGTACTTCACTGTAAATTAAAAAAATTACATGCCGGGCGGCGGTCTGTTGAGATGCAATTATGGTGTTTTGTCCTTTATTAACTGAAAGGCGTCCGCCGTGGATGTGAAAATATTTTGCCACGTGGGTGATTATGGTTAGCTAGATCGTGATGATAAGGATTAAGATCATTGGGGACTGATGTGGATGAGTCATCATGCTACTGATCATTGAAGCCTAACGGGCATATGACCGGTTTAAGACATTAGCCAGGTTGGTGAACAAAGAATCACCATTTAGCTCAAAAATTATCAGGATATCTGGAAGAAGATTGAGTTTGTGTCCGGAAAGTAACACTTGTTTGTCAACAGGTGTTGGCGTAAGTATTTAAGGTTTACTGTCTGAATGTAAAGCATACAAATTTGAATATCCTTACAGTTCTCTAATAATTTTGATCCAAAGATCTAAAAAACATAAAAATTACACTAATACAAGTGGATACTTCCTCTATATATAGTAGTAAGTTGCTTCAAATGGACTACCATCAGATCAAATCACAAGAAACAAGATGAAACAATTTGGTTGTGTTCTTACACAGGGTTCTAGTCAATAGATGAGGCATATCTAAACCCAGAAGGCCATTAATATACAAATTCAGAATACAATCCATCCTAGAGAGAAAAGAACATATTTTGATGCTTAGAGAGTTCCCTCCTGGTTCTGTCAATTCAGACTACATATGCCATAAGGAGCAATTTTGTCAAGGTGAGGAGAGATAATAATAGATTGTGAGAGACTAACAGATTAAATGGTTAAACGATAACTTTTCTTTGCTAGATCACAATATTGAGCAGGCCTTTTCAGCCGTTCTCTTCTTTTTCTTCTTCTTCTTCTGCTTTGGCGGCTGGAGAACCATTTTGATGGCCGCATCAAAGACGGCTTTCACATTCTGGATTTCAAGAAGTAATTATCACAAATCCTTCCAATGCTCAAAACCAAAAGGCTGAAGATAAATTACCAACCAAATATTTATGTACCTGCTGTGTCTTTGAACTACATTCAATGTAAACGGGTGCTCCAATTAACTTGCTCAATTCCTCCCCCTTTCAGCATAAAAGAACAATAGAGAATCAAAATTAGGATCTTATGCTCTCAACTAAAATGACACTCTGGTTATTAAACTGCAAATAGCAGCATGATGAGACAATGTGAATAACTAAGTAGAAAGTTCTTATTATGATGACAAGCGAGCAGCCATTAGTACCTGGGCTGTGGTAATGGGTACTGCACCAGGGTGATCTAGGAAGAACTGCTTATCATCCCGAAGATCTACAGAAAGAAAATTTAGCAGCTGTTAATCAATCATAGATTGACAGCTTTAAAGATAAATTTAGCAGTTATTGATGCTATATCTGATTTGGAAACTGTTCCAGAAGATATTTCCCAGAATATTTACTAAAAAGAATAGGAAACATTGGGACAAGGTCAAAAAATAAAAGGTTGAGAAATGGAGTGCTTCCATTAGCTTTAAAAAAAGGGTAAACTTCCATTGGATAGCTGCTTCATTTGCTTTCCTTGTTATTCATCTGCCATGGGATTTATTTTTTTCTCTTCTGAAACTTATAATGGTCTTCTTTACTCCATGATCAATGATTCATGCCATAGTGAAATTGACTATTTAACTAGCTCAAGATAGAGTGATGAACTCATATGGAAGTAAACCTAGGAATACAATATCAATGAAAGAACATATAGTAGGCACAGTTTAGAAATTTTCGGCTTATTTTGTTTCTGTCCCATTTTCTTCAAATGTCCTCTTAGTTGATGAACATTTAATTGCGTTCATATTCTACATCAGCATCTCATAGGATTTGTTTACATCAATAACTTTTGTATAACTCCCAAAGATTTCCTTAAAACCAGTAAAATGAACAGCTTTTTTGAATAATCCATGGAACTTTAGTTTCAATTTTGCTTGGTCCTCCAGCTCGGAGGGGGGGCGGGCTGGGGAGGACATAAGAGCATCTAGATTATTCCACAAGCTTATAATATATCCAAAAAGATCACTTTTGATGACTCAATAGGAGAAACAATTTACTGGCAAAAAATAAAATGAAACCGATTGTAACCGAACCAATAAGTTATGCAGGACTAAGCTAGAAAGTTTTCCAAACTTGTCTTGTTTAAAGCATTCTTTTAAATACATTAGAAAACATACTAATTTGAGGCAAAGTCAGAATGGATTGGTTTCAGGTTTCTGCCATTATGGTATTTACACCTTACTCCAAATCAAGTTAATGACCTATGTAGAAGAAGAGACTAGCCTCAACTATTTAGATGAAGACAGAATTGAAGGAGGTTTTGGCAAGGGCACAAGCAATCGAACCATAAAATTCTAATTGTTCTTTTTATTAAGAAGAAAACCGAAACGAAAATGTCAATAGTTGTAAAGGTTACCGTAGCTTTATTAAGAAAAGTCTTGCAATCAAAACACCATTATAGAGATCAAACCTCCATTTAGGATTTTAGGCGCTAGAACAGATTAATCTTATGAGGCAGGGGCAATGCTGAGAAGACGGATGGTCATCCCATGGCACTACACTACTTCACCCGGCAAGAGGAACTTCTCCCCTTATCTCAAGGGGAAACAAACTCCCACCCCACCCCCTACCACCTCTGTCTTTCACAGGGTAGGGAAAATGAGAAGAAGAAGGAGTTGGAAATATTGTAAATTTAATAGGATTCACTAGCTTTAACCACAACATATTATACGGGGAAAAATGAAAATTATTGCATTAAGAGCTTATTCAAAAGAACAGATAATCGATAAACTTGGTAAAAATTGGAGTAGAATCTAACCAAGCTTAGTGCCGACAAGAATAATCGGAACACCGGGTGCATAATGCCTCAACTCAGGAATCCACTGACAATTTGGAACAGAGAATGTATTAGTAGATCAAGTAATTAGAAAGTATATCATTAAAAAGAAAGTCAAAAGTTTCTACAAATAATAATAATCTCACTTTCTTAGCAACATTTTCATAGCTGGCTTTGCTAATGAGAGAGAATGCCAGCAGGAAGACGTCTGCTCCACGATAACTCAAAGGTCTTAATCTAGTGTAATCTTCCTGGCCTGTTTCATGATAGAAAAACAAATTCAAAACTACAGAAATAAACATCCTAAGACAAGAATAAGGAAATATTGTGGAATTCAAACATACCAGCAGTGTCCCACAATCCCAGATTAACAGTGTTCCCATCCACAGCCACATTTGCACCAAAATTGTCAAAGACAGTTGGCACATAATCCTGTTTCCCAAGACATTGCAGAGGATGTAGGGAAAATGTTATAATGACCCAATCCAAAAGCCATCTTAAAATAATCATAAAAATGAAGCAATAACTAGACAATCATGATTACAAATTTAGCATCAATCAACACTTTATGGGTAAGGTTCACCAAAAGGAGGAAATTCTAGCACAAGCATTTTTTTTATGCCAATTTAAAGGACAAAAAAAACCAGCATCATGGCCATGCCCATCACCCATGATTCACGGTCATACAAGCACCTACCATGAAAAATCCTTACATGGAACTTCCTACTAGCAATAGTTTCTGATACAGCAATTTTTTTTCTTTCCTCTCTTTCTAGCAGAAAAAGGAAATTAGCGAGACAAAATTTTCAGCTTTAAACAAAACTCAGCAAATTAAAATGAAAACCTAAAATACTAAGCATCCTTTTTCATGCATGAAAACTCAAACAGACCAAATAATGATAAGTTATATAAACTATAAAAAGCAAAATAAAAAAAAAAATCTACAAATTTTTTGCAACAGAAATCCTTAAGAAATTGCTCACTTGAACACAAGTTACGAAGAATGAGTCAATTATTCAGAATAATATTCTACACCAAATTCAAGATTCCAAAGATAAGTATAACCAAAGAGAAAAAGAAACAAAAGCCCCCCCCCCCCCCCCCCCAAAAAAAAAAGCATCTTTGTGAAATAGTCACATTGACCACCAGAAACCAGCACAAATTCTGTTTGGTTGCCAAGAAAATAGAGGAAACAAAAAAAGAAAAGAACCCATGAAAATCCAAGTCAAAAATATTCTTTTTCTTCTTTCTTCAGTACCAAGAAGAGTCAAATTTCTTTCGATTTCCCAAATTTTCTCAGGAACCAAACAGAAACCCTAAAAAACAAAAAAAAAAAGAAAAGAAAAAAAGGCCGTTTCTTTATTTCTTTTTCTTTTTCTTTTTTTATAACTTACAGTAGGGAAAGTATTGCTGGTATAGGAGATAAGCATGCAAGTCTTGCCGACGGCACCATCACCGACTGTGACGCATTTTATGAACCTGGAAGCACTCATTTTGCGCGACGTGTAACCGGCAAAAGTGAAGTACGGTTAGAGTTGTTCTTCTACCTCCCGGTCACTTCCGTCTTTGTTTGTTGTCCAAACTCCAAACGGTGGAAAAGAAAGGCAAAGTCTAGTTTAGTTATTGTTAAGGTCCGACATTGTTTTTTATGCTGAGTTGGGAGAAAGAAATGAAGTCGAACAGAGAAAACCGAAACACATTGTCAGAGAGAAAGAGAAGAACTTGGGGAAAGGCCAAAAGACAGCTCTCGGACAGCTACAACGAGGAACTGCTGCCTGAAACAGTGCCCCAAATTTCTAGCCCTAACATGTACCCATCTTTCACTCCCCTCTTCTATTTTCCATTTTGCGTCTTGTATGGTAAATTTTTGGTAAAGAAAAATTGTAATCTTAAAATAAAAAAATTGTAAATATTGAAAAAATAAATGATTGAATAATCCGAATAAACCAAATTTTGTCTTCATGAAAGTGAGAGCGTAATAGAGGCCATTAAGGTTAGGATACAATCAAATTTGATTCGATTTTTAAATATTAAATAATATTATAATTTTTAAACTTTAATATTTCATAGAAATGATTAAAATTAGATCAAATTTTATTTAATTAATTAAATTTGATTTATTGATTTTTGAATTTATTTATTTTTCATATATATTATGTTAGTATAAAATTTTAATATATTTAAATAAATTTTGATATAAAATTATTATTTTTATTTTATAAAAATTAATAAAAATATATAATTCAATTCAATTTAATTTTTTTAATTTATTATTTTATAATCCTAAATTCAATTTGAATATAATATATATTTAATATCTAAACTTCATTCGAATAAAAAAAATAATTCAAATTAAATTAAATACTACAACTTCCAATAAATTTTTAATTTTCTTGATTTTTTTACCTAATGTTAAACAATAAAAAAGAGGGATGAGTAAGAAAACTCAAACTGCCTATGACATATTTGTAATTACAAGTAGACAAAAGGCATAATATATAGTTGTACCTAGAATTGTGATGACATTCTTATGTTGTGCAACAGTGCTGAGTTTTGATTTATATCATCAACTAGGACATTCCAACAAAGGTACATCATCATTATTCAGTGTTTTTGGCAATTGCTTTAGTGTTGGAAGCAAATTAGTTTTCATTGCTTAGCTGCTGCTTGGACAAGTCATTATCAATTTATTACCAATCACCAAACGCTTTGTCTTGACCTCAATATTTTTGTATTATTATTATTATTATTTCCTAACAAGACAAAACCTAGAGACAATTAAACCTAGCTAAAAGAAACATTAAATTTCTCAAAGCACATGGGGGCCGGTTACCACCAACTCCATGTGCTATGACAACCAACTTCCTACAAGTTTCTTTCAATTCAACATCCGTGTATCTGGCAGGCAATGTCCTGAGATGCCTTGTCCCCTACTTGTTTGCTCCTACCAATCAACCCTGCAATCAAATTTCATTCAGATAATAATAATAATAATAATAATAATAATCATTCTTTTGTTCGTGATATAGTTTCCAAGGCTGATTCCAATTGTCTTCCAAAGTTTGCCCCTGCTCTTTTCCTTCTTTTTGAATCCAACTGTTTGTTTCTTTTAGAGTTGCATCTTAGTTTCAGAGTAGACAATTTCCTGAGCAATGATGGATGAATCTTTAAAGTAAGTTGAAAGAAGTCCAGAAAATAAAAATCACTGACAATGAGTGCAAATGTATGATTTATCCCTTCTCCGAGCCAATCATTTGTTGAGCAGACATTTTTGATGCTCCATTTGCAAATTTGGAACTCATTTCCCCTTCATTTACAAAGTAATTATTGATGACAGCATATTACATAGATTTGCAACCAGCGAGAACAGAGAGGGTTTCTAATCTAACACCTGTAACTGCATTAAGAAATCTTATCCCTTGCAAGAGTCAATTTGTTGTCAAATTATCTCCATTTCTGCTCATTCAAGTACAGTTCAAAATGATCAGTTGTTTATCTATTTTGTTCTACTTTTAAATTGACTTGTCGTTGCAGAGATATAATTTATGCTACCAATTACATACCTTACTGCCTGTTTGAGTGCTTCCACAGACACCAGTTTGACTGGCTTTGTGAGCTTTTTCAAGTTTGTTCTGTCAGGGAGAGGATCAACCATATATATTCCATCTGATCTAAGAGGATTTCTAAATGCTGTTCTCAGGTTCCTGCATGATTAGAAAAAAAAAAGGAAGTGAGAAATTTAGTTTAACAACGAAAATGACACGGATCATTGACCACCTATGCTCCCATTAGCTCAGTTCACTTTGTGGAATATCTTTCTGATGCTTTCTACAGAACATAATAGAAAAGAATTATCTGGAGGTGATTTACTACCAACTCCCAAGATATTGGTCAAACAAGTTAAAGTAATGTCATGCCTACTTTTTGTTACATATATTGACAGTACATAACTTGAAGTCTGAAATAACAGAATGGATCAAAAGTTAAAATATAAAGAGATAAATTACATAGACGAACATAAAAAGAAAACTGGATAATGCAAGCCTCATATTAGGAAGATGTTTAACTAGCTGCATAAAAGACCAAATTGGATTTGATGAAAAAACATAAGAAAGCTATGAAATACCTTCAAAGACAAACTAAACAAAGAATTAAGTCAAGATTTTACATCTAATTTCTATCCAAGATTTTCTTCTTGCTACAAAAGAATTAGCTTTTTTAACTTCTTGCTTAACTACATAATGGATCAATCCACATTGCAAACATTCAGCAGAAATCAGACTCCTCGAACTTGAACCCACCAACAAACTTTCACATGTGTTGAGCATTTTCTGTAGATGTGGCAGTTAGACATCATGCACTTCAAGCAAACTCAAACAAGGTAATGACTGATATTGCAGGGAAGTTTAAAATCATAGATTGTTGATGATGCAAGCATAAGTGGAGAGACCATAATCATTCATTAGGAAAGCCTAATAGCATCATTCAAATCATTTTTCTTTTTCAGCCTTTTTACCAGTTAATAAGTGCCTATAACACCTGAACCAGACGCAGTAGAAGCTTTTTACTCTTATGTCACTTAAAATTAATCATTTAGTACATAATAGATTTTTCTCTCAATCCCATTTCTTAACCAGGTAAAATACATGAGAGCCGTTGTGCAAAGACAGTCAATAAAACAAAAGAACATTAAGACATGTAGCATACTTGCTTATGACAAGCGTGCAAGCCATTCCATCTTTTCTTTTACCCTTGTAAACGCCATAGTCAGATGAAGAACCAATCTTTAGAATTTGGGTGGGTGCACTGATACTCAACGAAAATCCCAATCTCTACAAAATGATACAGAAGGCATTAGTTTCTTTATGAAGAGTACCCTACATAAGCCAACTAACATATGACAAGTTGATACCTTGGTGTCTTTGCATACGTTGCAACTGAACAATGCAAAAACTGTTCCAGCCTGCTCCTTACAATCATCAAACAAGAAAAGAGAAACGGTATTTTCATCTAAACACCTAATTTTCCATATGCTATAGCTCTGCCCAATAGAACTAGTCTTTAATTCGCCTTTTCAGTCAACACTCCCATGGTTGCCTTACATCCATAAAGGGTGTCTCCCGCCAAAAAAATTCCTATAAAAGGCCAAAATATCTAGTTACCTTCCACATTGCAGTTTATATCTAACTAAGCTTAATTCAGAGCTTTGCAAGTAATATTCTAGGTAAGAACGAACTTGAAGAGAACTTAAATATCCAAAAGCGAGAAAACATCTTCCAGATTTTAATTAGATTATAAGCCGAAGAAGTACAACATTCTTTATAGTCCATAGCCAAACAAAAGGAATATCAGACAAGCGCTCACTTAGCTTCCTGAAAACAGAAGAAAAACACAAACTTTAACATGAAAAAGAAGTACTAATAGAAAACTGTCACACCACTTCCGCTTTGCACATTTGGCTAGTTTGCTGAGAAAATAGGCAAAAAAAATGTTAAATCTTTTAACTCATATTATAATAAAGTTTTAGCCTCCAATAATCAGATAAGTCACCCGATTAAAACCAAGTCATCATTTAGGCCACTGTAGAAGAAGTGGAGTTGAACTTGGTTTTACCTTATACGGAAACCTCAAACTTCTCAACTTGAAGATCTTGAACTCTTAGGCATTGACTTGGGCCACTTGGCAGGTCCCTCAACTTGTTTGGGTTCATAATCAAGGCAATGTTCGACAAGTTTCTTTCCCTCTCTGCCTTGGTCATCCATCATCTGATAGGTACCCTACAAATTTAGGCTAACTACCTTGAAAGAAGAAACAGAGAGATACCATTTATCAACTTTGAAAAAGAAGAAACTGAGTGATACTCATTGTTAATTTTCAGGGCAAGAAAAATAAGTAAGCAAAACCCAGATGCGAAAACAGCAAATAAAAGGAAATTGGAAAATGCAGAGGCAGAGGCATAAAGCCAGATGCAATTAGGGGAAAATAAAAGATGCCCAGAAACGTTTTCTAATAAGCAAATTCAAAGCCAAAGCAACCATGAGAAAATGTGTAAACTTTGATTGATGATAAAGCGAGCACTGGGTTACCCAGAGACTGAAAGTGGGGATTTGAATTCACCAAAAACTTAGTTTTCCGGTTGAGACAAAAGAAAGTGAAGAAAAGACAATAATAAACCCTAAAATCCACCAAAAGCTAATCCAAATTCAAATCAAATTCAAGATTTACATCTCGCTCGTCGCAATTACTTAGCAAAGAAATCAATTGTTAGGGTTTTGAAAGTGAAATTTGAGAAACCACCTTTCAAGAAGACAGCAAAAGCGACCAAATTAGAGAATTTTTTAAAGTACCTGTGTTACCGCCACGATCACTCTCGAAAATCGAAAGAGCGGGTCGGTCTTTTATGGGTCCACCAGGTGTGGATCACATTGACCGACATGAACCAAATCTAAATTAGGGTTACCATGGATTTGGGCTAAAACCAGGTTCTTAACTTCCTATATATTTTGTTGGTTTAGGTCGGTTACTGTTAAGGCCCATGGCCTATGAGTTTTTCAAATTCCGGCCCATCCTAATTATTTTTAAATCCCTTTTATTTATTTATTTTTAAAGCGTGGATGGAGATTTTTTTTTTCCAATTGAACGTAAATTTAATCTTACATTTAATTCATATAAAAATTGACATAAAATAGATTAAATTTTCATAATTAAAGATGAAATTTAATAGTTTTTTAATTAAAATTACAATGCCAAAGATTAAAAAATATTTATCTCAAAATGTCGAATATGATTAATACATTTTACTCTGAGAGGTAATAATAATCAAATTCATCCCAAAAAAAAAAAAAAATCAGCACTTAAGTCATCATCAAGCTATCTCAAATGGTTTAATACATTGTTAGTCTTTTCCTGAACTCAAGCCACGTTATTGGAATGTTACGGCAAAAAGCACATTTTACATGCACGAGGAAATATTGGTGGCTAAGGCCTCATTAATGTCTGTTCTACAACCGTTCTGCATCCCTCCATATTCAAATTCTTCCGAGAATAGCAAATTTTCTCGAGAAAAATCAGAAATCAGTTACATTCAAAGGTTAAAAATAGTAATATGACATGTCATGAATCCGGAGTTTCATCCAAGACCTTAAAGGCACCGTGCCTTTCTCCTATATCATTGTTTTTCCAAGAATATGTCATTTGAGCTTACCGGGCACCTCTCCTTTAAGGTGGAGGTTCCCAAAGTAGGCTTCATTATTTATTGTTTCTAAACGAATTTCCTTTTGGTCCCCAAAAAAAAAAATCCATTTCTGATAGAAAACAAAAAGATTCTTCTACTGAAATAGCGATGGCAGTATCAGACACTATACTTTTGATAACCCTTTTGACATTGCTGGTTACTTCCAGCATTGCACATGACAAGGATGATAACGATGGGGATGAAGTTAAGGTTGAAGGTAAGGCAAATCAGGGCGTGACTTATGATGGAAGGTCTATGATCATCCATGGCAGAAGAGAGCTTCTCTTTTCGGGCTCCATTCATTACCCTCGCTGCAATCCAGATGTATGCATGGTTTTTTGTATTAAATATATTCTTATGTTGATTATTTTCTCAAGGAACTTTGATTTGATGGATGCATGTAGAACTAATTTGTTGTGTTGAATTGGGTTCAGACCTGGCCCGACCTCCTCACAAAAGCCAAACTTGGAGGTCTGAACGTGATTCAAACTTATGTTTTCTGGAACGTTCATGAGCCAGTTCAGGGCCAGTTCAATTTTGAAGGAGAATATGACTTGGTGAAGTTCATCAAGATGATTGGGGAGCATAAAATGTATGCAAACCTCAGGGTTGGCCCATTTATCCAGGCTGAATGGAACCATGGGTAAAGATTGAAATTTCTCTTTTCTATTCTTATTGAATCCTCATTTCTTCAGCCTCTCTCCATGTATCTGCTTAACAATGTAGTTTTTAAATGTGAACTTCAGCGGATTACCATATTGGCTAAGAGAGGTCCCCAACATCACATTTCGTTCTGACAATGAACCATTCAAGGTAATGTGTCTTCTCCAATCTGATATGGTATTTCTACTTGGTGAAAGACTGAAAACTCTATACAAACGATTCAAGATTTCATTTGAGTAAAACTTTACCTTGTGCAGAACCACATGAAAAAGTTCGTTAAAATGATTATTGACAAAATGAAGGAGGAGAAGTTGTTTGCTTCACAAGGAGGACCTATCATTTTATCACAGGTTTGGTTGATACACTCTTCCTCTCCTAAAACCTATATCAATACTATATCATTTTTGCCAAGTTTGATCTTATAAATTTCATAGATCGAAAATGAGTACAACACTATTCAACTAGCCTTCAGAGAACTTGGAGATAGTTATGTTCAGTGGGCAGGAAATATGGCTGTTGCCTTAGACACCGGAGTTCCATGGATCATGTGCAAGCAAAAGGATGCCCCAGGTCCGATTGTAAGTTTACCCGATAAGCTCTTTGATTTCTTTGCTACGAAGAGACACAAACAACATTTTGTATAGAAAATCTAGCAAAAATTTTCTCCATCGATCCTGGTGCATGTAAGTGTATCATTATAATTGTAAAAGCTCTACATAAATCAATAAAAAGATGGAAAACCTGCTCATTTTGCATAATAAAGTAGTAATATATACTTCATCGTTCAGATCAATACATGCAATGGAAGACACTGCGGAGATACTTTCACAGGTCCAAATAAGCCCAACAAGCCTCATCTGTGGACTGAGAACTGGACTGCACAGTGAGTGTATTATTATTGAAGATGTTCATTCGAAAATTCAAGTTGTATATATAGGCTAATGCTGTGGCTGTTTCAACGTGTTTTTAATAATTCAGGTATAGAGTATTCGGAGATCCACCATCTCAAAGATCAGCAGAAGATTTGGCATACTCGGTTGCTCGCTTCTTCTCCAAAAATGGAACTTTGGTCAACTACTATATGGTAGGAAGATACTTGGCTGTCGTCTACGAGTTCAATTCTTATCTAAATGACACTCTTTTTAGACATAGCTCACTGTTCTTTTTTTGTGTTTGCAGTACTATGGTGGCACAAATTATGGCAGAACAAGCGCTGCTTTTACAACAACTCGCTACTATGATGAAGCCCCTCTTGATGAATATGGTAGGATTAAGAATCTTGTTATGTAATGATCTATGGATTTAAGTCCTCTATACAGCTAATTTCACATGTTCTGAATGTTGCAGGTTTACAAAGGAACCCAAAATGGGGTCATCTCAAGGACGTCCACAAGGCCCTTAATTTGTGCAAGAAGGCTCTGTTTTGGGGGTCTCCTGTTGTCCAAAATTTGGGTCCAGACCAAGAGGTAAGCATCTATATAGGCTAATCGAGTGGATTCGGTCAGAGAAATCAATATGGTTACTAAGAGTTAAGATATTGTGCAATGCAGGTTCGAATCTGGGAGCAACCTGGAACTTCATACTGTGCAGCTTTCTTGGCCAACAATGACACCAAGAAAGCACAAACAATCCATTTCAGGGGTCAGGATTATGGCCTGCCAGCTCGCTCCATTAGTATCCTCCCTGACTGCAAGACCGTGGTTTACAACACTCACATGGTAAAATCCTGACCCTTTATATATGTCTTTTATCTCCACTTATAGTAACTACAAATTGGCCATCTTCCTCCTTATAACATGCTCCCAAGCTGCCTTGTGTTTTCTTGCTGCTTTAAAACTTCTAAATAATAACTTATCTTTGATTATTTAACGCAGATCACAGCTCAACATAACTCAAGAAATTTTGTAAGATCAGCAATTGCAAACAAGAACTTTAACTGGGAGATGTACAAGGAAGTCGCTCCTACCGAACTTGGATCCAGGACCAGCCTGCCCATGGAGCTTTATGAATTGACCAAAGATACAACGGACTACGCTTGGTACACGACTAAGTAAGATAAAAACTTACAACACCATGTAAAGAAACCAAATTATAAAGATCAGAACATTTAATTGATTTTAACTGTCAGAGAAGGATATTGATAGGGGATCCTTAGAAAAGTTACCAGGCATTTCTACTTACTGCCTAAATTTGACTTATCTATGAAATTCCTGCTGCAGAATTGAATTGAGCCGACGTGACTTACCAATGAAAAAGGAAATCTTCCCAGTTTTACGGGTTGCAAGTTTAGGCCATGGAGTCCATGCCTTTGTAAACGGGGAATACATAGGTAAGTGCAGCATGCATACAGAGAGGATCAGGCTTTGATGCACTTTGCATTCCAAGCAACAGATATATAACAATCTTGGTGTTTTGTCTCTTAGGTACTGCACATGGGAGCAAAGTTGAGAAGAGCTTTGTCTTCCAGAAACCTGCAAAGTTCGAGGAAGGGACCAACCATATTGCACTCTTGGGGTATTTAGTGGGACTTCCAGTAAGGCTTTTGCAACTTAAAGCACATTTGGGCTTGAATGAAACTTGGAGCAGCTACTGATGAGATTTTCTTTATTAATTAAGGATAGCGGAGCCTACATGGAGCGTAGATATGCTGGTCCTCGTTCTATCACCATCCTAGGTTTGAACACTGGAACACTTGACTTGTCAATAAATGGCTGGGGGCATCAGGTATCAGTGGACTTTGATTTTTTATGGTAAATTTCACACACCTGGTCGTTGATGCTGGCTAATTAAACAGATTTGGTGCCTATTTTCAGGTTGGACTAGATGGAGAAAAGAAGCAAATATACACTGAGAAAGGCTCAAAGTCGGTTGAGTGGACAAAGCCCAGTGGAGAAATCCCATCTTTAACATGGTTCAAGGTAATTCCTGGAGAATTTTTATGTTAGGAATGCTTGAAATTTTCTTTTCAGATGTACAAATATTCATAACTAAACCACAAATGGTTGACACATGCCTGATAAATGGAAAATTTCTTGTTATACAGGGATCTTTTGATGCACCTGAAGGAGACAACCCGATTGCCATCCGGATGACTGGTATGGGGAAAGGTATGGTGTGGATCAATGGAAAAAGCATTGGCCGATATTGGATGTCATACCTTTCTCCTCTTCTACAGCCTACTCAATCCGAGTATGTAAGCCATAATCACAGAACTATAACTAGAAATAGATCGTCATCAGTGAAAGACCAAACTGAAATTGTTTTCATAATTTGTGCTTCTAATTCAGGTACCAAATCCCAAGATCATACCTCAAGCCAACACAGAATCTCATTGTTATATTTGAGGAAGAAGAGAAAAATGATCCTAAAAATGTTGAGATCTTACTAGTTGATAGGGATATAATCTGCAGTTATGTAACAGAATATCATCCACCATCTGTGAGGTTATTTGAAAGCAAAGGAGGTAATCTTCGAGCCAAGGTGAATGATTTGAAACCAAAGGCTGAACTGACATGTCCAAACCAGAAACATATCGTTGCCGTAGAGTTTGCAAGCTTTGGTGATCCTTTCGGCGCATGTGGAGGCTACTTTGTTGGAAATTGCTCGTCTCCGGTATCCAAGGAAGTTGTTGAAAAGGTAAGTCAAGTTTAAGTAACTGTTACATTACAGGGCACTTTTTGAGTTATTAAATTGCTCTTTTGTCATCGAACAGTTTTGCTTGGGAAAAGCCAGCTGCAAAATTCCATTGGACACCGTGCATTTCGATAATAAAAATGATGCATGTCCAGATATGAAGAAGGCACTTGCCGTCCAAGTGAAGTGTGCTTATAAACCCTAGTCCTCTTGGAGAAATCAAAATTAGTGTTCAACTTTCTTTGTATTTTCTTTGTATTTCTGATCCATAAAATTGCAACGGGATGATTGTGCAATTTCCAAGTTAGCAAATTGATTTACGATCTTCAAGCATTTTTCTTTTTCTTATTTTTCTTATATATCTTCCATTTAAGCAAACAGAAAAAAAAAAAAAATCATTGACTGCAGCTGGAAGTCCTTAACAAGCTTCAGTAGAATCTGCAAAAGCCATTAAAACCAATCTGTGCAGATACCAAGACTCTTCCCTCAACTTTCATGGCTGAATAGGGGATTGATTTGTAAAATTTCTGCCCACATTCAATAAAAAGTCAGACTCAAATTTAAGCTCTTTGGTCATTGACAGATGCCCAAGTAAGTTATCCTTCTCTATGCTTCAGAAATTGAAGGATATTCAACCACTGTAATATGGATTCCTACAAAGCAAGCTAACTTCCGGATTCTTAGTCACTGCTGCCTTGTTCTGCATGCCTAATCTCAATGCTTCCACATGCATAAACATTAGAAAGGAAGCACAATTTGATTTCTCTTGATTTTGCTTAAAATCATGGAAATCCATGACGTTGAATTTGAAGATTTGGGAATAGCAAATAATAGCTTCCAAACACCGTCTGAATAGCAAGTAATAGAAAACAGTTGCAATGCCCGGTATTCATAAACTTTCATTAACGTACATTATTGGATAGATATTAATTTAAAAATTTTAAAGAAAAGAAAAGGTTTTTAAAGAAAAAAAATAAGTATCCTTTATTTGGATGATTAAAATTAGTAAAAGAAAGAAAGAAAAAAAGAATTTTACATCTATTATTTAAAAAAATAGTAAAAAAAATAATTCATTATAAATTTTTTATCAATTATAACTTTTTTTTATAAAGTAGCATATAATATATAAATATATTTTTATATTAACTAACTTATATAAACAATTTTTTTTAAATAAAATTGAAAATGTTTAATAAAATATGAGTATTAACTAATTATTAATTTACTTTTAATTTTGTATTAATTCAATATTTTAATTTATTCTTATAATAATTTGACTTGTTTTACTATTAAGACTTGAAAAATCATAAAATATTTTTATAAATTTTAATATTATATAAAATATTCATAAAAAAATTATTTTTGTAAAAAATATCAGTTATATAATAAAATCTAATGCTGTAATAAAAATATAAATATAATAATTTTTGCATAAAAATTTTTTTAACTTTTTTTTCTTAGTTTTTCTTTTAAATTGAAATATTAAAAAAATAAAGATTACAAAAAAATTCTAAAGATTATTGAGTTTTTACTTTTTTTTTTCTCTAAATTAAAAATTTATTCAAATAAAAAGATGATTTTTTTTATTTTTTTATTTTTTCTTTTTCTCCACTCAATCCAAATAAAGTGTAAAGATAAAAAATATGAATCAAAGAGGTCAAGAAAATGCTCTACAAATTCAAAAACTTATACTTTATCTCAAAAAGACAAAAAAAAAAAGAGTCAGATAGACTTGTATTTTAGACTTAGATAAAAATATTTAAAGTGAAATTTTATTCAAAAATAATTAATTAAAAATTAAAAATTATCGTCACATAAATTAAATTTAAAATTGTTAACAAATCTTAATATATTATTCAAATAAATGATTTTACTAAAATTTTAATAAAAATTTTCAATTTTAAATAAATATTAATCGATCTACAAATTTTGATTTTCAAAATAAATTTTTTTATTATTGGTTTTCTGTATAACGTAAACCATGCATTAAAGGAAATTTTTTTTCTAATTAAGGGAAGAAGAATAAAAGTACTAAAATAAAGAATGAAGAAGGGTGAAAAGGCAGAACAATTTCATCATTTATTCATTTTCGCCACATATGTAATATATCTTGCCAGCCAATAAATCGTCAAACCAAAAAAATAGAAGTAAAAAAAAATTCCTATTTATATACAAAAGCTCTATCATCTGCTACAATGCTTCACAAAATCCCCCTCGCAATTTCGTTTTAGTTTGTGCTATAGTCCCGATTCACCTGATCTCGAGTTAAAACCAAAAAAGAAATTCATTACCAAAAAATACTCACAAACTGAAAAAAAAAAAAGAAAAAAAAAGGTTTGATCATTTACCCAGAATTTCTAGGGCTATGAACGCAAAGTTTGAACAGATGGTCCACCATTAAAGTACTAACAGGACCTTGCCAATGCCATTACTAAGGAAAGAGCAGTGAAGAGGAGCGTCATTATTTGAGCAAAAAATAATACGCCACTTTGAAACATCAAAAACAATCGGAGGTGAGAAAATTGACCTAGATTGCGGTGTTCAAGAATATACAGAGGCCTGTTCTGGTTAGTCTTGCGAACTCATGATAAATCAAAAGATCCTTGCCCTTCGCTGATTGCATATAGCAATTTCTTATACATAATCTCCTGTTCATACAGCAGCAGTCGTCGATGAGGAAAAATGATATCAGTGGATATTGGTGACAATAGCATAAAGATAATCATGAAAATTCAATCTAAACTAGTCATACCTTGGTAGAATATGGAGGAAGCTTCAAGTAATTAGCACAAGTCATGACACTGGGCAAGTCATCATCTGCTGATTCTGATGGTCCAGTTCCATTGGAAGCAGCAGCAGTAGCAGCAGCACTTGCAGATGCAGAATGCTGCACTCACACAGATAAGAGTATTAAAAGAACCTAAAAGTAATAATGATTAGACAGACACCATAAACTGAAATTACGTTGCTGCTTTAAACATACTGCATAGAGAGAATAACAGGATTATTTTAGAGATAAAGAAAATAAAAAGATGCTTTGGCCTAAATCAGAATCTTACCCATAGCATTCAAAGTATGATTCACACTTTGGTAGCAATTTTAAAAACAATGGAGCAATTGCAGGTAAATAAGACACAATCTTTGTATGCACTTCAAAAAATTGACATAAATAAATACCACTTCTACTTGACTTTCAAATCATCTTCAAAAATTTCAACAGCAGGATGTCATCAAAACACCGAATGTAAAAGAGAAGAAACTTTGATAGAAACTTTTTCAATCCAACTCTGGTTACCTTTCTAACGATTGTCAGCTTTGGATTCAGCACTGCCAGGCCGCCAGGTGGAAGCCTGGGCGCACCAGTAACAAATTGACAGAAGGCCCGCTGCTGTTTAGGTGTAAATTCTCCCATAATTTCAAGAAACTATGAAATCACAAAACCATTCATTAAGGATCAAATAAGAATTAAACCAGAAGTTAGATCTCAAAGTACTTAAATGAGAGTTTTACAAAAGAAACATACATTAACAATTGCAGGGCTCTTAGCTGTATATCCATGATCAAATTTTATGTAATCAGCAAGTGTCTCAGCCTGCATAATTAGAAGTTAAAATTGTTAAAATCAAAATGGACAACTAGTTTTAATCAAAGAAGTTAGAAATATTATCACGCAACTGAAGTGTCACATTACCTCCCACAACTCTCTGCGACCACACAGCAAATAGTCCATCTCTTGGGGAGTAAATATTTGCAACGACGCGATATCAAAAACCTGCTTGTCATATAACAGATATATTAACATTGCAATGAATCCAAAAAACAGCTCTTTACATGAATTAACAAGAAAATCCACGATGAACATCAACTTGTGGTCATTCGAGAAAACTCATGATTAGGAAAGCAACTTGACCTGATTAAATCCAGCCCTAAATGCCTCCATTTGCCGCATAATTCCAGTCTTGACGGTTGCATCAACCACCAAGGATATGTATTCCTCTAAGTTATTAATATCCACCTGATGTACTTAACAGTGTTAGAATAATCTATTGACAAGAAAAAAGGTGGGGGAATAGAAAGAGAGGTTGAAGATATACAGTTGCATCCCCTAGCTTCAGTGTGTAGTCTGGATAGCCTGGAATTGTAAAATCCAAACAGAGATCTTCTATCGGGGTCCCACGGAAGTGTAAATCACCAATCGCACCACAATTGTCACCACCCATTGATTCTAAATATTGCTTTCGACCAACAAGAAGATGCAATTCTTGCAAAATTTTCCCAAACTCAGTGTCAAAAGACAGAATATCATGCAAATCAAGCTCCTGCAATGGATTATAGAATGCATCTTTAGCCAGAAAAGTAAAAGATCACTGTGGTAATAAAGGAATTTTATAGGTGTGCAAACAAGCAATCCAAGCTTAATGAATATTTAAGATGTTCCAAAAGTTATGCCAACCAAAAAAAATTGAAAAATAGTTCCACAAGTTAAACAATGCAATCAGCTTACTTGATCAAGCACAAGTTTATAAAATGATGTTGATAGAGGCAGGTCTAAAAGCCGTCCATCTTGAAGAGCTTTAGCCATCACACGCCCAACCAGCCGGAAATATTCAATTACTTTAGAAAACTGGCTATCTTCAGAAGCATCAGCATTTGGTGGCCAAGGTCGAGGGAACAACCCTAGTGGTGCTAGGATTATATCTCCCTCAATGGTAGCAGAACCAGCTGTTTTTCCATTTTTCTCTTCATCTCCATCAATTTCCATTAATGACTTATCCCACAAAGAATCCGACCTCCACATTCCAAGTCCAACCTTCTGCAAATCATGACTTAAGAGTGTATAGAACTCCAAGGTTGGACCCAATCCAGTGCCAACTTCTCCAAAATATTCAACCTCAAGCACAGCTTTTTGGCTAGAATACATCTCCATTACTTTTGCAGCAGAATCCAAAATGCGGTTTCGGGAGACACGAACTTTCTGCCGCTGTAACCTACCAACTCTCACCTCTCTTTCATTAGTTGATCCATGGCCATCAGAACCCTGCTGCTGCTGAAGTCGATATAATGCACGAGACAAGCCAAAGGCAGTTGAATAAAAGTACTGCCTTCGAATCTCAAAAGGAAATAAAAAGGGGCATGCCTTTGTCAACTGGTAACACCAAGAAGGAAGGCTTCCGCTGCAGAGAGCAAGGGCATCCTGTATTTGCCGAGCCAGTTTAGGTGTGAGCTTACCATTAACGAATTCCTCATAAGGCACTCTAGAACTGGTTGTACTCAACTCATCCAGATTTAAAATCTTTCCTTCAGCAAAATTGTCAGAAACAATCTGAGCTCTTAAACGAGGTGCAAGCTGATTCAAACCCTCTAACACACGCAAAAGTGCCAATATAATATAAGTAGGATTAGATCTTTCTAGATCACAAGGAAGTTCCCCTCGCAAAATGCTATCTAAAAGTGACATTCTATGAGTTTGGGGATCAGAGCTGGAGCTGGAAGAACCAGATTTAGCAGTTTTAGATGCTGTAGCAGAACCTGATCCCCCTACTGATGTTCGGTCAGCTTGGCCATCGGCCCTCTGATATGTTATTGTGTAGATATCACTCCAGAACCTGCTTCCATCACTAGATATAAAATCACTACTAGCATATCTCTCATCATCGTCCTCATCTAACACAAGCTGTCTTTGAATGGCCTGATAGATGGTCAACTGCCTGTTGAGCTGTTTCCCACCAGCAGTAAATATCAACTTTGGAGGCTCATTAGAACTGCCAAATGGAGGTCGTCCTTGTCGATCTCTACCTCCCCTAACACCTCTACCATTGGCAGATCCAAGCCCAGCCATGGCAGCAGCAGCAAACGACATTGCACCCCTTGAGCCATAACCACTCCTAAAATCAGCAGACTCAGAACCCCTAATAGCAGCAGCTCTGCTGCTAGATCCTGAAGCTGCATTAGTTTGGCTATCACTTGCAGCTGGGGCAGGCGTGCCATCTTCAGCTGAATCACCCAATTTAACATCATGTACTTTGTCTGGTATGCAAACAGGAAGAGAAACATCTCTAAGCACCTGTAAAAGAACAGTGGATCCATCATGCAATAGTGATATTAAATGACGTTTACGAACAAAAAGGGCCTTTGCATTTATACAGGCATAAGATCACTTACACCTTCATGATCATCATCTTCATCATCAGAAATGTCATCATCCTCAATCACCAAAGCATCATCAATCTCCACAGGAGACATATCCAATTCTTCATCCTACAAAAAAAAAAAAAGGATAAAATGGTCATCTTCAAACAGGAGATAGAAATAACAGGCACAATTTCATTCAAACAACAGAGAAGGAAAGCACAAGCCAAAAATAGGGAGCCTAATATCGAATAGGACCACCTTTGTTACAAATGATCATCAATTTAAACTAAACTCAGCATGTGAGCTTATAAAATACTGTGGGAAAATATTTATTTACAGCTGGTTGTAATCTTGTAATCTGTGTATTTATATTGTATCTCCAGAATTAAATATTTGTATCCCTAGAATTAAGGACAAAAAATTAGGATAGACAATCCCTCAATTATAGGATCAGTTTTTAGGAAGATTTAGTTTCCTAGTTTAACCCCTATTTAGTTGTATATAAACCTAAGGTTCTTGTATAATTCTTAATGAGCAGTTTTTTAATATACATTCTGTTTCACTTTTAGTTTTTCCATATGGTATCAGAGCTTTAGGCTCTTCTTGGGAAGCAAAATTTTCAGCCTTCATTGCTGACTTCTATTTTAGGCCTTCATTGCCGTACTCTGTTAAGGCCATCATAGCCATTCTATTTTTCCCTTCTTTAGCCTTCATTGCTAAGAATCATTTCTAGTTATATCTTAAGATTTGTTTCAGTTCAAAGAAAGATATCACTACCACCCAATTTGAGGAAGTGTCAATTCGGAAAATCACCGGAGTACTACAAATGTCTCGGAAACAAGGAGAGTTCGATAGGGAAGAGATTGAAAAGCTGAGAAACCTACTGAAAACCCTTGAAAAGCCTACTGTGGTATGTTCCTTGGGTAACATCTCTAGTTCAGGTAAAGCTTCTGGTTCTCATGGATTAAATGTTTCAATTAAATCTATTACGAGTTCTTGGGTAATTAACTCAGGAGCCATTGACCATATGACACATTCCTCACAGAAGTTTAGTACATATACCCTGTGTCCTAGTAATAAGAAAATTGTTGTTGTAGATGGTTCACTTACTACAGTGGCAGGATTAGGAGATGTTCAAGTTAATCCCTCGTTTGTTCTCAAAAATGTTCTTCATGTTCCTGGATTGTCTACTAATTTGATATCTATACAAAAACTTACCAGAGATATGAGTTGCAAAGTGACTTTTTATCCCTCTTATTGTGAATTTCAGGACCAGAGTTCGGGGAAGAGGATTGGACTTGCTAAGGAGAAAGATGGACTATACTATCTTGAGACATCAAATAACACAAGTAATATCAAGAATAGTTTACCTTTGTCATTTCTTTTTGAAAAATCTTCCAATAAAGACAAAATCTGACTTTATCATTTTCGTCTTGGACATCATTCTTTTGGAACTTTGAGAAACATGTTTTCTTCTTTGTTCAAAGGATTAAATGTCAAAGATTTTCATTGTGATGTTTGTGAACTTGCAAAGCATAGACGTGTGTCTTTTTCAATTAGTAACAAAAGAAGTTCTACTCCCTTTTACTTGATTCATAGTGACATTTGGGGTCCCTTTACAATTCTTAACATTTCTAGTGTAAGATGGTTTGTTTCATTCATAGATGATTGTACCACGGTCTCTTGGGTTTTTTTACTTAAATCCAAATCAGATGTGAATAGTATGTTTTTAAGCTTTCAAAACATGATCCAGAATCAATTTGGAGTGAGAATCAAGAGATTAGTCTAATAATGCAAGAGACTATTTCAACCAGAGTCTATTCACCTATTTCCAAAAGGAGGGGATTATCTATGAGTCATCTTGTGTTAATACTCCACAACAGAATGGAGTGGCAGAGAGGAAAAACAACCATTTACTAGCCACAACCCGAGCCTTCCTTTTTCAAGCAAATGTACCCAAATCTTACTAGGGGGAAGCTGTTCTCACTGCCATACACATTATAAATAGGTTACCTTCAAGGGTTTTGGGATTTAAAACTCTTATGGAACTACTGTCACAATTCTATCCCAACCTTAATACCACAAACAACCTCATACCTAGGATATTTGGTTGTACATCATTTGTTCATGCTCACAGTCATAACAGGAAAAAGTTAGATCCAAGAGCAATTAAGTGTATTTTTGTGGGGTATTCATCAACTCAGAAAGGATATAAGTGCTATCATCCTCCTACCAAAAAATTATGTCTACAGATGTCACTTTTGAAGAAAATAAACCATTTTTTACTCAACCTTATCTTCAGGGGGAGACTTTATTCATGGAAGATAAGGATAAAGATTTCTTTTTGCTTGATTTGTCCCCTTCTTCAACATTTTCACCGATTTATTCTTCTGAGTCCAAACCTGTTTCTACTGAGCCTAAGTCAAACACTGAATTTGAGTTTAAACCCATTCCAAATACAGAAGATGTGACAAAGGATAATATTGTTCTTGATTCTATGAAGGAATTACAGGTGTACTCAAGAAGGAAAGTTCCAGATCCTGAACCAGTGCCAGTCCAAGAACCTGATCCTAACTCTGGAAATGAGGTAACTACAGTTTTTGACTCTGTTTCTCAAAATGAGCATGAATCTCCTAAAACTATAACTAGTGATTATGATCTGCCTATTGCCATTAGGAAAGGAACCAGAGAATGTACTAAACATCCACTATAACCAATCTCTAATTTTGTATCATTTGAAAAATTCTCACCATCCCACAAAAATTTTCTTGTGAGCCTAAACACTATTTCTATTCCAACTACATTATTCGAGGCATTATCCAGTGAGAAATGGAGGCAAGCCATGAAAATAGAAATAGAGGCTTTAGAGAAAAATAAGACATGGGAACTGATAGAGTTGCCTAAAGAAAAAAATCCAGAGAGGTGTAAATGGGTTTTCACTGTAAAATACAAGGCGGATGGTACTGTTGAAAGGTATAAAGCCAGGTTAGTGGCTAAGGGCTACACTCAAACCTATGGAGTGGATTATCAGGAAACCTTTGCTCCAGTTGCCAATATGAATACAGTTAGGATTTTGTTATCATTGGCTGCAAATTACAATTGGCAGCTTCAACAATTTGATGTCAAGAATGCTTTTCTACATGGTGATTTGAAAGAAGAAATATATATGAAGGTTCCATCAGGATTTGGAGGTCATCTAGAAGCAAACAAAGTATACAAGCTGAAAAAGGCTTTATATGGCATGGCCTTAAACAGTCTCCTAGGGCTTGGTTCGGGAGATTTGCCAAAGTGACGCTAGCAATGGGATACAAACAGAGTCAAGGAGATCACACATTGTTTATCAAGCACTCTGATTCAAGAAGAGTCTCAGTTCTATTAGTGTATGTTGATGATATAATTGTAACTGGAGATACTGAAAAAGAGAGAGAATCTCTAAAACAATGTTTGGCTAGAGAATTTGAGATAAAAGAGCTAGGGAGATTGAAGTACTTCCTAGGAATTGAAGTAACTCACTCACGGCATGGTATTTTCATCTCACAACAAAAATATGTGATGGATCTTCTGAAGGAAACTGAGAAGCTCGCATGTAAACCTGCAAATACCCCTATAGATCCTAATCATAAAATTGGAGAAGCTAATGCTGCTGTAGATAAAGAGATGTACCAAAGATTAGTTGGAAGACTCATTTATCTCTCACATACTAGACCTGATATAGCATATGCTGTGAGTGTGGTAAGTCAATTTATGCATAATCCTAAAGAAGTGCACCTACAGGCTGTCTACCGTATATTGCACTATTTGAAGGCCAATCCTGGGAGAGGTATCTTATTCAAAAGAAATTCGGAGCTAGTTCTAGAAACATATACAGATGTTGATTATGCAGGTTCAGTAATTAATAGAAGATCCACCTCAGGCTACTGCACTTTCTTAGGTGGTAATCTTGTGACTTGGAGGAGTGAAAAACAGAATGTGATGGCAAAATCAAGTGCTGAAGCAGAGTTCAGTGCAATGGCTCAAGGAATTTGTGAACTACTATGGTTAAAGATTATCCTAGAAGACTTGAAGATCAAGTGGGATGGACCGATGAGACTCCACTGTGATAACAAGTCTGCAATAAGCATTGCACACAATCCTGTGCAACATGACATAACAAAACACATTGAAGTAGAGCGGCATTTCATAAAAGAGAAACTAGGCAGTAGGTTGATTTGTACATCTTATGTATCAACCAAGGGTCAACTTGCAGATATGTTGACTAAAGGTCTCAGCAGTGCAACATTTCAAGAAATTATTTCCAAGTTGGGAATGGAAAACACCTATTCACCAGCTTGAGGGAGAGTGTGGGAAAACATTTATTTACAGCTGGTTGTAATCTTGTAATCTGTGTATTTATATTTGTATCTCTAGAATTAAGTATTTGTATCCCTAGAATTAAGGACAAAAAATTAGGATAGACAATCCCTCCATTATAGGATCAGGTTTTAGGAAGATTTAGTTTCCTAGTTTAACCCCTAAGACTCTTGTATAATTCTTAATGAGCAGTTTTTCAATATACATTCTGTTTTACTCTTAGTTTTTCCACAAATACAAACAACTAAGCCAAATGATAATTCACATCTTAAGATAAAAAAGCATACCTCAGAACTAGAGTCACCATTAACAGGTTTCATTGGAGCATCTTTATCCAGAGCAGCTCTTCTACGAGCAGCATTTCTTGTTAGAGGTCCTCTTGGCTCCTCTTGAGCAGACTTCAAAACAGCCTTACCTTTGCCCTTTGACGAACTTGTGCTTTTCTCCTGTGATGGTTCCTTTCTGGCTCTATCTCCTATAATAACAGATGATCTGGACCTTGAAGAAAGACGACAAGCGGTCAAAGCAGGAGTTGAGGTAGATGGAGAAGAAGCACCAGCCCCACAAGGTGTGTTCCTAGATTCCGAATTTCCTACAGATACAGAGGGTTTAAGAGCGGTGTCACTGCGCTGAACTCGCGGCCAAAGAAATTCTTCAACAGCTGCTAGACTTGCTAATGGATCAATCAACACAACGTTTGAAGAATAATCACGAAGAGACTTATCTCTTTGGGCTCGACAGAGGCGCAACTTAAAAGGCTGAGATAATGCACTTAGTCCAGAAGAATAACGTGCACTCACACCAGATGACCTAGATGAGTGACTAAGAACTACAGGGAAACGCTCGAGTGATGATAAAGCATTTTGAAGCTTCTGAACCAAGACAGTCATAGGAGCAGTACTTCCATCATCCACACCTGAAGGAAGTGCAACACTGATAAATGATTTGAATCTTTTAAGGGCTTTGTGATGAAGCTTAGGCAGGTTTACATCTAAAATTCTCTCCTTGGAGAAGTACCCGCAAGAAAAATAGTTTAACAAGGCTGCAACAACACCACTACCAATAAACTCAAAAGTGGATACACCATCCCCCTTACTTAGTTCTGCTAGCATCTCAGAAATCACCCCAATCAAATACTCTTCCTTGCTAGCAGAAAAATTAGCCAATCGAGACCCTGAAGCTTTAGATTTTCCTTTTGCCTTAGTCTTTTGTTCATCAACACCGGCATTCAATTTCAAACAAAGATTTTTTAAGTGTAAAAGATCATCCGTTACTCCAACTTCAACAGTCCCGGGACCAGAGGGGAAATACTTATCTTTAAATGCTTTAGCACATGCACTTACTGCAGCACGAAGATTGGAATTGGCTGTAGGAATTTCAACTGAACTTGGAAGTGGGCCAATATTCACAGGTGCTGGATTCTTGGACTCCTCCACTGAACTTCCTTCAGGATTTGAGTTATTACTGCGTCGTCTTAAACGCCTGGCACGCAATGATGTTCCAGATACAGAGTCATTATCCTTCTCAACGGAAGATGCTTGAGCAGGAGTGGTATTTTGATTACCAATTAATACAAGCTGGTCCACAGCATGAACCACACCCTCTCTGACAAACATTTTGGAGAAGGTTTCAGGAAGCTTTTCCATGAGGATTTCAGCAATTTGGAGGGAAGGAACCAAGGCATGTGGATCTTTCCATGCTAAAACACCAGCCAAGAAGCTACAAGATCAAACAATATAATAAGTTTACTATAACCGACCATTGCATGAATATGTACAGAGCTCTGTTTTACCTAAGATGGATACCTTGATATGTTGGTCGCGCTCAATAGATTCTGGATCATGTCTGCACTACTGAAGTACATCAGTTTTCCGATAACTGAGAGACATTTGTGACGAACAGGGCTATTGACGCTGGAACCATAGATCTGCTTGACAAAAAGATAGGAGACCATAAGTACCAACAAATCAAGAGAAAAACAAACATCTACCTTCTGCAAAGGAAACTTACCTGTATGAGAACAGGAAGGAGATCCTTTCCAAACTGCTGAAGAAGTTCTGGTTGATCATTCAATAATTTCTCTCGGGCTGAAAACTCAGGAGCACTTCCATTGGTTTCTTCTAGCTTTCCAGAGCTGCTAGCAGAAGACTTCCTCACAAGAGATCCTTTCACAAATAAATTAAAGCTGGGGAGGGAGATGGTTCCTTGTGGCAATGGAGGAAGAAGCTCATTTGCCAGATTGACAATCTCAAAAATCTACACAACAAGATAAGAATTACAAGATCACCAACAGATATGGTTAATATGCATAAGCCATTACTATGGCCATTATAAATAAATAAATTGCAAGAAAAAAACAGATACATTTAAAACAAGTTACTTTTAACTACAAGGAAAAAGCACTGAAACACAAGTTTTACATAAACTTATTCTAAAACTCAAAGTTGATACTGAGTTTTAAAGGTTAGACCGTTTTCCTCAGCACTGTTTTTTTTTTTTTTTTTTTGGGTGGGGGGGGGGGGAGGGGGAATTGAGTTGTAAGGACTGAACCCTGGTCACAAGAACTAATAGTCCAACACTGCTTATATTTACATATTATAGCAAACATCATACATATCACATTACACAGGTACATATAAACAACAGGCAATGACAACTATTATCTCTTCTGCTTGGATTAAAAGTCTTACCTGCTCTGCTGGTCTGCTTAATGCTGGAGGAACAGATGAGTTAGCAGCAACGCCAGAACCTGACAGTATATCTTTAAGTATGCCACTGATCCCAAGGAGAAGTAAAGTTTTCGCTCCCAGAGGAGACCCACTTGCACATGTTGAAAGCAGTCGAATTAAGCCCTGAATTCAAAAAACCAAATGTCATGATGTTGCACATAAAATGCATTGGCATAAAGATAAACAAAGGAGCAACATCTATTCACCGTATATGTTGGTGTGCTCAAAGATGCCTGTCCACCTCCAGAATTACTTGTGGAAATGAGAGATGCAGCTTGAGTAACCAATCCATGATTACATAGCTCATCTAATTTATCCGGGGAAGATGCAAAGGCCTCAGCAATGCGAGTCAAACAAACAGAAGCATGCTCTAACACCTACAAACATAACAAAATATACAAGATGAAGAAGAAACACAATTTACAACAAAATAATTATCATTAATACAATGTTCAAGATACCTTTGAATCATGATATTGCAAAAGATTTGTTAATAGTGGTACAGCTTCCATGACATAATCAGCAGCATCTGAAGGGAGTTTCTTGCACATATTAGCAGCAGTAGATAGTGCCACTCGCTGGAACATGGGATTAAATAGAAGAAACAAAATAATAAGAATCTAAATAGCAAGAAATTCCTTCACTCCATAAAACGTTAATACTCAAAAAAATTCACAAATTTACCTGAACCCCAGTGGAGAAGAAATCCAGGTATGACAGCACTGCCATGAGAGCACCAGCTCGCAGGCAGGCAGTTGGGTGTTCCTGAGATATCTTCTTCAAAGCTTGCAAAGACTGTTGACAGCATTTCAACCAGAAAGATAAGTAACACAAACTAAAGCAAATCTACAATTTTGAAATTTCTAACTCAAGTCTACAGTTATGGAAAATGTAGTATAACGTTTGATATAAGCAAATTTCACAACAGTGAATTACCAAGGGTTAGTTAGAAACAAACCAAATTTACTTAACACAGGCTGTCAAGTAAATGCCTAGTCAACTATCTCAAATTGATCTGCATTCAAGCCAATTGAACTCAATTTCTAGTAAATTCAGTTAGTTGCACTCTAGTTTACAAATGAAATGCAAGATGCCACTGAATCAACTCAAGGAATTTCAAGTTTAATCACATGTTAAATTACTATAAATTTCTAATAATCAATAATTTCAAATACAACCAAAATAAAAACCAACCTGTTCAGCCAAGTCCATATACTCAATAGTGAGCAACCTAGCACAAAAAACCGAAACTGCACCATAGTGCACCACAGCAGCACACGTAGAAGGCAACACATCACACAAATGAGTAAGAGCCCTTGCCGCAAGAAGCATAATATCAGGATTACTCTCATGATTAAGCAATCCAACTAGCACGGGAACAAACGAATCCACAGAAAAGGTGCTCAAGGACTCCTCAGTCCCAATTGAAAGCATGTCGCAGAGCTGCGTCAACGCCTCCACTTGCCTCCCTTCCTCACCATCAGAACGCAATCCAGACAGAATCTTCTTCAACCTCCCGCTTTGATGAGATGAAGACCCAGAACCCATAGCCGATGAGGGCAGCAAATCATCAAGCCCGGCACCAAGTTTCCTCAACAAGCCTTGTAACGCGCTGCTTGCTGACGTCAGATTCTGCTGCAAAATCCCTACACCGCCTTCGCTATCATTATCATCCTCATCACCTCCAGAGGCATCCATATTTAACCCAAAACTTCTCTCTGGATGATTAGAATTATTGTTTTTGTTATCTCTATTATCCCTACCTCTATCGCGAATCCTTAGGTCATGTTCCTTTTCTTTGCCTTTATCGGAGGTGAGATTCGGACTGTCACTTGTTGTGGTTTGGTTAGATTTGCTGGAACGACGATCGCGGCGGGAACCGGAAGAAAATTCGGTTGTGGTGGGGTCCATTACGGCAGCGGCAGCACTGGAAGTGCGAAAGCGAGTCGTTGCGGTGGTGGAGGAGGTGGCTGAGGAGAAAGAAAGACGAGCGCGTTTGTGAGAACGAGTGGTGGGACCGGAGGGAGAAGATGAAGATGAAGGGCCAGCTGAGGAGGCCTCCGCCCGCTTCCGGCTCCGAGTTTCCATACAAAGGGGACCACCGCCCGTGATTACCGGATTGTCGCCACTACAAGATCGACGACTCCTGATCCGATTATTCTTTGCATCTCAACAACAACTGATCGACACCCTAGAAAATAGAAACAGAAATTCACTCTTCGAACAAAATCGAAACCCCAAAATTAACAATCAGGGAAACAAGGCCATGGTCTTGGTTCTAACGAAATTGCAATTCGATGATTAATTGGGAGAAAATTGGTGAGGGATAAGGGTAGAGGCTAACACCGAAACCTGAAACCCTAAAGTGAAGAAGGAATAAACAAAAGGAGGCTTTGTTATTTTTTATTTTATATACATTAGTAAAGGTTTTCAGAAAAAATTCTCTTTTTCTTTTTGTTGGTCTTTATATAGAAATAAAGAAATATTTGGATAAAATATATATTTTTTAGGAAAAAAGAAAAAGAGAATCTTTCACAGTAAGCTTTTCCATGGCGGTGAATTCTTCTCCACTTGGACCGTCTCCATCGGTGCCACCGCATGGGCATTAATTTTATATATAAAAAATCGTATATTTATATCATATAAAATATTATATTTATATTTATATTATTTTTTACATAAAATTTATATATTTTTTATTATATTATGTTTTAAATTATAAAATTACTACAGACTCCCAAGTAATTTCACTTCCTTATTTCATTATTTTTATATAATAAAAGAGGATGTTTGGATTTTTATATAGATACAATATAAATTAAATTTCAATTAAATTAAATATGCTTTTTTAGTTAATAATTTAAAAGAAAAAATTCAGTACCCAACATGCCAAGCAATCTGCCAGATTAAAAATATCATTTTCGGTGGGACCAAACAAGGAAAATAATAAAAGTGTAAATAATTAAATAAAATTATTTTATATTTTTCACAACATTCTAATTTAGATGCTATTTGATTTTTGAATAAATTCATCATTGAAAATTAAGTATTAAATTTTTAAATACTAAATTTATGATATAAAATTTATTTATATGCTATTGAAAATTAAATGTTAAGTAAATTTTTTATTGATCTTTTATAAAAAAAAATGAGATGTGATTTTATAATTATTTTCATTTGATAAAAGTTAAAAAAGAAAAAAATAGATTGACTTAATACATTAATATCAATGCATTGAAATGCTTTAATTAAATGATTTTAAAAATAGTATATCAAATGTATTGAAAGTATAAAATTATTAAAAATTTTAACTTTTAATGATTTAAAAATTTTCAATAATGTATCAAACACACCATAAATCATTTAAAAATTAAATGTCTATTTAGATGAAGAGTAAAATTAGCTTCGACAAAAATAAAAATAATGATAAAGATAAAATTAATTATTATAACAATAAAATTAAAATTAATTATAAAAATATATATTTAAATGCAAACACAATAATGATTGTGAGATGAATTATAAGAGAAAGAGAAATAATCATTAAGAATATTATATTAAAAATAATTTTAATAAAAATTTTAAATTATTTAATATTTATAAATTTTATTATTTATTTAACTTTTGTAAAATTTAATAAATATGAATTTATTTGTTTTTTATATAATAATAAAATTTATTATGTAATAGTAATATTATATTAAATAAAATAATAAGAAAATTATTTTACAATTTCTAAATACTAAAATCAAAATAAAGAAATGAAAAAAACAGCGTTCTCAACTCAGTTTTTCACGCCAAACAAAAAGGAGCTGAGATTTTTTTTTTTTTCAGGTTTTGATGTAAATTGCTTTGGATCCAAGGGTAAAAGAGAAAAAAATTCATACCATATGAGCCAAAAAAAAAATTAAGCCAATGTTTCATTGGCTAAATTTATTTAATTAATCATCATGACATAAGACATTAAAAATCAAACAATTTAATGCTAAAAATTTGTGCCACCAACGATCCTATTGTTACCCGTCACAAAGACAGTCCATAATGAAATAATGCATTTTTTAAACATTTTTTTTTAATTGTTAGGAATTATTACATGGTTTTCATTGTTCTTTTGCTTTACCGACATGCTGAAGTTGTAAGTATCCATAAGACAAAATAATGCTAATTCATGGTATCATTAAGCCAATCGGCTTGTTTAGCAATTAAGATTGAGGTTTACTCAAATGATAATTATTACTGTTATTGGATTGTGATTTTATAAGGGTTACATTTGACTTATGAAAGAATTTCTTTTAAAGGATAAAATAATGAGAGTAAAATTCAAATAGATATAACAAATTTAAATACAATACGATAATATAATATAAAAATAACATGTAATAAATTATTTATATATTTTTTATAATCGTATTTTATGTCTTAATTATATCGATACGTGACATTACAGTTTTATATTTCGTGTTTTACGCATGTTATATATTTATTACATAATAAATTAATAAATTAATTATATTTTAATGATATTATCATGTCAATACGAATAAATGACATGTTGGTAATATGAATATAATCATATTTTAATATTTTTATTTTATTATCATTTTGATTTAATATTGAATTGTTAATTATATATTTTAGTATTAATCATGTTATTATATATAATTATATGAATTGTGTCGTATCGTGTTATTCATTTTTAAAACGAATTAAAACGTATTAATTATATTATGTCGTGTGTAATATATATAATACACGTATTATATTTATGTTTTGATTATTTGTATCTTTTAAATATTCGTATCAAAATTATTTTATTATATTTAAAATAATATATAATATAAAATATAACATAATAATACAAATTGTTAGATCAACTTCTAAACCTCAAAATGAATAATATTTTATAATAAACATGATCCAACAATTTTTACAGTATCTTATAATAAACATGATCCAACGAGTTTTACATCAATAATGTTAATTTATTGCATCAGTAATAATTTATCTGTAAAAAAAAAGTGTAATAATAATAATAATAATAATAAATGTTTGATCCAAAAGGAAAGAATTACGGTTTACATTTTCCTTTGCAAAGGAAAATTAGGCCAGCAAATTGGTTTTGTTATTTGTCATTTTCGATTTTCTTTTTCCGCAAATGATTGTACTATCGAGTGGGTCGAACAAGCAACAGCCCGTTCGTTGATGTTATCGTGGACTCGTCGTCTAATGGCGGTTTAAAGTAAGGCCCATGTTGCAAGCATGGTCGATTTTAAAGCAAGTTCGCCTTACCGGTTGGGCTTCTTTGTATAAAGTCCAAACCTTATCCAAATCCTGTTTCAATGGCTCATTTTCGTTTTCGAAATCAAAGTAACCATAAAAAACAAAACTTCTCTCCTCACTTGCTGTTCTATTCCACAGTTTGAACTGGTCTTCATCATTTCCTCACTTTTCACAGGAAAGGCTAACAAAATCAGTTGATAGTTGATATCTGAGAGAGATTTCGATGGTGTTTCCAGTAGTCGACGCCGAGTACCTTAAGCAGATCGACAAAGCTTGTCGTGGCCTTCGCGCTTTCATCGCCTCATGTTTCGCTTAGCGTATTTCTTCTTCTTCTTATTCTTCTGAATTTAGTTCTAATAATTTAGAAAGAACAAATTATCCGGAAGAAAAATAGAAGCCAAGGAATTTTTTTTAGTATTATTTATTAGTTTTAATGACGAATTTTCCTTGTGAATTGCTTGATTTTCCATTTTCCGCTTTCTTTTCTTGAAGGTGGCACGACGCAGGGACGTACGACGTCAGCACCAAGACCGGTGGACCCAATGGCTCCATAAGGAATGAAGAAGAGTACTCTCATGGCTCCAATAACGGCTAGAAAATCGCTATTGATTTTTGCTATGGCTATGGCTTCCAGTTCATTCATGTTTTGATAGAGAGATTTCATTATCTGGAATGCTGAAATAGTTGTTAATATTTCACTCACTAGAAAGGGTTTTTTCCTTGTTTTAAAGAATCTTATAAGGTGGAAGCAGGAGTGGCAAGTATGTCGGTGAGAGGTGTTGACATAGGTTTGAACAACGGAATCATTTGCTTCAAAATCTCACGTACAAGCATGACATGATTGTTAGACAGGGGCTATAGCAGATTACACAAATTGCTCAGTAAAAGTTTAGCTCAGTGTAATAGATTTGTGTGCTTATTTTGCAAAAATGGAAGATGTTATAGGCTCAAAGTGATTCGGGTGATCTTATTTTGATCTCACTCTATAAGGTTGAACTTGTGTGGCTCTGTTCGGTTTGAGCCATTGAAGTTTGGGCGATACATTGTTTCTTGCCTTGGTCGACAAAGCACCATATCTTTTATGGTGAATTTCTATCGTCTGGTAGTCAGTTGTCTACTTCATTAGGAGTTGGTGGTAGAAATATGTCAATCTTCGCAACCCATTGTTGCAAATTTTATTGTACGTGAATTGCTATCAAGTGTTTTGAATTTATATTAATACATTTTTTGTGTGTTTTCGTGCATGTAAAATGTCTTCATATGTATTGTATGTTAGTTTATGTTAGAATATACATCTCAAAGGTTTTTATTTATTTATTTTGACTAAAGAGTATTTTCTTTGGCATATTTCAGAGGAAGTGAAGGTTAAACATCCCAAGATCACGTATGCAGACCTATACCAGGTGACTATGCAGTTGAAAGCGTTGGCATGCATTTTATTTGACATTTAATTGCATCACTGGAGAACCAAAAAGTATAAAGTGTATTTTGTTTGATTTTAGAGAAAGCATTCGGAGATGAGGAAATTAAAAGACAGACCTATAGCTTTAAGAAATCACAATGATGTTGCTCGAGAAAGTTTTTAAACAAAACTTTTCTAAATCTTTTGCCTTTTAAAGGCTACATTATGTGCTTCATATGACTGGACTTATATGAAAAAGGGCTCTTTTTCTGTCTATGAACACATTGGGGAAATAAAGAAACATTTACATGCTGATTAGATACTGAATCTAAAATCCTCGTTGGAGTTTGAGGCAAGGGTTTTTGGTTTAGATTCCTCATAGGAAGTTATATTGTTTATTTATGGAATAAAGGGTAAATTTACCATTATACTTATGTGGGTGGTTGAAATTTACCATCAATCTTTCAATTGGTGCAATCTTACCATATTACTTTTAATTTGAAGAAAATTTATCATCGTACTTCAAAATTTGGAACAATTAAAACCCAAATCGCATAAGATATTACTTGAGAGGTGTCGTAGATTTTGAGAATGTTTGTTGCACTTACCGAAGTAACTCTCTGTTTCTTAAGAGCACGTCTTCTTCATATGCCACACCATACAACGACTGACTTAGATTAAAACCAAAGTTGTTGACTTTGTGTTGTATGATGAATGTCCCATAATTGTATCGATTTCATTTTCAGCTTGCTGGAGCTGTTGCTGTTGAAGTCACTGGAGATCCCACAATTGACTTTGTACTAGGAAGAAAGGTCTCTTGTAGTGGCTTATTCTTGCAAATGTAGCTTGTTTTCCGTTAATTCATTAGATTAACCATGTTCTGTTTAATAGGATTCGAACATTTGTCCCAAGGAAGGCCCACTTCCAAATGCTAAAAAAGGTAACTGAAATTTCTGAAGTCATTTATGAAACCAAAATTTGACTTTCTGATTTCCACGCACTGGGAACTGTAAATTCTGGGTAATTGGGCACTTTGAATATTCGTAAATTTTGATACTTAAACGATTTATCTAGTTATCCAGTCATATCTTTTGCTACTTTTAGCATTCTTTTCTTATGTGTTTCTTCAAAATAAACGGAAGAGATTGAACTGAAGGCACTTGTCTAATGTCTAATATGTGTGACCTCGGTGCTTCTTACGTTCTCTATTTCCTGCAGTTCTAATGAATTAAATATGAACTTTGCAGAATACATTATAACTTTAGTGTCGTCATTACTCTCTCTGATAGAAAAAGTCATGTATTCTAATAATTTTTTGTTGTCGGATGATGGGAGTTAAAATTCCCTTGAAGAATGCTTAATGTTGAATGGAGCATAGGTTACTCTTAACAGATAAAACGATCATCCTTGTGCCACCTTCTATTTCTCTATTGCAGCTTGGGTCTTGCTCTGAAAATTATGGTATATTGGCAAATAAATGTCTGGATCGGGATTGTTGACTAAACTCTAGAGGTTGATCGCTATCTTTTGGAGTGTTTAGACTCCACTAAGCAAAACAAGCCCACAAGTTTGTCGTGCTGGTTTTTCTGTCAAGTTTGTCTGTCTAGAGCCAGGAATGGGAGTATGGGACCATAGTTACTGAAGTCCTCATAACAGCAACAAACTGTTCCCTAGGAGCCTCTTCTGTACCGGTCAGATGACACCATTTAGATCAGTTAACAGTAGTTACGTCTGAGCTGTATACTATATAGGGAGAGATTGACTTGGTACTTGGAAACCGAAATAGAATTAATTAATCATTAGTTCAACAAACAGTTTTGAATATCTTCTTCCACATGTCACTTTACATTCAAATGCAGGTATAATATTATGTTTCTATGTTGTGAAGTTGTGTGCTAAATTTTGCTTTTTTTTTTTTTTTGTAAAAATCCTGGTGATAGGTGCACCTCATCTGAGGGACATCTTCTATCAAATGGGTCTATCTGACAATGATATTGTGGCATTATCTGGGGGTCACACTCTGGTACATTTTCTTACATGTTCTTGTCTATGCCTGGTTTTGTTGGTTGTAGATTCAACATCAGACTTTTTGGGTCGGCTTTGGTGTTATAGGGAAGGGCTCATCCAGAGAGATCTGGTTTTGATGGCCCTTGGACCAATGAACCACTGAAGTTCAATAACTCTTATTTATCGTAAGATTAAGATCTGTGATTGGCAAGCTATTATGTTTCCTTCTTACTTAGAATTCACACGAAGCCATTTGCTATTATTGTGCCAGGGAGCTGCTCAAAGGGGAATCAGAAGGGCTATTAAAGCTTCCAACAGACAAGGCTTTGTTGGATGACCCTGAGTTCAGCCAGTATGTATGTAGAGCAATATGCAAAGGTAATACTACAACTGAGTGGTTGCCATTTGTATTACCTGTACAAATTTTATGAGGCCACTTTGAGACATTTATGGAATGCTTGTGTGCAGATTTATCTTGTCACTCTGCAATGTTGCTGAATTTATAATGTAATTGCCTGTGTATTTAATACGATTTTATGTCTGGTTTTTCGTAGACCTTGTTCTTGGTAGATCATGATGTTACTTTTACTGTTTCTGTTTGGGCCACTTGTGCACTGGTGGAAGTGTCAGAATCTTACCTAGAGCCTACCTGAAAACCTACTTGAAATAACTAGATTGAGGTTGAACCAATATTTGAGCAGGTAATTATTTGTCCTCATCTAACTGAATTCAACCTTGCTTCAAGGAGGGTTGTGCTATTTTAAAGACCTTTTACTTACCAACCTGAACCCGCCCGTGCTTCTTTTAAATTAGTAATTTGTTGGGTCTATATGATGTTTCTGTGTGATCCTAGTCTAATGTTAGCCAAACTTGGTCAAACACTGGCTAATGCCTTGCAGGAATCATCTCTTTAGGTGATATAGACCAATCTTGGACTGAGACATTATGCAAATAAATATCTATTCTGCTATGATTCCTGGACTAGCAAATACCTAAGTCTAAGGTTGGTACATGGTTAAATTGATTGAAGCTGTCGGTTGGCATCCTCCAATGCTATGTTCTGATCTTCTCTTTAATTAATCTTTCATCGCCATTCTATTTCTTTTGAACTTCATCTTTTCATATGATTTTTCTTAGGGTTTGGCCAATCTTTTATCTGACATGTATGATATTCCCTCTCATTTCTGGCATTTGGAAGGATGAGGCTGCATTCTTCAGAGATTATGCAGAATCACATAAGAAACTTTCAGAACTAGGGTTTACTCCCAGCTTCTCTCTCTCCAAGGTAATTGTAAATGACAGCACCATATTGGCACAGGGTGCTGTTGGGGTTGCAGTTGCCGCTGCTGTGGTGATATTAAGCTACTTTTATGAGGTCCGCAAACGAATGAAATGAAGCTAGATTACTATGTCTTTTTACAATAAAACATGCATTATTCCCTTATCAATTAGCAGAACTTGGACCGATCATCTGGCTACCCATGCAATTGTTTTCTGACCATGACATCCCCTCCTACAGGCCGTGTTCATTGCCAATCTAGACATATTGGTAATATTAGTAAATGATGAAAATACATTCTCCCATTTTGAACAGTATTAAACAAGCGTAGGGACAATGCCCCAGAACCACTTCAATGCATGACATTTCCGTTACAAAGTACAATTAAGTTGGAGGTTGCTCTGTTTTCATGTTTTTTTGTTAATGGCGTTGGTTTTCAACTCTAATTGAGCCACCTCGTTGAAGCAGGGAGGGACCAATCACTAAAACAAGATCTCAACCAGATATGCGCTCTGCCCCAGGGATACTGGTCATACTGCAAGTCTGCAACCAAAAGGCATGAAACTAAAGAAATTTTTGACAAAGGTGTGGATTTGTATGTCTCGAGACTGAAACTGACCTTCCGCAAAGTTTAAGAGAGTCTCACAAGGTGGAGGGGGAGGGGCAGCCAAAGAGAGAAAGAGGTAGGTAGGTAATGTAAGGGTCTTAACTCTTCAGCCTGTTTAGGACAGCTATGCTTACTCCTCAAGTCTTGCTGAATACCTAAGCACATGGCATCCACTTGTTGCTGTAATTGTTTGAGTAATATGTAAATTTTTTTGAAGCCCTGTGATGAAAAAAAAAAAAAAGGTCTTCCCTTGTCTTAAACTACCGAAGAAAAAGACAATACTAGCCTAAACATTACCCCTCTTCAGGACCTTAACCAATCATGTGGTAGAATAGGGGACGGCTCGTTGGGAAAAAGAATTGGTTAAAATGCCGACCTAACTGATTGCGATGAGCGCCGTGCCGCGGTCTGGTTGAAACAGGTGAGGCACGATCAATTAATGCGTGTAGGTATATGTTTGATCATGATTTTTTGTATAGGTTAAATAATTCTATATTTTTTATAAATATTATATATTATATTTGTATAGATATAAAAATATAAAATATATTTTTTAATTAAATTTATTTATAATTATTATTAAAATTAAAAATTGTATTATGTTTATTTTTATCATATTTATATCATATCGAAATATTTCGTTTTAAATTACACATTAATCTCTAATTTTTTTCCTCCTATCATCTTTCACCATGCACTTTCAAGTTTTTCTTCTCTTTTCGTGAGCAAATTTGGTGTAAAATTTAATTTTATTGTTTGTTCAAAATTTGAAAGGCAAAAACAAATAGATAGGCTTTGGTGGGTATTTGTTAAAAAATTTAAAAAAAAAAAAAGTACTGGAGGGAGAAGAATAAAATCTTAAAGGGTGCCCCCCCATATAATTTCAACACAAAGTGAGGACAGTCAGAAAGGTGAAAAAAATTGGTGAAATTCAATATACAGATTCTTTCATGGGTGGACCTCTCCCCCTCCTCTGAAAACAATATCTGCTCATGATCCTTAGCTCTTACCATCTAATAGAATTTCATGAGAGAGAGAGAGAGAGAGAGAGAGAGAGAGAGAGAAAGGCTCGTGTGTGGTAGGGGGTAACAAATTCTAATATGCAAATTGGATGGAAAGATAGAAGACAACAACAAAATGGTGAAATGAATCAGGCTTTCCCATCCCTAATCTTTGCTGCCTTCTCTTCCCCTTTGTTGCTTAAACTTACACCGCAAGGTTGGGGAAGGAGAAAAAAAAGAAAAAAAAAACCAAAGGAAACATGGAAGGTGAACCAAAGTTTACGTACAAGGTGTAATCGAGCTGTATTGAATAAATAGCTTATTCAAAATTTAATTCAAGTTTGATTGAATTTTAATTTTTAAATTTAAATTTTACTTAAAATAAAAATTAAGTTATTTGAATTCATTAAATTAAATTTTTTTATCAAGTAAAAAAACCTCAATTATCATATTTAATTTCGATTATTTATATTTAAATTCAAAATTATATTAATATATATAAATAAAATAATAATATTTTAATTAAAATAATTAAAATATAAAAATTTAAGTAAATTCGTAAAGTATTCAAATTAAACATTATGATATTATAATATGATTGATCTAATAAGTTGTGTTGTTTAAATTCGACATTAAACTGGACTTAATAATAATAAAATTAAAATTAAAATTTATTTAAATCAAATTTAATTAACTTACAAGCGAAGATTTATTATTTACACCCTAATAGCAACCAGATCCATAATATTTTCCTATTCTCCCCTTTTCTTTCATCATCTTGCCCTGTAAACCGAACCTCCAAGTCTTCTAGAAGCCCTTTGTCTGATGCATGATAGTATACCAATAGAATAAAGAACGGCAACTACCATCTCTATATTATGATTTATCCACAAGAATAAACAATCCACTTGGACATTTTCTTTCCCATATCACTGCTACAACTAACCAATATAGCAAGATTTTTATATTTTTCCCACTAAAATAACACTCACTATTCATATACATAATCAATAACTTTGCTTCAAGATTTGATTTTTGTGCAAACCAAAACTAGCCAACATTAGCTATATAGTATTATCAAAGACTACTTTTTAGAGCTAATTATCAAGGAAAACATCGGCGGATATAATATTTAAATCTCAATATTTATAACTTTTTTTTATTATTAAACCGCAATCTCCATGAATAACAAATGCATTTCAGGTGCAAAATAAGGCTGATATTTGCCTCTTTAAAGGATGGTAGCTCCAACAACAGGAAAAAAAATATAAGTTGTACATGTATTCTGGTAAATGTTGTCTGTTGAGTTGGGGGAAAGATATTATGAAAGCTAACTAAATTATTAATCTAAAGTAGTGAAGGTTTGGACAAAGGGCCGAAGGTTTGAAAAAAGTGGGAGAGGAGCAGAGATCACACTTTGTCTTGCCCACACTTTAATACCTTACTTTACACCTACCTGAAGGTTACCCACAGTTTATATATATCTCTTTAACTTGATATTATATAAGATTGATGCTTATGTCATCAAGAGAGATGCCACCAGCCACAGCCACTCACTCAAACCTGTCTCACCAACTCACATCTAGAAGCAAAATTAGGGTCAGTCTCTGTTTGTGAGAGTAATAGTGAAAAGGCTATAAAACCGCTTCCAAAGTTCTCTGGAAGGGCCGGCCTCATGTTCCAGCAACGCAAAAAACAAGGCCTCCACGCCATTTTCAACCCTCACTACTACTTCTAAATTCTAAATATTAGTTATATATTTATACTATTTGAAAACAGCAACGTAGGTACTATAGGACCGCTAGTTTCCACAACTTTGTAAAAGTTTCTTCAACGACTCAAATGGGACGGTCTCCTTGCTGTGAGAAAGCTCATACGAACAAAGGTGCATGGACCAAAGAAGAAGATGATCGCCTCATCGCTTACATCCGAGCTCATGGTGAAGGTTGTTGGCGCTCACTCCCTAAAGCTGCTGGCCTTCTTCGCTGTGGCAAAAGTTGTAGGCTTCGCTGGATCAACTACTTAAGACCTGACCTTAAACGTGGCAATTTCACTGAAGAAGAAGATGAGTTCATTATCAAGCTGCATAGCCTTCTTGGTAACAAGTAAGTATACGTATTCAACTTTGGTACTTTGTAGTTTTTGAAAATATTGATTGGTTTTGATGGTATGTCTTTTGGGGATTCGTTTTATAGGTGGTCTCTTATAGCTGGGAAATTACCAGGAAGAACAGATAATGAGATAAAGAATTACTGGAACACACATATAAGAAGGAAGCTATTAAACAGAGGTATTGATCCTGCAACTCACAGGCCACTCAATGAGGCAGCTCAGGATGTAACAACAATATCTTTCAGTGGTGCTAAAGAAGAGAAAGAGAAGGTTAATAGCCCTAGTGGATTTGTCAACAAAGATGAAAAGATAATCCCAGTTCAAGAAAGGTGTCCAGACTTGAATTTGGACCTCAGAATTAGCCCTCCTTGCGATCAAACCCAGCCAGAGCCATTGAAAACTGGAGGGAGGACTCTTTGTTTTGTTTGCAGTTTGGGAGTGAAAAACAGCAAAGACTGCAGTTGCAACATAGGTACTGCTGGTAGCAGCAGTAGCAACAGCACCAGCAGTAGCAACAGCAATAGCAACAGTGGTTATGATTTCTTAGGCTTGAAAACTGGCTTCTGGGATTATAGAAGTTTGGAAATGGAATAAAGGGTATTTGGATTTTTAACCAGGTAGCTAAACAGAAATGGAGAGAAATGACAAGGAGATTGTCATTAGTTTTAAAACTAATCCCTCTAATTTTCTCTTTAATTATCTCTAATTTGTATGATTATTAGATCACTATATATATGTACTAATAGTACAGGTAATCATTATTGGTGAATGTTTTTGCATTGGATCATATACTTTTTCTTTCCTCAATGTAAATTTTTTAACTTTCCAAGGGAACGAGGCAGTTCCTTTACACTTTTGTTTTTACCTCTCTTTTCCAAGAAAAAGTAGAGCTTTCTCAGACCTCTATGATCATTGATCAGATCTTCAAAAGGGTCATACCTCTGGCATAAGATAGGGAATGAGGGAGGGAGATTCTTTTCTCATATTTCTTTCAAATACAAATGATGACTCTTTTTCCTATTTTACAAAAAGATCTTTCAAAAGCATATATATTTCCCATTTCTTTTAGTATTTTTTTTCAAACTATTGTGATGCATGTTGATTCATGTGATAAGGAAAGGATTTTTTGACTTTTTTTTTTTCTAAATATAAATTTTGGGTTTGTCTGTTTTTGGGAAAGGGCTTGATTTTCATTTGGAAGCAATGGATAAGCTGTGAGAGGAGGAGAAATGAAGAAGGATGGGAGTGGTGGGTAACCTATCCCTTCCACTCTAATAAAAGCTCCATTCACTATAATAAAAAGCGTGAAGAAACTAACAACTGTCCCTAGTAACCATCCTTCTAACAAATCAATCATCCTGGCCATGAGCCCCAACCAACCAATCTATCAGACATCAAACCCCGCCTACCCTGTCTGTTGCCTGCCTTTGAATGATCCTTTTTAAAGGAATACATAAACAAATTAGCTTAAATTTGTAATTATTTTATGTTGACAAAAGGTATTGTAAGCCGTCCAGTCCAATCAATGGGGGACGATGAAGCTTTGATGAGGTTCAACACTGGCGCAATGCTAAGTCAGGAGATTCAATTTCCATAGGTTTTGAAGAGAGAAAAACGATTTAAGAATTGAAGTAGTGATGAATGTCAGACAGCTTGACATCGAAATCCATAATAATTCATGTGGGAAAAGAGAAGACAAGTGAAAGCCGAAGTCGAAGTTGGTAGAAAGAACATGGCCCGATGATGAAGCCATGAGGTTCGAATGTTGACTTTTATGTAAATCAATTATCTCATAATTTAAAAACAATAAATCACTAATTATTATTATATATAATATAATATATAATATATAATATATATATATATATATATAATCTTATGGGATGACCAATCTAGGGTTCATACACTTACCTTTAGTGTTAGTTAATTGATTGAGATCATGCATGCATGCCTAATGTAACTTTTAACTCTTGATTTCACCAATTTATTTATATTTCTCCAACTTTATTAGCCCTCCATGGGAATGTCATTAACAAGTTTACTCGTTAGATTATTCATTAAATTAATAAAATTTTCATCTTTTTACCAAATAAAACTTAAAATCGTTAAGCTTAAATTATATCTTTTATACATATAGAACCAATCAAATCATTTTCATTATCAATATTTAATATAAATAACTAAAAAAGAAACAAATTGATTTTTTACCATCTTTAAAAATAAAATTAAATATATTTAAAATTTAAATCTTGAGATTTTGTAATTTTTTTATAATAATAATAATGTTTCTGATATAATTTTAATAAAATGAAAAAGAAAAACCCAAACCACGAAAGGCAAAGCCAAAGGCAAAAATAAATAAAGATTAAGTAGCGCAAGTGGCACATGGGTGTTAGCTTGATTGGAACAAAATCCAAAAAAAAAATGGCCCTTCACATACAGAAAAGGTCTCACTTTTTCCACATTTCACCACTTTCTTTCTCTCTTTTTTTTTTCTCTTTCCTTCTTTTTCAAAGGCGTTTGGTATAGACATTAGAAGCTTCCATGGGATATTTCTTTTTATTTTTTCTCAACCCCTCCCTGCCCTTTTTTTTGCCCCACTTGCTCTCAAAGAAAATCATTTAGCATAGTCTCAAGTTATTAATAATAATAATTATAGCTGCTCTCTCTATCAACAAAGTAATAATTATTCCATCTTAATTTTTAATTCTTCAACAACCACCAACATCACATGGATGGCACTTGAAGCAGGACCTTGGGGTTTCCCTTGTCTTGCCCAAATCACCCTTTTTATCTTTAATAATTAAAATCAATTACTTTATTTTTCATTTATACTTCCAATTATAAAAATTAGGATCTATAGTTGTTTTATTATATTTTAAATTACATACAAAAATTATTTTATAAATATTGTACTATTATATTTTTTCTATATATTATTTTTTTACAATAAACTATAATTGGAAAATTAAAAAAAAAATTATAAACGTTGGTTTTGATCCTAAACCTAATAGATGTCATTTTATAAAAATAATTAAATGAAATAATTGGATTAAGTATTGTATTAAAAAATTTTAAATTGAAAATAGCATTAAAGTTGATAAAATTTTAATTATACAATTGAAAGGTTAGATTGAAAATCCCATTATCATATTTCAAGGCTATGTTTTGCGTTGAAAGGACAATATTATTTTATCATCATGTTTTATTAGTTATTTTTTTAAAAAAATATTAAATAAATTAACAGTATAATTTTTTAATTTTATAAATAAAATTAACAGTGTATTTTAAAAAATAAATATTAAATATAATTAAATTTACTAGTTATAAGACTATAATTAAATTATTTTGGTGGATATATGATATAAAAAGATGGTATCACTTGTTTTGAAATAATATATAAAGAAATTTGATTATGTGATTTTATTTTTAAAAAAAGTAATTGGGAAAATAGAATGGCAGGGTTTGTAATTAGGGGGAAAAGAAGGGGGGTTTAGTAAGAGGCTGGAAAACGTCTGTGTCCCACACGGTACCAACTCCGCCCTTTTTGGGCGGTAGTTGGACTTGGAAGCCTTCGGACGTAGGCCCATGTGGGCGGTTGCGGCGTCGGGACCCGTTTGCACGCCACTTGTGGGCCCTAATCCAACACGCTTCTTCTCTTTCTTATCACCAGCCCGGGCCCAGCTGCCCCACCTCCTGTCCTTTTTATGCTTTCTCTAAATCTATTACTACTATTAATAATAAATAAAATTACACTAAATCTATTTATAAAATTTGATGAGACTTTAATCAAAATTATTTTGAAAAATAAATTGATGGGACTCATAAAAATTATTTATTTAATTCTTTTTTAAGAAAAAAGAATATAAAAATTTTATGTGGCAGCAAAGCACAAGTAACATGTGTTAGAACAAATTTTTATTTCTACCTTTGTTAAAAGTGTAGCAATATTCAGTTTGAGCATGTGGGATTTTTAATATCTAATAATCAAATTCAATTATTTTCAATTCTAGTCTTTGCAGTAATATTTTTTTTTTGCCTGTAATATTCTATATTTTGAAAATCATTCTTTTTTATAAAAAATTAATAAAATAACATGTATTAAAAATAAAAAATAATTAAAAAAATATATGACAATTTTTTTATTTTATTTGTGAAATTAAAATTTTATACTGTTAATGTAAAAAAAATAAAATTTTTTACATGTGAATATTAATTGTATAATAATAAAATAATCATTTTTTAAAAATTTTTAAGATGACAGAGTCATATAACAAATGGGAGAGAGGAGATTGGAGTCGAATTCCAACTTTTGTGTCTTCTTAAGGCTCTCTTGATCGCTTGATCAAAGACAAATAATCATATTTCATTCATTCCATAAATATGTTCTCGTTTATTTTATGATTTAAACTCGATATGTTTAATATGAAATTTTAAAATTTAATTATTGGGATGTCTATTTGGAAAAATAAAGATAATTATCCTAAAAGATCAAACAATTAATATTCCCCTATGCATATGAATTTGTTTGGTTTTGTCAATTAGGGCTATAATAATGAACTTTTTTTTTTTTTTTCATATTGTTCATAATAACCCCACGTTCACTTTAGTTACAAAATTCAATCCACATGTGTTGGTAATTTGACAAAATCATTCAACGGTAGAAAAAGCATGTCAAAACTTTGAACGTGAAAGAATCAATTAAATTAATTATTAATTCCTTCAATTATTAGAGCTTTTTAGTTAAACCATAACATCATGAATCATTTCGACATTGTTTATGTGTTTTTAAGGTCAAATTTTTGAATTGAATTTCAATGCAAGAATGGGTCATATTACAAGGATTCATATGTAAAATTAATTATATATATATATATTTATACGTAATAGATATCTTTTTATTTGGTTCATTACATGTCATTTATGATATCTATAATCTTTCTATTTATCTATTTATAACATTATTTAATGTAAGTCTCAATAGGGATTACTTGATGACATGCTATATAATTAATTTTATTTTCATTTAATAATCAAACAAATAATAAGGATAATAATATTAATTTAAAATTTTCACCAAAAATAATAAAAACAAATCTATAAAAAAAAGAACCACAAAAAAAAAATTAAACTATATTATAATTAAATCTATAACTATATAAAAATTAACTACATAAAGTTTAATATATCCACTATCTTTTAAATCAGTTGACATGTCATTAGAATTAATATTTGAAGATTACGAATTCGAAAAAATTTAAACGTGTAATATTCTATTCACTTATATATGTAGTAAAATAAAAATAAATTAAAAACTAAAAAAAAAGACATGACTTAATATTATTTATTGAAAAAAACCCTAATTCAATTTAGGAAAAATGTTTTCTATGTTGCACCTGAAACAATAATCACAATAATACAGAAGCAATAGACAACAATCAATAATAAAAAACATAAGAAAAATAAAGCGCACACCAAGATTTACGTGAAAAACTCTCAAGTGTAGAGAAAAAAAATCATAGACCACCAAAAAAATCTTCACTATCAAATAATAGGTATACAAAGTTCTTCTTTAGCTAAAACTAAAGCTAACCAACAACTAGAGAAACAATTGGAGAAATCTCATCAAATAAGTGACTCAACAAATATACCCTGAATTTGTTTCTAAAGAGCTTCAAACTCGATCTTCACCGTTCAGAATGTAGAACTCTGAATCATAAACTTCCCGATAAGGTTTCAACTCAATCGAACCACGGATCAACTTTCTTTAACTAACTCTTCATTTTTATTTTTTTTTGCTATTTTTGGCTTTTCTTCTTTCTCTACTTGGTTTTCGACACACCCTTAAAACAACCCCATCTTTTTTTTATTAAGTAGCTAGGGCTCTGTGTAAAATGAAAAATCAAGGCTCATGGCCTTTACTTGGTCTAAAACCAGACCCCATTTTTCTAACAATCTCCCTCTTCAGTCCTATTAAGAGGAGATTCATCACCATAGCAGTTTCA